CCAGCTATATGACTCTATTCATGTATCTTTTGTGTATAAAAGCTGAATTAACTATCAAAGGGTTTTTGATTAGTGATCAAAATCAACTGTATCAAGAATTTCATTATATCTTTTATCCATTTCTTTGGAAAGATTGTTAAATAATCTGTTGTTCTTCAATTCCTTGAGATACTTGAATATTATTAGTTCATTCTTATTCCTGAGCTTGTTTATGATTCTGGGAAGACATGGTCTATTTTCAAAACTGAAAATTATCCTGAATAATTCGTCAAATGCTTCTTCGCTGTGAATAATATCTAAGAGGATTTCTATATATTCAATGTTATATGAGCTGTACAGAATGCTATGAACCTTTTGTATTACAAGAACAATCAAATCATTATCTTCATTGACAAGCACTATGTCTTTAAATCTCTTCAATGACTCTATTATGTCTATTCTGCTTTCCAAATTACTGAGTATCTTTCTTATTTCCCTAATCCTTTTTTGATGGTGCAAGCTCATTATCCTGGGTAGCAATAAATATATCCTAAAAACATGGGAAGGCTATTTATTATTAATAAAGCCAGCTATCTTACGAGAGATTTCCTTACAATTCAATCCAAAATAGTTGTAAACATCTTTACATGGCCCACTTACTCCAAAGGTATCCACTCCGATCTGTAGGTCGGAATACTTTGTCCAACCAAATGTACTCAAGGCTTCGATGCTAACTCTTGGGACGTCTTTAAGTATATGCTTCTTGTATTCTTCTTCTTGCTCTTCAAACAGTTCCCAGGAAAAAAATGAGACAATCGAAATCCTGAGATCTGGTAACGCCTTGGTTACTTCATAGCACAATTGGACTTCCGAACCCGTGGAAAGTAAAATGAGATCTGGGTCTTCCACCTCGACAAGGTAATATGCACCTTTTTTGGCTTTCTCAATGTCAGAATGAGGAATTTCTGGAACATTCTGTCTAGATAACATCACAGCCTTTGAACCCTCTCTAGTTAATGCAACGTATAATGAAGCTCTGACCTCCGTCCCATCGCATGGTCTCATTGTAATAAGATTTGGTGTTGCCCTTAGGGTGGATAAAACTTCGATGGGTTGGTGAGTAGGCCCATCCTCTCCAAGGCCTATAGAATCATGTGTTAGTACATAGAAGAGATTCAAATTATCCATGCACCCAAGTCTTACTGATGGAAACCCATATGAAATGAAGTTTAGAAAGGTTCCTGTGTATGGAAGAAAGTACCCATGAGACGCGATTCCGTTGATAGTCCCACACATGCAGTGTTCTCTGATACCGAAATTGATGTACCTTCCATTGTAATTTTCTGAATTAAAGTCATCTTCTCCTATTTTTGTTAGAACAGATGATTGTAGATCTGCAGCACCACCGATAAGATATCTTGTTTCCTTAAGGTCTTTCAAAGCTTCCGAAAAGTGCTTCCTTGTGGCTTTCTGAGTGTCTTGTGCCCTATATGTAGATTTATAAATAGAGTCCATTCTTCTTTGCATATCCATATACTCTTGGATCGTTGGAACTCTAATTCCCTTGGTATTCCATTCGGCTCTTATTTTTCGTTTTCTGTCATTAAGGTTCTTGAATTTCTCCACCAATGATGAAGAAATGTAGAAATCCACTTCAGGGATCCCAAATTTTTCTTTGAGCTTCCGAACACCTTCTTCACCCAAAGGAGATCCATGGGCCTTGCAGCTTCCTTCTACAATACTTCCACGTCCAATCACCGTCTCTAATATGATAACCATTGGCCTTGAAACCTTCTTATTTAATGCCTTTCTTATTCCGTCCAAATCATCTCCATTAACAACTTCAACCTCAAACCCTAAACTTAAAAATCTTTGAACCACATCCTCATTCATAGAGAGAGAAGTTGGACCATCTATTGTCGTCTTATTAAAGTCATATATAAAAACTATATTATCTAGCTTAAGACTTGCAACCAATGAAAATGATTCTTGGCTTATTCCTTCTTGATAGCATCCATCTCCAAATATACAGTACACACGGTTGCCGAGTTGGAGATGGTCAAGTTTTTTCAATGATATTGCATACCCAACAGCATTTGCTACTCCTTGACCCAATGGTCCTGTGCTTGATTCCGTCCCTGGATGCTTTTTTTCAGGATGCCCGGGTGTTCTTCCGTTGATCTGCCTAAAATTCATCAAGTCTTCTATGTCTAGGCGGCCTATGAGGTAGTTCACAACGTATTGAAGTGCACATGCATGGCCATTGGATAACAGAAATATATCTCTGCCTACCCAATTCTCGTCATCGGGATCAAAGCTAATAAACTCTGTATATAGAATATAAACAAATGGAGCTAATCCTAGCGGTGCCCCAGGGTGTCCACTACGAGCCTTTTGTACCATATCAGCACACAATGTCCTGATGTTGTTTATGTTATTCATGAGAGGGTTGATGGAGATAACTTTATTCAAGCTCTTGGTACTTTTTGTTGCGCCTGTCTAGGTATTGTTTGAGAATATATGAATAGCAAACTTCGCTAGAACAAATAAGAATGTATCACATACAAAGAAGTCCAAGACCCTTTCCTTGAAAGTATAGGTATATATCACTTCAAGAGAATGAAGCTTCAAAACTCTGATAGAGCTTCTTTCGTCATCTACAATGTATATGTGATCTCTATGGATCCTATCTCTATGCTTTTTTGCTTGCTTTATCCCCAGGCTCAAACAGACTTCCTTCTTCCCGTATATAAAATGCTTTACCCGCAGGTCTAAGCTTCTAAATGTCAGCAGGAGATGATTCCCATAAGCTGACATGTTGGTACATATTGAGTAGGGTTCCATCTCTAAGTTGCAGGGAATACAGTCCCCTGAGAAGATAATTCTGTATGTCTGGTATATTGTGGAGGCAAAGACTTCCAAACCCTTTTTACATATGGAATGGATGGAAATGTCAGATACCTTGAGAATCTTAAGCGGTTCACAAGACGAAATGTTAATGAAGTATACACTCCCTTTATCATCTCCACAATATATTGTATTCCTATCATCTTTGTCAAAGCATGTACTTTCTATTTGATTATGAGCTATGTACTTCGCCACCACGTTTCCATTGTATATATTGACAATGTTTAATACATTTCCAATAGGAAGGAGCCCAAGATCCTCATTGAACGGGCTTAGAGACATATTTTTTATGGGTGGGCCTTCTCCCAGAACAATGAATTCGGACTTACTGAAGTCATAGGATTCGAATTTTTGTATTCCTACATTCTTCCCGCTCTTTCTTGTGACAATCATAGTGCAATTTGATTCATCATACCATATTATGGAGTTCGCTGTATTAAACCCAGCATTGATGCTAAATTTCTTATGCTTATGTATAAGGAAGGTGTTTTCCGTTTTTTCTTCCTTAGCATGTAGTAACTCCATTTTTAATGCCTCTATTTGCGCCTTAAGCCCTGTACAAATCTCAATATATTCGTTTTTTTCCTTTTCTTCCCTCAGACATCTTTCTAGCAGTTTCTGTTCGTTTTCTGTGTCTATGGCAACTATCTTTGACGCATATACTGGCCTTATCTGTCTTTTTGTGCTTTGAACAGAGCATAGTGGGCATTGCATCTTGCTTTTCTTTCCTACCCACTTTTGAATACATTGGCTTCCAAACAAATGCCCACACTGAAGAGACACTACTCTGTGGTTTCCCTTAGTTGTGTATTCTGAGAAACAAATCGGGCATATCGTCCCACAGTCCATTCTCGGAGGAGAAGGACGTTGACGAGATAAAGAGTTTATACTTAGAAAATTTGATAAGGATACTTTTTTATCCCCTGCCAATGAAGCTAAATCTCTTCAAGAATATCAAAAGAAAACCATCCTCCATTACTGCAATGTCCTCCAACAACAGCACGATAGTTCTTTTCAGAAAAGACAGAACCTTAGAGCTTGTCGATTCCTACACCTTTGCACCATATTTTACCATAGAGCTTGAATATGGAGTCGTTTCCAGTAATTTTGTGGACTTTAATGTTGTAGCATGTGGGACGGAATGTGGAAAGCTTGTGTTTTTCAATACCAAAACCTTTAACTTAGTGCATGAGGATACTGGAGGGATTCCTTCCAACATTGCGGCAAACACCCATGGACTTGATTACCGTCAAAGCTCGTTTTATTACTCTGTTGGATGCAATGTATATGAAATGAAAAATATGGATGCAGATCTTGTATATCGGGGCTATTCTGCTATTACATCTCTTCTTCTTTCTCCCGATCAGTCGTTAGTTATTGGAGATGCTGATGGAAAGATAAAAATTATAAAATCTGGGAAGATGACATCTGAGCTTCAGCTTTCCTCTGGTAAAATAAATATGATATGCCACATCACTGGAAGCACATATGTTTCTGTATGCGAAGACGGGAGTTTTTCTTACTTCGATACAGATGTAGGCATTGTCTTACAGACATCTAAAGTAAGAAATAGCTCACTTAATGTCTGTGCATACGTAAATGAAAAGGTTCATCTTTCTGGAGCAGACTCCAGGATAATTGCATTTTCAAGAAATGGAAGGAAGTTTATAAAGTCTTATCAAGTTGACACACACTATGCTGAAGTTAGAAACATCGAAGTGGACAATGGAAGGATACTTACCTCTGGAGAAGATACTATCTTAAGTATTGTGTGGCCTGGGCCGAACAAGTATTTTGAAAACAAAATATTCCACCGATCTGTTGAACTTGGAACATCGAAGACCAGCAGGATGTTTTATATCAACAACAGATCGTCGATTGATTTCTATTCGTTTGATATTGATGACAACGATATGGTCAAAGACAGTAATGAAGAGAATTGTGAAGTGTTAGAAGATCTTATAGAGGATGATAAAGAAGTAACTTTCAGGCTTTCCAGGGCCTCCGCGGGAAATATTGGATATAAAAAACAAGACTACAGATACAAAGTTAAGATATGTGCAGAAGGGAATGCCCTCTGTTCTTCTGCCCCTGATGACTTTAGTTATTTAGCATATTCTAATTCAATGGAAACCAGAGTTATAAACTTCAATTCGTCTGAAGGGATCAAGGTTAGGAATGGGTTTGACAAAGCTAATAGACTGATTGCAAAAAAAGACTTCATTGTGCTTCAAAACCATAAGCACGAGATTCTTCTCATCGATGTTATTACCGGTAAAGAACTCCGAAAGATAATTTTTGATGATTACAGAGAAGCAATATATATGATAGGTGATTTATTAATCTTAGGACATTCCAAGACTATATACTCAATAAGCGACACAAGTATATCATCAAAGATAGATATAAAGGGCAAGGTTGTTGGTGCTTGTGAGTTCGACAAGACCCATTTCATTGTCTTTACCATGATCAAATCTTTGGAACCCAAGAAAAAATACCTTGTGTACAAAGTCTCCCTCAACGGCAGTTATGCAGCAGAGAGGGTGAAATATTTTGAGACCTATGCTTTAATCACATCTGTTTCATTGTTTAAGAACAAGATTATCTTTACAAACTTCAATGCTATTCAGATGCTTGACAATGAAATGAAGGAAGAAAAATACCCATTAGGGGCCGTTATATATGGATGTGATGCAATGCAGGATGAGGTCATAGTAATTCAGGATTCATGGAACAATATAAGGCTTGGACTACCGCCAAGCGTTTTCAAAGAAAAATTTTCTAATAAATAACTATATCTAAGGAAGAAGCCTTGGCCGATGATTCAAATTTGTTGTTGATTCCAGGACCCTTTGACAATGGAAAGGCTCTGCTCGCTTATCAGCGCCTACTTGATAGAGGAGATGGATTGTTCGGCTTTAGCATTGTCAGAATATGTTTATAGAGAGAAGAAGACCGATGCAACAATTATGTTGCTGCTCAAGTCGATGTACAAATTGTCATGCTATGAAAGATGCATCGAAACAATCGAGCTGAACAGTTCGGTGATGAGGATTCATGAGGCTAGAATAATATACTATAGATGCAAGCTCCTGACAGGAAAGAAAAACAAAGGTCTTCTTACAACCATGGAATGCGATGAGGAGGTGGAGAAGTATCCTCCTACCGAGATATCCAAGAGGAGCGTCAGGTTACTTTTTGAGGGGCTGACAAAGGAAGATGTAAAAAAGAAAGAAATCCTTTTAGAAGCTTACAGATCAGATAATAACAACTTGGAAGCATTGCTAAGAATGAAGAACGATTCCCTGATAAATAAGAAAGAGCTCCTCATGCTTATGGATGAATGTGAAGATAAGTTCATGCAAAATGTTTACATGGAGATATTTTATCCATCTTTTGAGACAGACTTTTATTTCCTGCCTTTCTATTCACCATGGTATGGAGTCAAGCTAGCCAAGCAGTACTACAAAAGCGGAAAAGATATGCTGTTATTTAACCTGGGCACTACGATGGTAAAATTATATCCTAACTCTGAGCATTCCTTCGTTGCCCTAGGATTGTTCTTCTTGATGTCGTCTAACTATTCAGAAGCTAGGAGATGTTTCTACAAAGCCGTTCAGATAAACAATGACTACGGAAGGGGATGGTTATACCTTGGAATGGCCTACTCTGGAATAAAGGAATGTGAAAGTAGTATAGCATGCTTGAACATAGCCTACAAGGTAATGATAGGGTCTTACAAGCCAGCCTTTTACTTGGCAAAGGAGTACCACCGAATGAACAACTTTGAAAGGGCATCATTCTTTTACAAGCACGCTCTTGGAATAAACTCGTCTGTCAAGGTCCAGGAAAGATACATATCACTCCTCATATACTACGAATATTATCCAGAGGCCCTGAGTTACCTAGCAGCTCAGAAGAACAGCTTACTGGGGCTATTAAGGGTCTATTGTAATCTGTTTTTGGGGAAAGTTACAGAAGCGCAGAAATATCTTTCATCGTGCCAAACAGATTGGAGATACTATGCTACTGCTGGATTTATAGACCATCTATTGAATAACCTCGACTCTGCAGCAGATAACTACAACAAGGCTCTTCTGAAAACCCATGTGAATCTAGTTGAGGAACTTCTTGGCCTCGCTGTAGAAAATATGACGTGCAAACAAAACAATAATGTCTATGACTATGCTACCGACTTGTTTGACAACATGATTCCTAAATATTCCTTTGAAACTATTTAAGGGAATTAAACATAAATTTAATCATAAACTATCCATTTCCTTTTCATACAATTCTTTAAGCTCGTTTTTCTTTTTCTCCTTCCAGATTCTCTTTTCCTCTTCCTTCTCCTTCCTCCCGGGGGTTTTTGCTCCAATAGACCAGTACTTTTCTAACTCCCTTTCCTTCTCCTCTTCTTCTTTTCTTTTCTTCTCCATTTCTGCCTCAAGCTTTCTCTGTCTTCCTTCCATCTTCTTTTTATTGTTAAAAGTACGACTCATGAGGGTAGTATTGACTAGACTACTTCGTCCTGGATATCTTCATAATGCCTTTATGAGGAAAGCCTCCGGATCATTCTTTAATTTCCTTTCCCAATCTATTTACGAAGGATGGCTGTTCATAAATGAGAATATAAGTCTCAACGCTTTCCTCAACCTTGTATCTATGCTCTTTTCCACCAGACATCACGGTTACTACACTAGAATCCTTGTCATACTCTATCTTCTCAATATCCTCAGGTCTTACATTTGAAGTTTCTACCAGTATATTCATTTTGGTAAGGAGTGTCTGCTGTGAAGTATAAAACAAGAAGAAAAAACTTCGCATAATTTTTGTTTATTATTATATAAGCTTGAAAAAGTTCTCTGCGTATTCGAGCGGTCTCAAATGTCTTCCAGAAGATTTACTGAATACTTCCTCAATTAAGTCGCGTGCCTTCTTTATTTTCTTTTGAACATCAGGCACAGACTCTTCTATTCGATTAATTTCTTCTATAATCCTGTTGGGTCTCTCAACTCGTTTCTCATAATCAATTACTCCTTCCTTTTGAGCCCCAATTTTCCTCAGCCCTTCTATCTTTTCTTTTACTCTCCTAATATGCTCATTGAACTCTTCACGTGCTTTCACAGGTAGATCTTTTCTTAACAATGCGAGAGACAGCACCTTGAAGTCTCTTTGCTCAGTTTTCTCAGCAAGTTTCTCAAGACTCGGCCCTGGCGTCACAATGGTATTCTTTTCTATCGCCTTTCTCAGCAGATTAAGGAATTTGTGGTCTTCCTTTTGCGACGGAGGTGCCAGCCGGGCGATCTGCTCCATCACTTCATCAACATCTCCAACCTCAGGCTTCATTCCAGGGCTACAGTAAGATTTGTTTTCCAAAGTTACCAGGGTTTACCCCAAGAAATGAACAGTTTAAAGGAGTATGTAAAGAATATAGATTTTGAAGTTGTCGATGATTCTGAAATACTAGATAACGTCTACAAAGAAATACAGGGAAATGAGAAAGAGTTGATGCTAGACACCGAAACCACACATCAGATAGAAACTCTTATAAGAAAGAGCAATTCCAGGCAGATACTGGATTTCTTCAAAAAACTAGATGTTGAACGTCTCATGAGCAAGAAGCTCGGATCCAGGGTTATTGAGGTGATATACGATGCTGTTTTCGATATGGTTTATATTCGAAGGCAAAACATTGATATCGATATGTTGGTAAAACCGGCAGAAGATGTGTTGGTGACTAAGTTTTCCGATACTAATGCTACACACATAATCAGAAAGCTTTTTCAGCTTGTAAGTGGAAAAAGAATTCTTGATGATAAAATCCAGTCTTTCAATTCTGTGAGGCCTGGACATATAGAGAAATACAAGGAAATAATTACTGGGCTTATTCCTAATCTTTCAAAGGAAGACAGCTTTATTACATTGCTGACTTATTTATACTGTTGTAGAAGTAAAAGTATTGTTTATGAAGTAGTAAAACATCACTTCACTTGGATAAAAGTCTGTGATCCATCGATGTCTTACTTCTTTGAAAAAATAGTAAGACTGGCAGGGAGGAAAGCAAAGAAATACATTTTTGAGAATATAAAAGACAAAGTGATGGAGCTGTGCAAAGAAAAGTATGGAAACTACTTCATCGGGGAGTTCATTCTATGGTACCATCAGAAAGCCGATTACTTCTTTGAAGCAATAGATCTATCTGAATTTGATAAAAATTCCAACATAGTCATGAAACTTACTCATTCGTTGCTAAAGGCAAGATCATATCCTAATATCGACAAGATAGTGAAAGGATTCTATCTAGAGAACGGAAACGACATTATATCCTGCACATTTGGCGGCGTTGAAGGAAATTTCAAGCAAAAGTATGCACCGATGCTCTGTGAGCTCATGAAGCTTCCAAACGAGAACAATTACGGAATAAACGTTGCTTTCAGAAGAAACTTTAGCAGTAGGTGGATCAGATCAAAGGGGGGGATTGAGCTTCTCCGAGGGTATTATGAAGGCGTAGATGATGGGAGATCAAAAAGAAACTTTACAAAGCAGATCGAGGAGCACCTTCCTCTTATAGCAAGCAGAACAGAAAACAATATCATTCTTGAATTCATGAGAATGTATGGATCACAGAAAGCCGGTATAGAAATAAGAAAAAGGCACCAATCTGCCAAAAAAGACATTTCGACTAAGCCAAAAGAATATTTTCAATCTACTAAACCAGCCCCTAGATATGTCGGCACTCTTTAGCATAGATTCTTTGTTCAGGGCTCTTATATTGGCTATATGTACTGCAACATATTTGAAGCAGCATTTTCCATCTCTTGTATCAAAGAACAAAAAGGGCTTCTATTCTGTCTTTCACAAGCTTTCTGTTGTTGGAGAAAGGCTTTCCCCCTTTGTAGCATTGTCTTGTATCTTTCTAGGAATCGGAAAGATCACTTCCATATTTCTCTAAGGACTTGTCAAAGCATTAAATAAGTTTAATGAAACAACTTATATCTCTTCTATGTACACTACTATTCAGAACTTCCTTTAATTTCTCCTATCCTTGTTTCTTTTGACTTCATAGGTTGACCATCCTCTCCTTCTGTCACCATAGGTTCTTTTTTGTTGATATCCTTGTCTAGGCTCTTCACTAGGTCTTCCAGATCTCTTGTTCCTTCCTGGATGGCCTTTGCTACTGTCTTCATTTGAAATAGGATTATGTTCTGTTTTGCTTTCTAAACTGAGGTCCGGCTCTTCTTTTGCATCCATATTCTTTATAATATGATTTTCTTTTTTTTCTAGTGCCTTATCCCCATCTGTTGTTTTGCTATTATTTTCATCTGTAGGCTGTTTCAAAGGTGAATTACAAACCCCGGATGGACTCCCAGTGCTATTTCCTTCTCCCTCCACGCATTCTTCTTGGCTCTTTTTTCTTAGGAATTCATCCTTGAGCTCTAGATATGCATCTTTGATTTTTTTGAGTTTCTCGATAATAATTTTATATTTATCAATTGCTGCATAATTATTAGATATTTCCTTTCTTGCCATCTGCAACTCATTCTTTAGAGAAAGATTATCCTGAAGTACTTGATCTACATCAGATTGAAGCAAATTGCATCTGTAGTCCTTCTCGTTTAGTGCAAGCACTTGCCCAGACACAACCTCCTTCTCAGACGCATAAGCTTTTTTTAGCGACAAGAGCTGTCCCTTGATATAATTATTTTCTTCTTCTAAGTTGCTTATCTTCTCCAGAAGATCGGATGAATCTCCTAGGCTTTCTATCTTGTTTCGAAGAAATATATTTTCTTGCTTCAAAATATCCCGTTCTTTCTCTAAAAACGCAATAGGTTCTTCGCTATGGTTCTCCATCAGCGAATGCAGCACCTGATCTCTTTCTTCAAGAAGTTTGCCTGCATTGCTCAACTCCTCGTATATCTTTTCAATAAACGATGCTCTTTCTCTTTCAAAAACCATGAACCTTCCAATGATGTCAATAAACCCCATGAAATCCTCTCCGATTACACCGATAAATTCGTAGACATCTCTCATTTCTTCTCCTAACCCTTTTAAAATATTACAATGCACCTTAACCTTTTCTTCATCCCACCTTATTTTTCCTGCCATAGCATCAGAATTATCAATAAGACTCTTGTTCTTTTTTCTGAGATCAGAACACTCTTGTTCATATATATGGAATAAGTCTTTGAGCCTCCGTTGTTCTTCCATGGCCTTTTTGAAACCGTCCTCTATGTCATAGATTTGTTTGAAGTTAGTATCAAGTTTTCTTTTGATTCCCTCAATCTCTCGCCCAATAACAGCCACAACATTGGTTCTGTCTTCAAGGATGTACCTGTTATATCTTTCTTCACTCTCTGCCAGCTGTGCTTTTAGCTCTCTTATCTTATTTCTACTATCCTTTATTATGAAGTTGCTGCGAATTATCTCGTTGTTCATTTCACCGAGCTTTTGGGAGGCATCCCCCAATATCGTATTCTTCATCTTTGTATTATTCAAATCAATCTTCAAACATATAATCTCCTCTTTCATCTCATCAATGTGTCTCTGCATCACTTTTTTTTCCTCACTGTTCCTGATGAGCTGGTTGTACAATTCATTCTTCTCTTTGAATACCTTGTTATATTCAAGTTCTAGTATGCACCCGTTTCTTTTCATCTCATATAGCTCCTCTCTCATTCTCTTGTACTCCTTTTCGGCTTCAATGTTCTCCTCGATATTCGATTTTAGAAGTGAAGAGGAATTCCCTCCAGACCCCAGTGCTTGCTCTAATTCCTCATTTTTTTTCGAAAGCTTCTGAACGAGTTTGACAAGCTCTAGGCTGTCCCTGCCTCCATCAGAGCTAGGAACCTTCCTCAACAAATATGATACCTGGTTTTTTTGATCCAGAACTTTTTCTACAAGTTTCTTGTTGCACCTCTCTAACTCCACGCATTTCTTCTGAAGGGCTTCCATTCTGTTCTCAAGCTCTTCTTTCTCCTTAACCACCTCATCTATCCTTCGAAACTTATTCACTTCATCCTCTTCAAAAGCTTTTACTCCTCTGTTGTTTCCATTAACATTTGCTTTATAGTATGCAACCTCGTCCTTCAAAGACTTGACTTCTTGGGAATACATCTCGTTATATCTTTCTGCAAGTGTAAATGAGCTTTTTATCTCCGTCATTTCCACAGATTGCTTGACTAACTTTTTATTCAGATCATTTATAATCTCCTCACAAAGCTCTACCTTTTTCTCCAGCTCCTTCACCCTATTTTTAGTCATTTCTTCATACAAAACCATTTCCTCGCAAAGCTTATTGAGCAACGATTCTGGTATTGCCTGCTGCTCATCAGGCGTAAGGGCATTTTTGAATACAGACGAGACAAGCATTTCTCAGGGCTATTTTTTCTCTTGAATATAACCAACCTCTCCTGTACATAATTTATTCAGGAGAGCTCTTGTAGACCAAAGAAATCTAGCAGAAGAAATACTATTCCCGAAAAATCTTCCTGAGCTTTCTGACCTCTTCTACAGTATCAGCAGCCCTAAGAAACACCCTCCGTGCCTCTTCGTAGCTCATCGATCGATCATCAAACCCAAATCTTCTTTTGTTTATCTCGTTTGCAACCACAGCATACGCCTTTTCACTATTCCCTGTTTGTATCAGTACTTTGAAAAACAAATCAATCATCCAAGCCCCAAGATGTGGAGGATAATATTTTTTCTTGTATTGGGCTATATCCCTCTTCATTACTTGAACTATGTTGTTTTGAAGGGAGATGCGCCGTTCCTACCGTCGTTTGGAATCGTGATGTGCATAGCTCTTTCTTCGTTTGGGACTTCAAAAGGATACCAGGCAATAGGGAGATATATGATAGGAGCTTCCATAAAGACACCCCGTGTGGGAACCAGAGCCCTTCTAGGAATCGTTATCTGTGAGGCAAACTTCTTTTTTTGCCTGGTCATGTCCAACCTACTACTATCAAAGATAGAAAATGTTAAATCATATGGAGGCCAATTCATATTGTTTACTGCAGGGTTTATAGCAGGTGCCTGTTCATACTGCTCGTCTCTTGCAAGTGGAATCATCTGTGCTGCCATTACAATGATGGATGCTAAAGATCCGACACTTTTTTACAAGCTGGTGTTTCTGGAGGTGATTCCGGCAGGAATAGGCATTCTTGGACTAGTTCTTGGCCTCGTTCTGTCTGACAAGGCGGCATGAGTTTATTATCTTCTTTCATTAAATAAAATGTATAAAATATTTGTACAGATTCAAACCTTGATTTTTAACAAGTAGCTGTCTTTCACACCAACCCCATGAAGATCCAGATAGATGAAGTTCTAGTATACTTTCCTTATGATTCTGTGTATCCAGAGCAACTAAAATACATGAGAGAAATCAAACGAAGCCTCGACAACAGGGGGCATTGCCTACTGGAGATGCCTTCTGGAACAGGGAAAACTGTGGCTCTTCTCAGCATGACAATAAGCTATCAGCTGCACATGAAGGCTAAGAATGATCATTTTAAGATAGTTTATTGCTCACGAACTGTTCCTGAAGTTGAAAAGGCATTGAGAGAATTGGACGGGGTTGTTTCATACATAAAAAAACACCGTCCTATTGAGTTCCTTGGCCTGGGGCTTACAGGTAGAAAAAACCTATGCATTAACAAGGTAGCATTCAAAAGTTTCAACGTAGACGTTGCATGCAGAAGGCTTGTGAACAGGTTGGGTGAGTCTAGGTGTGACTTCTACGAAAATCTTAATAACTTCAACGAGGTACCTGTTGCAGTATACGACTTTTCCCGGCTTAAAGAAATTGGAGAGAAGAAAGGAATTTGCCCATACTACCTTGTACGAAGATCTATTCCTGTTTGCGACTGTATAATATATCCTTACAACTACTTGATAGACCCGAGGATTTATTCAATAGTTTCGAAAGAGCTGGGACCCAACAGTGTTGTGATATTCGATGAGGCTCACAACATAGATAGTCACTGCATAGAAGTATTGTCAATAGAGATCAAACGAAACATCCTTGAAGGTGCAACTAGAGCAATCAAAAACCTGGAAAATCTCCTGAGACAAAAAGGGCCCACGACCGGTGAGGAAAGCGCACAGTATGAGAAAATGAAGGAGAAGATTAGGGAGCCAGTTGCAGATTCGATTCCTTACTTTTATGCAACGGGGGAGGGAAGTTATGAATTCATTCCTGGAAACCTTAGGAATTCATATCATTTTATATCTGCATTGAAAAGAATAACTGAATTCTTCAAGACTAAGTTAAAAACAACACACCTAACCACCGAATCTACTGAATCTTTCTGCAAAAGCATCAAGGAGCTGTCTTTTATTGGCAAGAAGGCATTAAGGTTCTGTTCGCAAAGGCTAGGAATGCTATCTCAGTCCCTAGGGCTTGATGATGAGGATATGACACATTTAAAAACCGTAGCCGACTTCTCTACAATGGTCTCTATGTATTCAAAAGGATTTGTAGTAATATTCGAGCCCTTCGACTCACAAGCATCAACTGTGTTTAATCCAACCCTTCGTCTGGCATGCTTGGATTCTTCAATAGCAATGTCTTCTGTCTTTGCGAGGTTTAGAAACGTGATAATAACAAGTGGAACGATGAGTCCTATTGACATGTATCCAAAGATCCTTAACTTTGTACCTTCAAGAACAGCAGAGATTGGAGCAACACTTGAGAGAAACTCGATTTCCCCTCTAATAATAACCAAAGGGAATGACCAGATGACTTTAAGGGCTCTCTCTGAGGACATAGAAACTACGGATAAATGTAATAGCGACATGCTTACCACCTCGTTCTCCCTTAGATCTGACCCCTCTGTTGTTCGAAACTATGGGCATCTTATGATAGAGCTTTCTAGGGTTGTTCCAGATGGAATTGTATGCTTCTTTCCCTCCTACATGTACATGGAAGAGATAGTAAGTCTCTGGGCAGAAACCAATATAATCAACGAGATAAACAAGAATAAATTGGTGTTTGTTGAAACACCGGACGGTAGAGAAACAGAGATGGCTTTATCGAATTATAGAAGGGCATGTGATAACGGAAGAGGAGGAATGCTTTTCAGCGTTGCCCGAGGAAAGGTGTCTGAAGGCGTTGATTTTGAAGATGGATATGGAAGATGTGTTGTAATGCTGGGAGTTCCTTTTCAGTACACAGAAAGCGTTAGGCTGAGAAAAAGATTGGACTTTCTGAGAGAAGAATATGGGATAAAGGAGTATGATTTCTTGACATTCGATGCAATGAGACACGCTGCCCAGTGTCTGGGACGGGTACTGAGAAACAAGAACGACTATGGGCTCATGATACTTGCAGATGAAAGGTTTGAGAGGAATGATAAGAAGGGTAAACTTCCAAAATGGATACAAAACTGTATTGATGGAGGAAATTGCAACCTAAGTGTTGACATGGCTCTCTCGATTGCAAGGAGATTCTTTAGAGAGATGGCACAGGAATGCATAGGTGCTGGAAATAGTCTTTTGAGTGAAAAAGACATCGAGGCTTTTTCATTTGAATAAGGCCTAAAGAAAATATTTTATTCGGTTCCGGACACCAGGGGCATGTCATCTGAATCAAGTAGCGATCTTGAAGAGCTAGGCGTCAATTTGAAAGAGTTTGCTAGAAAAAGACAATCCCGATTAGGGATTATGAGGACAGGCACCAACCATCCAGGGCCTGTATCCCATGTTGGTGACATCCCAAATGAGCTGGAATACGATACTTTACTCCGCTGTGCAATGATGGTTCTGAAAAAAGGGAAAGAGATAGGAGAGTCTGCAAGAATCAAGCTCCCTCTGGATGTCAAGAGAGAGGCGCGAAAGACATCTGTCAATATTTCTGAGGTGTCTGAGATTCTGAACAGGCCTGTAGACCATCTTGTGAGTTTCCTATGTAACGAGCTAATGACAACAGGGTCTGTAAACAAGGATGGTAAGCTTCTTCTTAAAGGAATGTTCATAAGGTCAGAAATTCAAGAAGTTCTTAGGAGATATATCGAGCATTTTGTTGTATGTAAGATATGTGAAAGCGTTGAGGATACTGATATTGTAAGAGACAAGAGACTTTACTTCTTGAAATGTTCTAAGTGTGGAGGTGCAAGGTGTGTAGGAAATGCTGTGGAGGGATTAACTACTAAAGGAAAAGCAAAGCCTCAACTTAGAGGGATGTTATAAGTCTTTAGAATTAAAAGGTTTGCTCTACATGTAACATAATTATGTCCTCATTTTGTTATTTGTTTGCCTATGATTCAGAAAAATGTGTGTTTCTTTCTAGAGCATTTCTTATGGTCAGACCTATACCGTCTGGGACAGAACTCTCTTGAAGTATGAGCGATAGTCTGTTCAGAATCTCATGATTATTCCCAAAAATAACCAAGCAATCTTCCTCTGTTTCTAATCTAATCATTTCACATACTACTTCAATGGCAGGATACATGACCCTTTTGCAGCTTTTGTAGAACATCGTTATGATAAGCTTTTCGAACCTCTCTCTGGCCTTGAATACTTCTTCTATAATAAAGGATCGCAAAGATGCATCTGATGATCCGATCGTCCCAAGAACACCACGAAAAAACTCTTCTTGATACTCCATGCCAAGACATTTTGACGCCTCAAAGGATGCCATAAACAACATCTTGTCGTTTCCAAGACTCGATTCATTTTCTAATCTTTTAAATTCAATATAGAAAGAATCGAGGAACTCAATAACTAATTGAAACTTATCGGAGTCTACAGAATACCCTTTTCTACCGATGTACTCAAATCCTTCAGGGATTATTCCATTGTTCTTGCATAGAAGAATGCATTCATCCCTCAGTATCTTTGACTTATCGACAAAATACCTTATAAAATATCTTGAAGAGATAGTTCTATCTTCCATTAGAAAAGAGGCCATTAAACTCTCTCTTCGTAATCTGAAACTTACATCCCCCCGGAAGTCCGTATGGTAGTTTTCCAGCCCGCCAAGAATGTGATCTTTGTATTTCTCTATGTCTCCAGAAAGTCTAATGGCCTTCATAGCATATGCCTTTGTGTCAATGTTTCCATGTTCCAGTAATTCTAGATATCCTTTTCCCAACTTCTCTTTATATCTGCTGTTCCTTGCATTTGCAAGAATAAGCCCCTCGGTCCCTCTCCTGAACGATTGAGCCACCTTGCTTGCAAATCCTTCGTCTTCGCTGATGAATCTCCAGGATACCCTTGATACCTCTGAGGGAAGGACATTCTTTATCAGGAACATGTACAAATTCCCACAGATAATATCTCTACTTTCCAGGGCCCTAAGGTCCTCAATGACCCTCAGATAGTTTTCTACAAAAATATCAAAGTCCTTATATTTACAAAATGAAGGATCCACCTTCAGCTTTGCAATTGTCTCTACGATTTTTTCTATTTCGTGTTCTCGACTCTGTTCAGTAAACTCTTGGATAACAATAAGAATGCTGATGAAGTCTGAAGGTGTCTTCGGATTGATAGAGCTGATGTATTCCACAACTTTATCTCCCCTAAAATGTCTAGAAATGCAATATCCGCTTTGCCTCTTAGTCTCCAAATTGCAATGGAGCAAATTCTTGAGAAGTATTTCTTCAAACACTTCTTCACATTTCAATATCTCTAGAACTCTTTTCACTGCCTTAGAACAATTTCTTAGTCTTTTTACCGAATGGAAGTTTATCAGGGAGACTATCTCTTCTTTTCCGGCTTCTGGGAATCTTCCAATATGCTCTAAAACAACGGCTGACGCCCCTCTTCTACAAGAAAGCGAAGGATCAAACAGGGCTCTTCCTACCACCAAACAAAGAAGATCCTTTCCTACTGCATTGCTTTTTCGGGTTAACGCCCACAAAAGAAACAAGGCAGACTCGCGAACCGTTTCAGAGTTGCTGACCATCTCATTTGTGTAGCTAATACCCTTTAGAACAATGTCAGACACGTCTCCTATGTCCCATCCCTGAAGGGACATCATTCCAAGAATCGTCATGGCATTTATCCAGGTATTTTCATTAGCAAATATTACACTACACCTTTCCTTGAGGGCCGAAACGACAGAGCCCGTCTCAACATACTTGATGACTTTGAGAAAGGACTTACATAGTGTCCATCCCAGTCTGGAATCTCTTTCATTTAGCATTTCAAAGAAGCACTTCAAAACATTATCGGTTGGATTGTTAGACATGATTTTCATCTTCATCTTCTTAATCATTACAGAATCGTGATCTTCAACTGGTGCTAATTGCACTTTCTTTCCAAAACTCGATAGTTTGGCGAGGAATTCATAATATGTAAGTTCAGAAACCTCAATGTTATGTATATAGAAAGACGGCTCCTCTGTAGAGCAATGCATTACATTTGCCCTCTGTGCAAGCATCGCAAGACACTTAAATGCCGGCTTCCTAGTCTCTGTTGTCTTTGTTGCCTCCAAAAAAAAACTTACCATCTTACTTAGGCTTTCTTCATCGATCTTTAATGGAAATGGATTCCGGAGTAGCAACTCCAACCACAATGTTATTGCCTGACTATTTTTAGACTTTAGGATATCAATACTTCCCATGATTGGCTTCAGATACTTTATGTCTGTAGGAAATGCAGAGTCTGGATTCTTACGATGATCTCTTATTAGCTCATTGGCTCTTTCCATCAACTGGATTAGTTCATTCAAGTTTGGCATGAAACCGTGATGGGTAGCGTTATGACATTTGGAAAGATATACGATTTGTGTTTGAAGGAAAATAAATCCTTAGCAAACAAACCCTAGAATATGGAAAGAGAGGAGAAGGAGGGAAAGCGTGATGTTCGATCCAAGTGGAAGGGAGACTATTCTGGGGGGAATAGGTCGCAATGTGGAAAGCCTTTCTACTCTGATAGGCATGATCATTACAATGAATATGATGGCATAAGAAGAAGAAAAATAAACCAGCATCAAGGAAATTTCATTCGATATAGAGAAAACGGAAATTATCTAGGACGCACATCTCACGCGCCACACTCAAGAACTTGGACACCACGTGGGCCATATCCCAGTAACACATATGAAACGAGAGAAGGGAGAAGCTATGGAATAGAGCGCTCATTGAGAGGAGGCGAGGAATATGAAAGACCAGGAGGGCATTCTTACAGGAATGAAAAGTATGGACTGAAAGCAAAGAGGAATGGATCGCCTTCAAAAGCAATTGGGGTATTTGGACTGGGAGCCTATATAACCGAGGACGATGTCAAGAATTTTCTCAAAGAAAGGATTAGTGGAATAACGAACTATAAGGTTGTAATAGTCTATGACAAGTATAGTGGATTATCCAAGGGATATGGCTTCATTCAATTTGACACGCTTGATGACGCGATAACCGCTAAGAACAAGTTGTTAGGGCAAACCATCAAAGGAAAAGAAATAAGAATTGATTATTCCATCGAGTGATCCGAGATAAATCATTTATGTAATCTTTCAATGAAACATTGTTCAAGATCTTTCATAAAAGCGATAAGATTCAATCCAGGGAGATTTAATTTAAAAATTACTCTGGTCCATTACCGTCTGCAGGAGATTGCTGCCCATCTTCATCATCAGTGGTGCCTTCGCCATTCTGGGCTGAGCCTTTTTCTCCATCTTTCGAGCTTTCCTTGGTGTCTTTCTTTTGTATGGCTTTACTTATCAGGCCAGGCGTCCCTTTAAGCTGACACCCAAGATTACATTCTTCAGCAACAGTCTCAACAGTCTTCTTGGGAGAATCACACGGCTTACACTCATCATTATTGTCTTGAGGGAATGTACCTTTTACTCCTATAAGCTGACCGATTCCGTTGAAATTCAGCTCATCCCCTGAAGGGAACACTCTCTTTGTTTTCTTCTTTACTACTGTGAAGAACGGCTTAAGTCCATAATCGACATTGAGAATTAGAGAAATTAGTTTGTTCCCTCGGAAGAGTGCTGTAGCATTTCCTACCTTGGAGATTCTGTACTTAAGCATGTTCACGGCCTTATCGATTATTTTTGCAAGAATACATCTGTCAGTACCTTGTACAGCTCTTTCTATGCACTGGCCGCTATCCTTTGGGGTAGGCCCTTTGCTAACCTCCTTATTATAAATTTCTAAGGCCCTTTGCTTGGCTCTTTGAAACATCGCATTTGCTGCCTCAGAGTTTCTTTTCAGGCACTCGGCCATATTTCCTTGAAATATCTGAACACCTTCTACTTGCTTGTTGGCGCATCTGTTGTCCACACCACCAATCTTTTGCTGCACTCCAGGAAGAAATTGAGTAGGTGCTGTCTGCGGAGAGGCAGGTGTCTGGGGCACCTGAGCAGTGCTAACAAGAGTAACTACGGTGAAAAGTAACAACATCTTTAGTGATGTTTAAAAGATCTCTTTTATATTTTATTTTGCTGTGGGTGTTTCAAAATCCACAAATTACCTCTGAGTTTCACTCTCTGTTAGAAATCTGCGGGTGTTGGTTTCGATTTGACTCTATGGTCTACAAATTAAATTGGGAAATCCAAAACACAGCAGTGTAACAAAGCTTCACGACCCAAGTAATGTTCTTTTATGTGATTTCTTTTCGAGCATTAGCCCATAGATATTCATTGGGCACCTATGAAGCTATCTCCTACTCAAAAAGACCCTTTTCTCTAGAGGGGTTCTATTGACTTCAATTCAAGTCTGTGATACGTGTTTTTTGATTTTAAGATTTCATCTTTTGCATTCTATTTTAAACATAGAACCTGACAGAACGGCCGTGAATTACTATTTATTTCTAGAAAATGCCTAGGTCTAAGATTCCTCAGGTCTTGTTACAAAAGTATTAGAGGATTGAGGGTCTGCGACTATGAGGTAGCCATATACAAGAACGAACTTGTTAAAGATCTGAAGATCCTCATTGCCCTTAAAGTTAATCTCTCAATTTGGTTTCTAGGAACAAAAAGATAAAGTCTGAACAAATTTAATATTATATATAATGACAATATTACTAACTTCTGAGAGTATTTAGGCGATCCCTGCTATATGCATATGTCCCTTGGAAACCCCTATTTTATAGTAATTGGCAGAATAGATGCTTGGGGTAATTATACATGCGTTGTAAGAAGCACTATAGTCTTGTTTTTTCTTTAAGATAAGAAGATTAACTCATTTTATTTTAGCCTAGGATTGGCAGCAAGAAGAGTTGCATGGAGAGCTAATTGCATTATACATCCCGGGCGCGACAAAATACTCACTGTTGCCTATGATAACCGTTGGGGTTGGGGCTGCACAGGCTTCCATAGAATACCTCTCATTTGTTTGCTGATCGCACGAAGATGATGGTTTCTGTACGTCAACACAAGGACCCAATGGCCCAAGGCTTGAAGCGTATGTAGTAGAAGTAGGATACCCATTTCCACTGATCCCTGAGATTGGCGGCATTGCAACAGGATTTGGAACTTGGGGAGTAGGAGAGAACTGCCCAGACTGGCCGGTAACACTTCCATTCTGCCCTGCTTGGCATTGGGGAAAGCCTGGAACGGGTGAACTACCTCCATTTCCACTTCCATTCTGCCCTGCTTGGCATTGGGGAAAGCCTGGAACGGGTGAACTACCTCCATTTCCACTTCCATTCTGCCCTGTCTGGCATTGGGGAAAGCCTGGAACGGCACCAGGAAGGACTTGTCCTGGGGTACTTCCAGGGACCACCTGACATAAGTTAGCACCAGGTGCAAGAACACTACCTGAAAGAATTTGTCCTTGTTGTCCAGGAGCAGCAGGTGTTCCATTGGAATAATACCCTGGAATTACCTGGTTAGCAGATACAACTGAAGAAGGTGTTGTCACAACCATTTCTGTAGGCTGGAGAACCTTAGCAACAACAGGTGACGCTTGTACAGGAGCAATGATTGTTGATGTAATCGATGCAACTGTCAAGGAAGGCTGTGGTTGAATAACTTGTTCAGGAGATTCGCAAGGTGTTGCAGATGTTCCTGGTGTGTCGCAGTGCTTTAAAACAGAAATCTTGCATGTTCCCACATCTTCTGTAGGAGATGTTTCGTTTTCATTACTTGTCCCCGTTGGTGTTGAGAATGGTGCAGAAGATGGAGTAGGAGAAAAAGGAGCATATAAATTCTGTGGGTTGTATGCACAGTTTTTTATGGCCTCTGGGGTGCCAGGAATTAACACGTATGATGGCTGAACCATGCCCTGCTGTGGTTGAACCGAATCATAAGTAGGACTACAAAAGGAAGCTTTAGAATAAACATTCTTCAGCTTCATTAGCGCAACAGAAGCAGAGAGAATCTTGGAAATGCCTTTCATTTTGAGCTGTTCGTTTTCCGAGCTATTTATATTTTTATCTCAAACTTTAAGGTTTCGATGCTTCCAATGGACAACCATGATTCGCATGGGATGTTTCATCTCTGTTTCTATGGCTGAGTCTTGAGGTAGGTTTCTGGAGAAACAATTGGATTTAAGCTGAAACTAGCCATTCTGAGAGATAATGGGCTGAACAATAGGCCCGGTGAGTTTCCTTCGATAGAAAAGAAATCTGGATTTCGTATTAAGGCTCGATATAATCTTAAAGGGTCAGAGCTTTCTGTATATGTATCTGCTTTAAGTTATATAACAAATGAGCATCAATTTTTTAATCCCAAGGTATGAAGCTGAATTCAGAGATTGATGGTTCGGAGAACAAAAGAGAAGGCCTAAGATATATAACCCAGGCTGTATTCCAACTGCTTAGAGAAAATAGGGCCTGCACATACTCGTTTATATGCAAAAACATTGTGTTTCCCAATACTGAGACGCTCAACAGAAGAATATACGATGTCCTGAATGTAATGAAGGCAGTAGGATTGATTTCAAAGAGAGGCAAAAGATACTTCTTGGTAAATGATGCAAGTGATTCTGATAGAAGAAAGGAGGAAGCGAAAAAGTTGATGGAGATGAAGAAGGTGTTCAAGTTCATCGTGGATAGAAACTCTGCTGCAGAAGACACCCATTTAGAGAGACTATACTTACCATTCATGGTTGTGAGCACAAGTAAGAAAGCAGACATCCATTGCGAGACTAACGAAGAGAGAAACTTCTTTGTATTCAAATCTACCAAGCCTCTCAAAGTCAATGAGGATCTGGATATACTGCGCGAGATATATGAGAAAGCACATTCCAAAGAAAAGACAACGGATTTTTCTATAGTAGATAGACTTAGCAATGAGAGGTTTGAATACTTTGAGGAGAATAATTATCAGCGAGAAGGGCTGGATCCAGATGCATTCTTTTTTAGTTTCTAAAGATCCTCCGTATTTATTGCATACTCAGTTTTCAAATAGAAGATGAGGTCTGAACTTAGAGCATTGGATAGGCATTTCCGGTGAATAGAAGGGGTCCCTTGTTACATATTTGCAGTAGTGAGAATAGACTCTTTCAAAAAGAGCATCTGCAGGCTTGTCTGCGACAAAGACAAATACCAAGCCTGTGATTGTCCTAAAGATCGAAATGGTTCTGTTCCTGAAGTAAACAACCTGTCTTGATGCAGGATTATCCATTACTTTTGATAATATCACACTTACTGAATACAAGGAACTTGTTAATATTAAAAAGCTATTTATATCTGTATTCTCTTCTCTCTCGTACTTAAAGACCATTCCCCCTGATTTGTTTATTATGAAGAGCTGCTCCACAACCATAGGGAGGCATATGAGTGAAAAATTAAGCTTTAATGATTAATCATTAGGATGAAAAGAGGATAATGTTTTATTTGAATTCAAACACTGGGATCCCCGGATCAGCCCTAGAACTAACGCAGACCACGACCTCAAGCCCGGTATTGTCTTCGATGTAATGTTTATATGTCTTTAGAACCTCATATTCGTTAAATTTCATCGAATAGTTCTCCGGATGGTTAAGATAGTCCATCGAAAACAAAATACCTTTTTTCTCCGGAACTCCAAACTCCTTAAGAACTTCCCTAATAGCATCTATTACTTTTGATGAAAAAGACGACTCGTTTTTTCTCATTTCTTCCGAAATATTGATATTCAAAATCTTGCACTCACAGGCGATTTGATCAACAATACTCATGCATTTTCTCTTCCACTTAGAGTATTTAACCCCAACCAATATTTTGACTGTGTCGCATTTTCTCTTCCTCTTCTGTATCATAAGCCTCTTCAAAGTACTTTTGAGATGGGAGACTCCGTCGATTTCTGACGTATCAGACAAAAATGGAACGGGAAGAGAGAAACTTGAATGAAAATATGTTTCTATCAGATGGCGTGCCAATGAGGGTATAATGGGATACAATAACTGAGTCATAGTCTTAAAAAGTAAGAACACAATTTCATCATTGGCTCCTCCTAGAATGTGATACATTTCCTTTGCATGTATCATTTCATAGAACCCATGCTTTACCACATCTCTGTACAACATGTCTTCATGTGCACGAATAGTATGGGTGATATTCATAGAAATTGTCTGTAGAAGGAATTTGTCTGCAAAGCTCATCTCATCATATTTCCTTATGAGACTCAAGATACAAGGATCAAAGCTCTTGCCGATACACAGCTCCTCGATCATTTTTACATATGAGTAAAGCTTGAGAGTAAAGGCATTTGCATTAAACTCCATAAAATTCGCATCCTCATTTGTATCTCCACACACTGCTAGGCACATTCTTGTTGAGCTCACTCCAAACTTGTCTAGAGACTCATCAACAGTTAAAAAGTTTCCAGAGCTCTTGCTCATCTTTTCGGAGTTCAACATAAGATACCCATTTGTAAATATCCTCCTCGGCCAATGCTTTCTTTCAAACAAAGCTACATGATTGAACAAAAAGAAGATGAGATGGTTCTTCAACAAGTCCTTCCCACTTACACGAAGATCAACAGGATAGAAGTAGTTGAATGACTTTCTGCAGTTCTCTAATATTTCTTCAAACTCCTTAAGTTCCTCCGTTATCCTTTGGTTAAGGAAGATATAATTCCACACATCATCGGAAAGTTTACTGCTTGGAAATATCTCATCCTTTCCCTCCAAATCCTTATATAAAAAGTGTTTGAAGGTGCAGATTGCCATGTAAACAGTACTATCACTGAGAGAATCAATGAGATATTTTTCATCCCAAGGAATTCTTGTCCCCAACCCAAAAGATCTGGAAAACCCCCATTTTCCTATCCATGACAAAGCATCTTTCAAAACTATTTTTGTATCTTCGGTACAGATCAGATCATCAATGCATTCCTTGACCTTTTCCTTCCATTCGGCATCATCATAGTTTATGTACCATTGGTCTGTCAAGGCGACAATACACTTTCCTCCAGACCTACTTATGACTTCTTCCTCAGGCTCATAGAACTTCAAAAGATATTTTGTTTCTGCGAGGTGTATTTCGGTGTTTTCGACTTTACTAATAAACTCGATTTCCTTTGTGACGTGCTCTAACAACTGACCATCCTTCTTGCCTTGAATACCCTTAACACTGCAGGGCACATCTCTTTCGATAACATCACATTTTATTTCCTTTCCAAATGCTTCAAATCGTTTCTCATTGAAGAAGCTACCCTTAACAGACCTCCTTGCATTTACTCCACACACCTGGGCATTTATGTTTTCAAAAATATCCTTCTCTACAAAATAGTTCTTATCATTGTATTCAAACTCTACAAAATCGCTCTGGCTTCCAACAATCGCTTTTGATGGTGTACATCCCTCCTTGATCCTTGCAAGAAGAAACCCTTCTTCGAACATTAGCTTGCACAAAACCACCCTGACAGGTTTCACATTTTCTCCCTTTCTGCGATCATGATCTAAGCATGTCTGCTTATCTATTGGACAGAATATGGAGTGTCTTTTCCCAAAAGACAGATACCCAAGTTCATTCAATCTTTTAAACTGCCACCTGACGAACGAGTCGTAGTACTTATTAATGTCAGTGGTAATAAACGACCTTCTCCAATCTATGTTTCCGTGGAATCTCTTTAAGGATTTTATACATAGATTTGGAAATGTCCTTACCCAATGGGTCGGATCTGTGAATGAGCTAACATCCTCAAACCCAAGGTCCCTTATGATTTTCTTTACAGAAAGATCCACTTCTCCCCCATTAAGCTCCTCTTCAAGCTTCTTTGCTGATGCACTTATGGGCATTCCTGTGCAATGGAATGCGAATGGGAACAGAACATTATATCCCTCCATCTCCTTGTAATAGCTGAAAAAGTCTGCCTTTGACACAGAAAACAGATGTCCAAGATGCAACCTTCCATTCATGTAAGGCATGGGAAATGTTACAAAGAACTTCTTCCTCTCGGAGACATCTGAGACCGTGTCTCTTTCAATTTCAAGCGAATTCAAATACTTCAATTTGGATCTCTCTTCCATCTATGGGGCTACAAAAAAATTGATAATGCTTTTTCTGACTTGAACCTGTGCTTAAAAATGGGCATTTAATACTCTAATTAATCGGGATTTATTTGATGAATCATTTTCGGCCCTTCCTCCTTTTCTGCCATATGGTATTAATTAATGAGCCCTGCTGCCCACACATGTTCTATACTGCATTGTTCGTAAATGTTCTGATATATCACGGCTTATGGCGGAATCTTCTCAGACATTTATTCAACAAGTCCTATTCTTTGAGTTAGAGGAAAAGTCAGGAGTAGTATAATAGAAGAGGAGTTGGTCATAATAAATAATTTTTGAGATTGGATCCACTGTTGATTTCCTCAATGACTTAATGGTCCTGCATAAATCAAGCTTTTTTAGCCCCATGCATGGATGACTGTTATTTCTTTCTTTATTCTTCCTGCAAATTTAAAGACAGATGTACGTATAGACATAACGAAGGCTGCAGAAACAATCTGGTCACGTGTAAGAACTGGGAATCTAAGATCCCATGCAGCGAGGATTGCCCATACCGGCATTCGAAATTCCATCTCAAAAAGAACCGCCGTGAGGAGATGTGTTACTGGGAAGATAAGCCTGGTGGATGTACCAAAGATAGATGTGAGTATAGACATACAGATCCCACGAAGGATGCGTGGAAGACAAGGGCATCCTCTGAAGAGCCTGCAAGGCTGAGACCGAGCATATCCCCGTCTTTAGGATCTGAGGGGCACCATATCTCAGAGGATACCAGACTAAAGGATTATGAAGAAGTAATGAGCATTCAAGACAAGCCAACGGGTTCTAAAGATAGCGCTTCCGCAAGCAAAGAGTTTGCAGAGGAGGAGAATAAAGAAGACCAGGATTCTCATGAAAACTCTGTACTTCCGAAGAAGGATGAAGACATAGACATCCCCTCAAAAATAGAGCTGAAAAACAATGTTCTTGAAAGGAGTCCTTCTGAAAACACACAAGAGCCTCAAAATAAAAGAGTCAAAACAGAAGATCCATTAGATACTATAAGCAAAACTGTTGTAAACTTGGAAGAACTAGACAAGGAGATTGAAGAGCTGGATAGTATTCTGATGAAGTAAGTTGTGTTATCGAAATTCTAAAAGCCTATACAAAGCATTACGTTAATAACGGTTTTTGTGAAGATTTTTCGGAGTCATGCTTTAGTGTAATAGTTCATTTATTATTAAGTAAATAAGAATGCCTATCAATAATAGCACAATTTCCGAATTCCATATATGGCATATGATTAAAATAACTTATATAGATTCTAGTATCCCCCGATGATGGAAAATACTTCTGAGGTGAATACTCATGATCTTGATCTCAAAGAAGTTACGCTTGAGGTTCTTAATCAGAATGTGTCGTCTAATGAAAAGTATGCTAGACTTATTAATGGTTTAGATGCAGGGTTTGAGTATGGAAAGATGTATGCTTTCATGGGAACGAGTGGAAGTAGTAAGACAACAACGATGGAAGCTATTGCAGGAGTAATTCCATATGGATCTCGAACCAGAGGAGAAATCTTAATAGACAGTAAGGAAAGAAATGGTGATGAGTGGGAAGGGAAATCTGCGTATGGAAGACAAGAAGGATACACCATTGAAGAGTTAACTGTTGATGAGTTTATTTACTACTCTACCGCCTTTTCCTTACCTAATGAAAGTAAGGAAAATATCAAGAAAGCCATGGATGAAGTATTGAACAGCCTTCTCGGATTAGAGAATGTCCGAAATAACCGAATGGAGAATCTTTCAGGGGGAGAAAAAAAGAGGGTGGTCATTGCAACGACTTTCATGAAGATGCTTTTACTTGAAGGAAAGCTGAAGGTAGCGCTTCTTGATGAGCCAACCAGCGAACTTGATTCTGGATTAGCAATGGATGTAGCAAAGTTTCTCAAGGATTATGCCAGAAGAAGTGGTACTATGATACTTGTGACTATTCATCAGCCTGGACATGGACTTTTTAATACATTTGATGGCCTTCTGTTTATGGACAAGGGGGTAAAGATATACTCAGGGCCTACTAGCGGTTTCATGAAGTACTTGAATTCCAAAGGGATCTATAATACAAGCAAAGAGGAGACCGATTTAGAATTTATATTCGGGGTGTTCAATGAAAAATCTGAAAGAGGGAGGCTTTACAAAGAGAAAGTAGAACAGATTAAAGAAGAGAGAAGGAAAGAAAAGAAAGATAACGAAAGGTTTAAGGACTCAGTTGATACACCCATCAATTTCATACCCAACTTTTCAAAAGCCATCTCTTTGGCCAAAAGACAGCTTATTATAGACTGGAGAAACTGGAATCTCCCACATGGATTTATCTCTACTATCGTTCTAGCTTTCAGCTGTATTTTAGTGGAAAAATTTATTATTAGGCCGAAGTACAATATAGGCGAGAAAAGTTTCCTGGTATACATTATGTTTAAGCTTTTTTCAGTACTTTTATCAAGTATTCCAAATAGATTATTGAATGGTGTTAGATATACTACTAAAGAAGTTTCCCGCGGTCTATATGATGCCGCCACACTATGGTTTTCAGCGTTGGTTATGGAGATCCTTTTGTCCATTCTCCAATTTGCAATTTTCTTTGGGACTATATACTATTTTGGGCTTGTTAAAAAGGAAGAAGCCTTTTTTTTGGGTAGCCGCTTCATGATGTCAGTTTTGGCGAATAGTACATTCCGTCTGATAATTTTATCTATAACTGACCCTTTGACAACCTTTGGAAGAATTATAGGGGTATTTACGTCTCTCATTCCCATGATTACTCTTGTGATATCGATTATTAGTTCTGTGAAAGCCAAGGTCTCGAAAACCTCATCTGCCCCAACATTTCTTAAGAAGTTTTTTGAGTCGTTGTATGCTATGCTTGTGCCGAATGTCGTTATTGACGGAGATATCTTCAACTACTGTTCTGATAAATTGAATAATGAAGCTACAGAAGTCCCATCATTACTTCGTACCATTAAGAAGAGTATCCCTAGTAATATCCTTAGTGATGAAACAAGGGGATTATCTCAATCCAAAAACGGATTTGTCTTATCTGCCATGTTATTGGTCTCACTGTTTGCACTTAGCCTCTTAGGCATTTCTTTCTTGGACAGGAGATTTACACCCTCTATGCGCTACCAGCTTTCCAATGATAAGGTTGTGCCTGATAGAAGTTTTAGGTCAAAGATAAGGTCTCTTACTAAGGGCGTTTGGTTTAAACGATTCCTAATAACTCTTTTCACGATTTTAATAATCCTAACGGTAACCTTTGCTCTTTATAAAAAAGGCCTTCACTTCGAAACAACAGATTCTTCTGATAATGGGGAAGTATACAGATCAACTCAACCCGTCAAGTAACCTGAGGCTCTACGATGAATCCTTTAGATTGGATTTTCCCTTTTTAATTAAACGACCGATTTTATCTCAATGATAATTTAGACTTGTATTAGTGTGATCTCTGGTTTATTGTATGGTGTAGGTGGAGATATCCCGTCCCAGAGCTTTATCCCATTGTTTGTGTTTACAGAAATAAATATACAGTTAGGTAAACATTGTTAATGGAGACCTCTATGGAGGAGAGCTTATCCTATGATGAAAATCTCCTTGATAAAAAAGCTTTCAGGAGCTTCCTAAGACTGAGCAGAATTCTAAGGCAATTTCCTAAGAGGAGTGGCATTGAATGTGTTCTTTGCCAAGAAAAAACAAAGATCCACAACCTTCATGACATGTTCAAGGCATATGCCTGTGCAGTTTCCTGCCTTGTCCATCACACGGAATCTGTTGGAAGTGTGGATATCTTGGTGTTTTTCGAGGTCGAGGACTTCGTAATGAGAAAAATAGGGCGAAGAGAAATGTGCATAGTCAAGGATGTTCTAGATTACAAAAAAGACACCAAGGAGATGTACGAGGAGGCATTAAGGGATCAACTGGTGGCTGTGTTCAAGACATATTTTATAGAGGATGCCATCAAAATTAATTGTGAGCAGGATATTGAATCAATAACTTACAAATACTATAAATTGGCAGATGATAGCCTAAGAAAGGAATTTACGACAAGAAGTCTAGAACTTGTTCTGGTTATTCTGTTCAAGAGAAACGAGATAATCAGATTCTTCAAAGTTTTTTCATCCAACAAAAAGAGCCATGCCGCCTTCAAGCTTGCATTGTTGCTCACAATGAAATCTGAATCTCATATCTCAACAGAAGGCTTGCTAAAAGAGTTTGAAGGGTTTTCATTTGAAAAAGATAGTTTATTTCCATACAGTGGGGATATTGGAAGCCTGTGCAGGATCAGTAAGATGCTAGAAGATTCGGAAATGGACACTGGAAAGTGGTTTGAAATGCAGAAGGAAAGAGTGTATTGGGAAGAGTGTGTTCAGATGTGGGCGGTAAACAGAGAAAGTGATGCGGTTGCCATGGATAACTCGATGGTAGAGCTTTGCATAAAAAACAAACGCTATGAAGATGGATGGCTGATATATAAAAGTGATATAGAAGGCACCAATGTAAGCGTCAGTAAGGCTTGTATTCTTTGTTTCAAGGGGCTAAAGAATAACCCTGAAGGAAACACCTGGAAGGCTAGAATAGGAGAGGTTGTAGAGTATTCCATATCTACCGGTGACATTAGCTCACTTCACATCCTAATAGATGAGGTTATGATTAAGCTTCATGAAGTTCCACCTATCCATAGAGTTTCTATTCTCAGAAGATTCTCAAAAATGATTAGATGCTTGCATAAGAATGAAGATTTGGTTGTGAGCTTTTTTAAAGGGCTTCAAGAATTATGCGCCAAATGCGAAGATTTAGAAACACGAGATCTATGTGTAAGGTACTCTGAGAAAGCCTATGAAGAATGGATAAGAGCCAAAAAGAAGAAGTTTTTGTTTTTCAAAAAGCAAAGCCAGCAAGATGTTCAGATATACAGAGCCTTGCTTGAAATTTATGGTACTGTGAAGGATTGTGGGAGGTTCTACAGTGTCTATCAGGACCTTATAAAATCAAATGTCGAGCCAAGCAGGGAATTGTGTATGAAGTTAGAAAGTCTCCATATTCAAGACTGTGAGGAATGCATCTTAAAGAGAAACCGAGTTGTTGTAAGCAAGAATGGGAGAAACGCATTTAATTTCCTGAATAAACCTTAATACGTTCTACCATCTTCTTCGAGGTTAAGGATCCTGAAATAGATGGGCTGTGAAATACATATTCTTGGGAGCTCCCGGCCTATATACCAACGGCTCATTAAGTAAAGGATGCACTGAGATGACCCTGATGATAGGAGACTTTAAAGTGATAAAAAAATGTAGCACAACAAATGCAAGAGTTTCAAAGCTCGAGCTAAATGATGTATGTCTTGAACTGCCTATATTTATGCCTGTAGGGACCTATGGAGCGATGAAGGGAATACGTGTCTCTGACCTCCAAGAGAAAATGATCTTGGCAAATACATACCACCTTAGGGCATTGGGGAAAGGCATCAAGAAGTTTATGAAGTATAGGGGAGGGATGCTAACAGATTCTGGAGGATTCCAGATTGGGAGTCTGCCTGATGTTGTTGTCACAGAGGAAGGAGTGAAGTTTGGAGCCACATTGTTTACTCCTGAAGACAGCATGGACATACAAATGAAGCTAGGTGCTGACATTGTTATGCAACTTGATGATGTTGTAAACCCATGTGATACCAAGGAAAAGATAGAAATTGCAATGAGAAGATCCATTAGGTGGATGGACAGATGCATCAATGCAATCAACAGTCACGGAGTTAATGGGCATAATAAGAAAGTCAAGAGAGAGATGAATGTTCCCCAGATAAAGCTTGACGAGAAGAGCACACAGATATTGTTTCCTATAATCCAGGGAGGCCTTGACGAAGAGCTAAGAGCAGAAAGCATTGCAGAAGTTCTCAAAAGATCTCCAAAAGGTCTTGCAATAGGTGGACTTAGTGGAGGAGAAGAAAAGTCTGAGTTTGCAAGAGTCGTTCACTTTTGTATTCAGAATCTTCCGGAGAATATCCCAAGATATCTTATGGGAGTAGGGTATCCCGAGGACATTGTGGTATGTGCAGCGTTAGGAAGTGACATGTCTGATTGTGTCTATCCAACAAGAACTGCTAGGTTTGGAAAGGCTCTTTCTGATACAGGAGATATCTTATTCACATCAAAGCTTAAGAATGATAAAAGAAGAATAGACGAGTCTTGCGATTGCTATGTGTGTTCTAAATACTCAAGGGCATTTATATTTTCCATCAAAGGAACCACCAACTTCTGCATGCTTCTCTCAGTTCATAACTTGCATTACATGAGGAACCTCACAAGGAGAATCAGAGAGTCCATAATGGAAGATAAATATCCTGAATTTATTAAAACCTTCATGAGAAGAAGATTCAGAGAAATACCCGAATGGATAAGAATAGCTCTTAGAAAGGTTGGGGTAGAAGTCTGAAACTTCGGACAATGCAGAAATCTCGTCATCCAATCAGTAAATGCATTATCCAATCAGCTTTTTTGAGTGAAGTCCTTGACAACATCAAACTTCAGAAGTTTGTCTACGATGTCCACATGTCCCAAAAACATCCTTCGGCAGCATATTCTTCTCATCCCCAGCTCATCAAGTGCTTCGGCCTCCTTTTTATCTGTTCTCAGAAGTTCTAGATATGGCTCCCACTTGCTAGAGATTTCCTTTCCACAAGTAAAGCATCTTATTGGGATTATCATTTTGGAGAGGGCACGGATTTTGACGCTAAATGGTTACAATAGTTACATCCGACTATACCCTGAGATGTGGATAAAGCTTAAAGATAAAGAAACCGGACAGCCATATTTTTACAACACAGAGACAAGAGAAAAGACGGAGAAAAAGCCTATGGAGGGTTTTAGGTTGTATCATATACTTATAAAACATGAAAAATCCAGGAAACCTGTGGATGTAAGCATCGATGAAGCCCTCTCAAGAATAAAGACAATATACGAGGACTTAAAAGCAAAGGTCAATGATAAGAACTTTAAAGACCTCTTCAAGGAGGCAGCATTTAAACACTCCCAATGCTCGTCTGCAAAAAGAGGTGGGGACTTGGGGTTTGTATGTGGAAATGAGATGATGAAAGAGTTTGAGAGGCCTGCATTTTCTCTTCGAAAGGGTGAGATGTCAGAGCCTGTGTCTACACCCTCGGGATTCCATATAATTTATCGAAGGTAAACTAAATGTGGCAGCCTCACATTATTTAATCAAGGTTGTCTTACTAATATCCTCCCCATATCTCTAGCTATTAGCTTTTCTTGTTTACACATATAGTCAATGGCCTTCCTACACATCCACTCGTCTTTTCCTTCAAGTCGTCTGATTAGGTCGTTATATCTTATTGATCCTCCAATTGGTACAAGTAGTTTTATCCTGCTGCAAATTTCTTCAATGTCGCTGATCACATCAGGACGAATCATTCCTTCCAGCATATGCCCTTGAGAGACAGCATTCATTGTGCTTACATTAAAAAGCCTTATTGCTTCTTCCACATGCTTTTCCGTAACAATCTGACTCAGCTCCATCTTTGCAAGTGATTCTCCCACACGTATTATTGCTTCCAGTTGCCGAACTGTTATCGGTATTGCATTTCGCTTAAGAGTGCTATGCTCAAACTCCCTAACCTCTTTCCTAGTGTTGACATAGTATCTTGACAACTGCCTAGATGCTGCATCGGAAAGCGTTGGAAATACCTTACTCTTGGCATATTGTACATATCTTTTTATCACATGAACTGGAATGATGTCCTGCTCTTTGTCTTCCCTCCACCCCCAGTCTCTTTTATCGTCCTGGGATGGGTCTAAATGGCCATCATCCTCTTTGTTCTTATTCTGATGAACAGAAAGTACATGTCTTGCAAGAACAGCATCATTCGGTCCAAATTTATCCTTCAGTATGAATATGCAGTCAAATCTAGATAGAATCGTGGCCCCGAACTCGATGTTCTCATCAGGTGTCTTGTAATCATCATATCTTCCAAAAACAGGGTTTGCTGCGGCAAGGATACTTGTCCTAGTGTTCAGCATTGTTGTTATTCCTGCCTTTGCTATTGATATTGTCTGTTGCTCCATAGCCTCGTGGATTGCAACCCTATCATGCTCATTCATTTTGTCAAACTCATCGATGCAGCATATTCCATTATCTGCAAGCACCAAAGCCCCTCCCTCAAGGTAGAACTCCCCGCTACTATCTCTTATGACGCTCGCTGTTAGTCCCGCTGCAGAGCTACCCTTCCCACTGGTATAAACACCTACTGGCGATACTAACTCCATGAACTTTAGAAGCTGCGACTTGGCCATCCCTGGGTCCCCTAGAAGAAGAACATTGATATCTCCTCTCAGGGTAACCTTGTCTTCAAACACCCTTCTAGTCCCTCCAAATAGCATGCAAGCTAGAGCTTTCTTTACATCCTCATGCCCATACACAGAAGGTGCAATTGACTTGGAGATCTTCTCATAAATGTTTGTCTTGCTAAGGCTTCTGAAACTTTCTTCCTCTTCTTCCGTAAACATCCTCGAAGCTTTGAGGTTTCCATCTTCAAGCCCCGTTACCTTTACAATTGGAATAGAACTATCCCTGATCATCCTCATGCAATAGATCCCAGTAACAACAACTTTTGATCCAGGAATCAACCTGTTGACCATCCCTTTTTCCAGGACCAGGCTGAAGTGTCTAGGTGTTTCTCCAACAGGAATGTCCTCAAAAAACTCCTGAATCTTCACATACTGTACATCTATCACCCGGCTTTTCTCAGGTATGACAATATAGGGATCAGTGGGGCATTCTGCCTTATCACATACTCTTGGAATCATGTCTACTACCTCCTTACTGTTAAGACAGTTCCTACAAACAAGAAACAATGTCTTTGGCTTTGTGATAACGGAAGATGCAGAAACAACTATTCCCTGGATCTTCACTATTTTGTTTGTTTTTGATGCATTTATCTCTCTGATAGGTATACTCCTACCGCTGGAAACCAGGCAAAGCTGAAATCCTTGTACTCCTTTTGTATTATATCTGCCAATTATGGCTTCTTCAAACCACTCAATAGCCCTTTCAGGCCTTCTAGACAATTCCTGTGACAAAAGATCGGAATATTGGTAAATATGCTCTAGCTTGACCGTCAGAGAGAAGTTGTTCTGATTTATATTTGATGAAAGCACATGAGAGTACTCTTTGTGTGTTGTCTTAAACTGCTCGATAAATCGGATGAATTCATGCTTCACAGCCTCTCCATTCACAACAAGATCGTTGGTCACCAGGTCGATGCTTGCAATTTTATGTTCATCCCATGACATTTTGAGATGGGTTTTCTTTCGTACAATTCAACAATTAGAATTAAACACAGCTGGCTCTATCCCAGACATGGGCCATGACCGCATAGATTCAATAGACAGAGGAGTCCCAAGACATACAAACACTTATATACATGCTGTAATCAGCCTTCTAAAGCAGCATGACAGGCCGGTGACCTTTGAGGAAATCAAGGACAAGACAAGAATCGATCTCCACAACAACTACATGCTTCTCCAGTCTATTAAGAAGAATCCGAGGATTGTTGCAACTCACAGTACTTTGATGTTTAAGCCTTTATATTCAATAAGAGGTGTAGAGGACTTGAGAAAGGTGATGAAAGAGATAAATGGAGAAGAAGGACTAGAAATGAGCAAGCTTATGGACTCTCCTGTCAACATCACACCCTTTGTGGAGGAGTTAAAAAGGAATGATGAGATAATTGTGCTCAGCGACATAGACGGGTCAGAGATAGTGTTCTGGAATGATATGCATGAGAAGCCCATTGATCCCCAGATAAAAAGCCTATGGAGTCAAGTTAGGATATCCACTTACCACGATCTAATAAGGGAGCTTAATACTGCAGGATTGAAGACAGAAAAGGTCGAGAACATCAAAAAAAGGCCTACAATTAAGATTAAGAAAGACAGGAAAAGCAGGAGGAGGATCAGAATAACCAATACACATGTAAAGGGGCTGGACCTAAGCGGGGTACAAGATGAGAGGTGACTTCCCATCCAATTGTTAGCTGTTTGTAACGAAATGCATTTATTAAATGGCTGACCTTTTTCAAACTGTTGTCTTATATTCTAGTCCATCCACACTGTATAGATGGCAATCTCGTAGCAGAACATCGATATTTTCCCTTATTTCGTTTTCCGGATACTTAGATGAAAGCATCTTGATAACTACATTGATGTGGAGTCCATTCTCATCTTGGTTCTTTCTGTAACACTCTAGTATATCCTCTTGAATTCTGTCAAGTCTTGCTCCGTCGCTCCTTACTTCTTCTCTTTGGAGCTGCCTGGTATAAAACAAGTGCTGATGGATACAGTTCAGGAAATGATAAGTGATAAAGTTTGAGTCTTCGACTTGGGATAGATGTGATACGGATACACTTCTCTTTCCATTAAATGTTCTGAGAGACCCATTGACCTTAAAAAGATTTTTCTCTTCGAGAATTTTGCATTGTTCTTCTTCATAAGAATTACTTGGCCAGAATGTGCAATCCACACTTCCTGTTCCGTCCTCCAAAACAAACATCGATCCCGTTGCTGATATCCTTGATGAGACAACCCAGCCAATGATCTGAACGTTTGTGACCTCTGCAGAGTCTATAAGGTGCGCTGAAGATATCTCATCAAACTCGCAATTATTAATCTGCTTGATTGTAAGTGCTCTCAGTGTCTTTATTCCTAGAAACTCTCTTTTTGGAGAGCTTTGGATGTATCCGCCATCGCTTCTGTCCATATGGGTCCGGAATTTCCAGTACCAAAAATTTACCCTTTGTGATGAAGATTAATGAATCGGATCTCTTCAAGAGATACAGAATCGCCAACCAAATGGCCTCGAGCTTTCCTCTAATGGTTAGGGAGTCCAATGGGACCGTCCTTGTGACATCGACAACACACACGAGTTATATGACATATGACGTAAAAAAGATGAATCTTCTTTTCTGTGGGCCTATCTTTGGTAGAATTCACTGCACATATCAGAGAGGAGATGTTGTATATGTTGGATCATACAGAGATGTTTATGTCACCACTCGAGGAAGGATTGTCCGTTGTTTTACCCTGCCTTTAAACTCTAATCAGTCTAATAAGAGGATTAGGGTGTCTGAAGAAAGTATGGAGGCTATAGTCAGACAGATACTTGGGTTTGGAGAGATGATCCTGATTCTAACACAAAACGAACTGTTTGTCACAGAGGACCTGAACGAGATGTACAAGGTTGAGCATGATGGGATTGAGAGGCTGTTCCATCCCCACACATATGTCAACAAAGTTGTTAAGATTTTTAAAGAAGGGAGGATGGTGCTGTTCAATGTGTCTTCTAGAAAGGAAATATATGTGTACAAGCCATTTGAGGCACCCATAACATCAATTGAGCAAAGCCCTGTGGTTGATGTTGTTGGAATAGGGCTAGAGAATGGTTCCATACACATATTCAACCTGAGGACAGATAAAATTCTGTTTTCATTCAAGCTCCAAGATGCAGTTGGCGAGCTTAGTTTTGGAGGGAATCACCTTATGGCAATAACCAAGGAAGGGATGTTTATATTTGACCTGAGCTCAAAGAAGAAGGTAATAACGGTTGAAAACAGTGCCACCGAAGTGGATGGAAATGAAGAGAATCCTGTTGGGGGGATACTAAGTGGAAGATTTTTAGATAACCGATCTCTTGTTGTATCTACAAAGGACTCCCTGACTGTCTATGAAGTGGAAAATTACAGTCTTGAGACAGTTAAGAGAAGGAGAACATATAACGACGAGATAATAGGGATGGAGTTTATAGATGAGAGAAATGTGCTTGTGTTCGGGCCAAGGTGTGTGTTCAATATGAATGTATACAGGGACGAACAAAACTTCATGTTCAAGTTCAAAGGCAACATTGAGATGATAGACGTAAACAAGAATATAGTGTGTTTTGGAAGAAGAAGTCTCTATGCCCTTAATTTCTCGGAGAAGAACTCGAGGCTTATTCTGAATAAGGACGTCAATTGCCTGGCTGTGTACAAAGACTTCTGTTGCTTCGGGAAGGACAAGATCATTTTAATCAATCTTAAATCGAAGCTTGTTCATAAAGAGTTTGCCATAGACGAGGAGGTAGTTGACTTAGCAATGGACTTTACAAGGATAGTTGCAGCCACACGTTCTGGAATACGTGTATACACTCTGAAAGGGGAGGAGATCGGTAGATATGAACAGAAGGAAATAGTGTCAGTCAGACTGATGGAGAACTTCATTATTATCTGCACCCTTACTCAAGTTCTGTTTTATGACGATGGAGTCTCAAGAGCATTTAAGATGGGAGATGAGATCGTGGATTATTGTTTATCAAGTGACTCGAAGTGGATAGCCATTCTATGCAACCGGAATGTCTTTCTTTATGACATTCTGACCACAACACTTCTTGACATGCTTGCATTGGATAATGAAGCGAAGTTTATCAGGTTTTCTCCCAACCTTGACTTTCTTCTGGTTGTATCCAGAGGTAATGATCTTATCCTGTTTTCTAACAAGAGTAATTTCCAGTCATCTGCAAGGCCTAAGGAAGCAGCCTTAAACTTTTCAGAGTTCAAAGAGAGGAGCAATGCAAAAGAGGCTGTATGGAAGCACAAGAGGGGGAGTTTGTATTCGGAGCTTCTACTCTTGAAGGGGTTAGAGAATAACTTGGAAGGAAAGGATTCCAGTAGTACAGATTCATCAAAGATGCTAGAGAAGCTTTTAGATGAAGACTGGATAAGAGGGATGGACAAGAATGATATCCTAAAGGTTGTAGATCTTATCACACCTCATGCTCTTACATCCATGGACATTTTCCAAAGAATTTTGTTCAACGTGCTAAGGTACAAATCTCATCTGTTGGAGTCCAGGGACATACATATCTTGAATGAGAAATTCATCAGAGAATGGAATGACTTTGAAGAAGATGCAATGAAAGTTATGGGATATCTTAGTGTTGAGGCTGATGGGCTACTTCAATAGAGCAATCTACCTTCAGATGCTTATCTTCTTAGAATAACGAACTTGGAGGCAACCAATAAACAAATTGATATACCTATTAGTAATAACATAGATCTATTTGTAATAATGGTTAAAGGTTTGACTTCTTGACTTCTCAGATGCAGTAGTTTTATGGAAGAGGAAAATGAGGTAAAAACAGGGAAGCATACATCATACTGGTCAAGGCACCAGAGATTTCCGTCTCTAGATGGACACTTCTCACTAGAAAACCTTCCAACCCTCTCACACATTAAAGCTTCTGTTTGCAGTACTCCCTTCTTGCAGGCACCTTCTGGAACGGGTCTTAATCCGTCCTTTACATACCTGATCCTGCATTCGGGGGACTTTCCATCACAGTAGCTACCCTCTTCACAGTCCATCTTGTGAACGTTTAAGGTTTTTTCCTTACACGTCGTATTTCTTGGGAGCAACTCGCAATCTATACAGCATCTTCCATTTCTATCGTCGCATTGCGCCCAAGACCTCAGCTTGCATTGACTGGTGCAGCAGATAGAGCCATTCGGCAGCCCCGAATCACACTCTTTCCCCTCTCCCATCACCCCGTTTCCACATGTATCTACCTCACCAAACTTCGATTCATTTTTCAGGATAAAGTTCTCTATCTTCTTTATGGTCTTGTGACTGAGTACAGCATTTTCTTCCTTCTCTAATGGACTCTCCTCTTCTCTCATCAAGCATTTTTCATCTAGTTCGTGCTCTGCTCCTAGGCCATGTGCTATTTCATGTGCTAGCACCTTTCCTTTATAGAAGTATGAATCTGATTCAGAGATTCTGATAACACCAAATCTTCTGGTAGAAGAGCCTATTCCTCCAACAAACGTCAGCCCATTCACCTTTATGCTGGATGTTTGAAGAAGAAGAATCAAGTTTGATGTCTCTAGAAATGACCCTGCATCTGTGTCTGTCCTGGCAGATCCAAGAATTCGGCTGAAAGCACTCAGCACTCTGATACTATCAGCCTTTTCTATGTATTCTGGATTGAAGTCCCTGGTTTCTGTCATTCCCAGATTATGCAATCTGCTAAAAGGTTCCTGCACCAGAGGTTTATCTACAACATTGAGTATACCATTCAACGATAGTTTGATTCCATGAATGTTCCATTTATTTCCTTCGAACACATTCCTCGCATTCTTGAATATTTCCATGGTGTCAAGGTTTATATCTGGACCTATCTCTTGGACTCTGTCGTAATCATTAATCAAAAAGACCTTGATAACTCTTTTCCCTCCTCTTGCTTCAACATGCTTCTTGGCATCCTTTTGTGCATGCATAGAGGCCTGTCCTAGTTCCTCGATTTCAACTCTTCCATCTTCGGTTGATTTGATTTGATACATGATTCCAGAGAACACAAATGATCCACGGATGGAGTTGCAAAAGGACATCGACCCATAACATTCTTCTCTGTCAAGACATGTAATAGAAAAGTCGCAGAGGTTCTGTCTCATAAGCACTCCATTGGCTTCAAGAGACGAATCGCTCAATCTAAGCCTGAATTCCCTTCCAAAGGCCCTAAAGGTTAGAATGAGATTAGAAGATAAGGGAATGCTTTCCATGGGAATGATTCTGTTGTCCAAGCTCGCAAACACCATGCTTATTTCTTCTGTTTTACAAGGCACAAAAGCGAGCAGCACAAATAAAAGCATATTGTTTACCACCTTCCTGGGAGCTTTGAGTTATGAAACAGCCTCGGCTTACATAGTCGTATCTTCAGATAGGTAAAGAGTAGAGTCCCCTTGATGATAGCGAAAAATTTGGCAGAGGTTAAGGAAAGGTTTGACAATAGAGATATTGAAGAAGCGAGGGGATTTGAGGTTGAGAGAATATCTAATTCTTGTCTTGTCAGCATGGGAACGTCCCGATTGTTAACTGTGTTTCAAAAAACTGTATCAAAGCCATATATCGACAGGCCTCATGAAGGAATAATAAGCTTTAGCGTGTCTATTGGAGGGAAGAGACATGAGAAATTACTGAACTTCCTTCACAAAGTGTATACTAAGCAGAAAAGCATTGACTTGGAAAGCCTATGTGTTAAGCTGAATGAAGAAGTTACATTTATTCACATAGACTTAAGAATCTTGTCAAGCGACGGAAATATCTACAGCCTTGCTGTCAAAGGTGTGAATTCTGTGCTAGAAGTACTTGGAGTGAAAATGAACTATATGCCTCAATGCTTCTTCTACTGTTCGATTGGAAATGTGATTGTTACTGACCCATCTGAGGATGAACAAAAGGAAGAAGACTGGAGCTGCATTGTTGTAATGAAGTCGTTCAGGGAGATAATTTTCCTCGAAAAGGTAGGAAAGGAATGTGGTATAGAACAGGTGCTTGAGGCTGTTGACAGATCTACTGGGAATTTTGCCATGCGGATTCCAGAAATAGAGAGTGAGGAGGAATGTGGGGGCATTTGATAGATAACCTCTACATCCGGGGTCCCTTCTAATGGGGGTTCTTTTCCAGGGTGCAGAATCGATTATCTGGGATGACGGAGAGACTGTTTCAAAGAGACGCGTGAGAAAGGCCTATAGGATTGAGGCGTTAGACACAAAGATAATAAACAGCAGGACAAGGAGAGAAGCAAGGATCCTTAAGAAACTTGAAGTTGTTGGAATTCCAGCGCCAAAGTTGATAGATGTACATGGCAACACCATTGTGATGGAGAAAATAGATGGAATGCCTCTAAAAGAAAAGATTGATGACAGCGATGACCAGAAAGCCCTCTTCTATGATTTAGGAGTTCTTGTGTCAAAACTTCATCTTGCAGATATCGTTCATGGAGACTTAACGACATCAAACTTCATTTTTAGAGACAAAATCCATGTGATAGACTTTGGATTGTCTTATGTCTCTTCGAAAGATGAGGACAAGGCTGTTGATCTGTATGTCTTTGAAAAAGCAGTTGGATGTAGACACGACACCAAACTTCTGGAAAGCTTCTATGAGGGCTACATGGCCAATGGAAGTTCGGATGTGTTGAATAAGCTAGAAACAGTTCGTTTAAGAGGTAGAAAAAGAGAGAGAACAGCTTTTGGCTAACAGGTAACTTTATTAAACTGAATGGATAAATGTTTTGTGAATATGAAAAGGCAAAATGCATCATCCGAGAATCGAACCCGGGTCAGCCAGATGGCAACCGGCTATTATACCACTAAACCAATGATGCTTGTTGTACCCTCTCCCCGTGCTGATCACTTGATCTGCTAGCAAGGAAAATGGTCCTTTGAAATAGCAAGATTCGTTATACATACAATAGATAGAACACTCTGTTTAATTCACATACAATTACTCAACATTTATCCCATACTTCTTCATTATATTCACAAACTCTCCTTTAAAATTCTCGGCAGCTTCGATATTATCATCCAGAACACTGTCTATTATTCTCTTTACTAAAAACATGACTCTATGCCTTTCACATTCTTGAACACTCTTTCTATTTGCCAATTTGTTTCTATTTAAGATCTCATCTATGTCAGAAACAAGCCCCACCATGTCGGATATATGTTTTCTGCTCCCCTCCACAAGCTCCTTCAATTCAAGATAGATCCTTCCATCCCTGTCAATCTTTTTGGAATTTATCCCTTCCCGCAGTGAAAGAACAATCCTCTTTATCTCCTCATTCTCTTTCCTAAGCTCAACTATTTCCTCTTTCTCGGTACTCTTCAGAGACTCAATTGTCTCCTCCAGCTTTTTTATCTTCAATTCATAAAGGTGAGTTTGATCTCTGGAAATCTTCCCATCAGCAGAGACCCCTCTAGATTCACATACAAGGCCCTCCCTAATCTTCTCGTATCGTATAAATATTCCGTGTTTGTCTTTGCAATGGAAATACCTTATTCCATTCACACTTCCATTATTAGCCCCCACAGGTTCATCTAGCTCCAGCCCTATCCATTTCCCATCCTTCGACTTTATCTTTCCAATGTACCTAACAGTCCCTTTGAACTTGTCTCCAAGCGTCAGCCTATCATTTACCATCAGCAGAGACATCCGGCTTCTGCACCCCTTAACTTGTTCTAAAAAAATAGTCCTTGCCTAATGGATCAAGACTCTATCATTCTCGACATCCCAGAGCTCGATGAGGTTCCAACCATAGAGCTCGATGATCTGGCTTCCTCCGCTTCAATAGAAAACGAATCTATTGCCTCTGCCAGTGAAGAAATCGACAGTACCACCATTTCCAAGATACATGAATACCTTGATAAAGACCTCGAGGACCAGGATCTCCTGATAGAAAAGCTAAAAGAGTTTGAAAAGAAGATAGATGCCTACATGAATATATACAAGGCTCATAAAACTTAGAAAGAATTGTCATCCACCAAGTTTTAATAGGTAAAGTAATAAAGAATCACCTTTTCTTATGTCTCTTCTTCATCATATGCTTGTAATTATCATGTATAGTCTTTTTGATCCTCTCCTCTCTTTCTTTTTCTTTCTTTCGTAAATTCTCCTCCTTCATTCGGCGGAGTCTCTGTATGTTTTCTTCCTCTTCCCGATCCTTTTTTATCCTTTCTTTCATAATGTTATTCTTCATCTCATGTTTCTCTTTGTAGTCAGGAGGAATCGGTAACTCGATCTTCTCACTAACAACAGAGATCCTCCTCTTGTCGAAAGGAAGCTCGTTTTCTATTTCTTGCGGAAGGCTGTAATCCTCATCAGTGTCATCGCATTCTTCCTCCTCGTTGGGAGAAGATTCCTCCTGGCCGTAGTTATGGGTAATCCCTAAGGCTTCTCTTATCTCATGTAGCCTTCGAAGTCCCCTCCATTCATTTACCAGGTTGTTTACAGGAATAAAGATTTTATATGCCTCTACAGGAACAAAACATCTCAATGTTATTATATCGCTCATCAGCATGTTCCCCTCAAAAGTAGCTCTGTAAACCCCGTTCTTTCCATGAGGCGCTTTAACCTGTCCTCTGAGTCCGCTCACAGCCTTAAGTGATGCTCCCTGGAACTTTAGCACCTCAAGGTCAGAAGTAAACATGTCTTGAACAAATACTGTATTTTGTCTGATTTCTTTGGGATATCCAACCAACTTCAGCTTCTTGACAAGCTTTGCATCTCCATTAACATCTGTTATTGTTCCCAGCCCCAGAACCTTAAAGTCTCCCTTTTCACTGTACACAGAAAACCCAGTTCCTGCAGGCACAACAGGCCCATAAAAAGAGACGTTGCAATGCATAGACTCGGGTGTGTACTTTATAACTCTGTTCCTAGTTGCATCTTTCATGCTAAATATTGGAACACTCTGGAACCTCCTCCATCCAACAGAAAAGATTACAGGCTCATTTGTTTTCAGAATCTTCTTGTACCATTTGTATCTCTTGACCTTCCCTTGAATAATATTCATTTCCTTCTCAGCTACAAGAAAGCTCCCGAGAATAATGACATTGCTGAAATCAACTGTCTGAGGAACATGATTAGACAACCTAATCTTAACATACTTCCCAGGAATAATAACCCCAGGAACCATCATCTCTTCGTTCCTTTTTATTTCTTCTTCCAACCTTCTTTTTTCTCTGAGTAGGATGTTGCTGCTTTCTTTCTCTTTCTCTTCATATCCTTTGTTGAATTTCTCAATAAGCTCCTCTTCAGTAACTGCTTCCTTTTGGAACCTGTCAGATGTCATCTTCTTCAGCTCTTCAAATCCAAGACTTGATTCATCTTCCTCTTCCGCCTCCTCTTCTTCCTTTTCTTCTTCAGAATCCTCTCTGTTCGAGCTCTCCGAAGATACATCAGCATCGGACTCCTCGTCAATACTCTTTCCTCCCTTGAAAACCCTGATTTCCATGTCCTGTTCAACTTCAATCCTCATTCCCTTCTTATCTTCAGCTTCTCTTTTCTTTCCCTCATTAACCCCTGACATCGGAGAGTATAGAACCTTCGACCTTTGTGAGAGTTTGCTTTCACCATGGGTAGGAACTGGGTCCATTAGGACTTCAATGTCAGCTATCTTACTATCCCCAACCCCAGGAATATGGACCTCCATGTCTTTCCTCATCAACCCTCCCCTTACATACCCATAGACAAATGTCTCATCAACTCTGTCCACAATGATATGTGGATGCATGCACTTCCATTCAATAGGCCTATATTTCATGACTCCAATCGACCTGCAAAGCTTAAGCAGATCAGAATCCCCGTATCTTCCGTCCTCAACCTTTCCAACATAAAAGAACTTGATTCCAGGGCATATCTCCTCCCATATTCTCTTCTTTATCGACTTTAAATGTTTCTGGTTCTTGCAGCTATCTACATTGGTCACAATACACAGAATCTTGGAAAGCCCGTGAGATATCAGTAGAGTGAGAAACTCAAATGTTTCCATCTCCAACCCAGATCCTGCATTGATGGTGAGAATGACTAGGTCAGACACTTTCGACACGTCGACAAACTGATGGATGTCAACCCTTGATTCAAATAGAGTGATCCTCTTGGATTTTGATGGAGACAGTGTCACGGGGCCCCGGGGATTATCTATCAGTTGATGAGTAAAGTACTTCACTATAGATCTCATTAATGTCGTTTTCCCGCTTGAAGGTGGCCCTACTATTGACACAAACGCAGGGGGGAGGTCTTTGTAGAACATGTTCTCTATTGGAACCCTTGCTATCTTCTCCTCATGCCGTAGCTGTCCGTCAGTCACCCTTCTTGGCTTCTTAGTGTCTGTCTTCTCATTCATGAATTTTAGGGTGAATGCGAATAATAAATAACATCTGCAACCCTATGACAGTTGAAGAAATAAGAGTCTACAAAGTACATTCCAACGCCAAAATCCCAAAGAGGCAATCTGAAGGAGCAGCTGGATATGATGTGCATTCTGTGGAGTCTGGAGTGATCCTGCCGGGGGAGAGAAAGTCCATACGAACGGGATTAATATGGGACATTCCCCAGTCGATTGTTGGACTAGTGTTTGGAAGGTCAGGGCTTGCTTTGAAGAACTGGATGGAGGTGGTTGAGACATGTGTATACCCTGGGGAAAACAAAGAATTGGTGATTACTCTTATTAACAATGGAAAGCAGCCGTTTGAATATGAAGAATGCTGCCGCATAGCTCAGCTTGTATTTGTTCCCGTGCTAAGCTGTGAAGTGAATCTTGTGGAGTCTCTTGATTCCACTGAAAGAGGATGTCTTGGATTTGGATCAACAGGAATGAAATAAAATTCTAAAGTTTAATAATATCCTACCTCATTAAATATCAAATGTTGTTTCCAATGTCTCATGTCTCTTTCTTTCTCCTTTCTCTTGACCTCCTCTGCAAGTCTTTTCCATTGCCTCTCTGTCCTTACAGGGATTCCAAACATTCTTCGAGCGCGAGCCTCTATATCATTGTCCCCGATTTCTGACCTACTTTTTTTCATTTTCAAGAGCTTCCATATCAACTCATCAAGCTTCATCGCAATCTTTTCAAGGCCCGTAAATGCAACTTCTATGGATAGGTCCATTTCGGTGTTAGCAATGGACTCCTGGCCCACAAATGTAGCGACAGTCATATATATCCAGTAAATTCCAAATCCTAAAAGTCTTCCTGGATTCATGTGTGCAGACCTGGCAATCTCTATTTGTTTAGGAAATAACACCATTCCGAAACATCAGCATCGATTACAAAGAAAACAATGGATGTAGTGCCTAGATAAAGATCACCCTCCACAACCTGGTAGAAATATGATAGAATTTAAGTATCTAGCCACAAGAAGTGGTAAGTCATTGGTGCTAACAATAGACAATAAAAGATATCTATTCAATCTCTTTGAAGGGTTTCAGAGATACTGTATAGAATCCAGCGTCAGTATCAGCAAGATCTCAACAATCTTTGTTTCATCAGAAGAATCCGTTCCTCCTCTGATAGGAATGTATCTAACTTTGAGAGATGTAAAAAAGAAAGCTCTAGATATTGTGTGCAGCCCAAGGATACAAGAGATGATAATCCTAGCGAAGAGATTTGCAGACCCAATGAGCCTAAGAATTAACTATATGAGAGATTATGCAGATGAGTTTATTAGAGTAGAAGCCATTGAGAGCATGCCCTCTATAGAAGCTGATGGAAAAAAAGAGTTCTCCTTCATTCTGAAGATCAAACCGATCAGAGGAAGATTCCTTGTAGAGAAGGTTCCTGAAGACATCCCAAAGCACTTATACTCCAGGCTCACAAAAAGAGAGAGTATAGAATACAATGGAAAAGTATATGATGGGAGAGAGTATATGGAAGACGATGTAGACATTGGCACTATTGCTATTGTTTATTCTTCTGGAAACTTTGAAAGACTTTTGGAAAGAATAAGAGAGGAGGCACCCAAGTATTTCTTTTGCTTTCAAAGGGATGTTGCACAGCATCTATCCTCTGTCTTTGATGGACATTTCTTTTTCTTGGAAGACAACCATTTTGTTGAATATCTGTCCTTATATAACATTCAGCTAGAATTAAGCTCAATACACAAGGACTTTCTATTACCGCTTCCTAGCGAGAACCTTACTTATCCTTTGAAGCTCATAGAGAGTATTCAGAGCTGCGGAACTCTTATATATACTAAGAGCACAAAGTGCTTCTCTCACCTCCCCTCATCCCAGAAGGAGCATACTTCATGTAGCAGAGAGCACAAGGAAAAGGCCATACTGTTTCTTGGAACAGGATGTGCTATCCCATCTAAGTACAGGAATGTATCGTCAATACTCTATGAATCCCATGATGCTGCCATTATGCTTGACTGTGGAGAAGATACTTTATTCCAAATTCATAGGGCCTATGGAGGATTTAATGTTCTGAAAAAGCTCAAGGCGATTTTCGTATCACATTCTCATGCAGATCATGTGCTGGGAATTACATCTGCATTGAAGAAGATAAGTCATAAAATAAAGATCTTTGCTCCGGCTGCTATAAAGCCATTTGTCAAAAGCTTCGATATTGGAAATCATGAATATATAGAAACAAACCATGCAAAGGCAATGGAAAGAAAGTTCCAAGACATATGGAAGCTATCCCAAAGGTCTCCTCTGTGCACGGTTGATGTGGAAGATCACATTCTGAAGTTTGATGTTGGGTTTGAGGTGGGGATTTGCGGTGTGGACCATTGCTCCGATTCTTGTGGAATTAGAGTGAAGGATGGAGACACAATCATAACGTACTCTGGAGATGCGAGGCCTTCCATACTCTTTGGGATGATGTCTCTTGATTCGGATGTTATGATACACGAGGCTACATTTGCCCTCGATCAAGAGGAAAGGGCCATGCACACAGGCCATTCAACAATAGATGGAGCACTTAAAGTCTTCAAAGCATCTAAATCAAAGGTTTTGCTCCTTACCCATTTCAGTCAGAGATACTCGAAGGGAATTATATCTGACGGACAATGGATCCCATGCATAGATTTATTTAGATATACAATTGGGTCAACTCTATATCCTACAGACGAGATCAATGCCTACTATGACAAGCTTAAGTTGGCTGAGAATAGGTGATTAATTTATTTCAATGACAAAACTCTTTGTTTTCTGGAAATGAGATAACTTTTCCACTTAGAGAGGAGTTCATCAACATCCACGGTATGTTCCTCCGACGAGCTTACTTCATCTGTGACGGTACCTTCGAACTGCTCTATAGCTTTTGCCTTATCTTCTTCAGGAATACGTATGAAAGGCCTCCACATAAGCAAAGAAAGCCTATTAAACACCTTTTTCCAGAGGAGCTTTCCATTTCTATTGAACATCTGAACTAACCCGCTTGAACAATCTCCAGCAGAAGCAGAAGCTGCATAAAGTCCACTGTGTGACCATAAAATGGATGTGCATGATGGGTGAGAATAGGCACTTCTTAGCTCGCCGTTATCATAGAATTCTATATTCCCTGTATCGGAATCATGGACACAGCATATTTCATCATAAAGTGCAATGAAAAGATCGTCCTCCTTTTTGATCTGCTTTATCATGTTAAATCCAAACTTGTCTCTACTATATAATAGAAGTGTTTGCTTTGAATCTACAATGGCAAACATCTTATCGGACACTTCCATCTGCTCTACACATCCCTCAAGTTGCGTAAGGGTTATTCCATCCATTCCATAAGATTCCACAAACTGGACATTTTTCTTTTGTATGTTCTTTGTTATGAGCGCAAAGCACCTGTTTTCCGAAAAGTGGAACTTGATCTCTTCGATATTTGCATGTGACTTAGAGAGTTTATGCTCTCCCTTGGTGTATCTGATTCTCTGCACCCTATCACTACTGAACTCCACTTTCTGATCATTGTGGTACTTGATAAATTTCACGTTGGAGAGTTTTTGATCGAGTGCGACTTCCTTACCCAATGAAAGAGAAAAGGCCTTGCCTTTATCCAGGAAGTAGACACAATCTTCATCAAATGCAATCTCCCCCTTACCTCCTTGCTGCCTAACAAGACATTCGTTCTTGAATGTGCTCCATACACTGGTTTCTTTCCTTGTGAAAACTACAATGAATTTGTTATCGGGGCTGAATGACACGTCTACAACCTCGTCATTGAGTTTAATCTTGCTGAATACCTCAAGACGCCTTCCAACTCTGATTTCGATTGTGCTATCTACAAGGAAGCATACAAATACTCCATCGTTGCTGACCATGCACTTTCTAACATCGTTGAATCCACTTATCTCTTCAAACTCTTTGTTCTTCTGCTCAAATAAGGAAAGAATACCGTTGTTGAGTATTACAAACTGCTCACGTCCAGAAAACTGGAAGTCGACAAATTCCCTGGGCTCTAATTTTTTCAATGGAACATACTCCTTGTCCTCTGAACTCATTGTATCGTAGAAATCTTTCAAGGAATAGGCTTTAACATGGGAGAAATTCTCAAGCTTCCTAAGAAGAAGTCCAGCTTGTTGGGAAGTTTTCAATTGCACAATACACAGCCCATCTCTGAACAGGGAGTTGTCTGGAGTAATTTCAGGTAGACTGTTTTTCTCCTGGTCAAGACCAATGATTAGGATTTGGTTGTTCATTGAAAAAGGGCTTACAGGGAATTTTTATCTTATGTGCAGACTGTTGTATGTATCACTAGATATCCCAAGGGGTATGGAGAAGGAAAAGAAAGCAGAACACGTTGTATTCAGAGGCATGAGATTCAAAGATTTGCTACAGGTCCAACAACTAAATGTCAAAAACTCAACTGAAAACTTCTTATTGGGAACGTTCCTGAATTCCCTATCGATGTCTTATACAACCTCTTTTGTTGCAGAGACGGATGAAAAGGTGATAGGATACTCGGAGGCCGTCTTTTTCAAGAGTAAGATGAAAGGGCACATCTACTCCATTTGTGTGGATGCGCCCTTCAGAAGGAGTGGGATTGGCAGAAGACTTGTTAATCTTTCCATAGATGCCATGAGAATAGAGTCGCAAGGAAGAAGGTGTGAGATTGATCTTCATGTACGGGCATCGAATGTTGGGGCAATTAGTCTGTATAGGTCTGCCGGATTTGAGATCAGGGAGGCCAATATTCCCTACTATGAGGCCGGGGCAGCAGGACATAGAATGAGCTTATGGCTGGAGTCAAGTACATGATCAAAAAAATAATGGAAGATGCTAGGTGCAGTCTTATGTCCCAATGGCCTCTTAATTTGCTTTGGGGTAGAAAGCCCTTAAAAATGGAGACAAAGCATCCAAGCCTTATCGAGGCAAGAAGGTATGAAGAACGCAAGCTTCCTTCCATAAGAGACATTTATACAGGATCCGACCAGACGTATGCAGTTCAGAAGATGATGGTGAAAAGAAGAGAAATAGGTATCCCGAAAATTGAGTACAAGAGATGTGGCATACTACCTGTCATGAGTGCGCTATGGTTTACGAATGGCAAGAACCTTGTGATCTGGAGGTATGAAAGTAATGAAGAGGAGGAGATAGGGACATTTTCATCTGAAGTACTGGAGGTAATAATATTTACTCCCAAGGCCGGGATTTTCAACGAGAGAATATCGCACTGTTTATTTATTGCAACTGAGAAGCAGGTGATGATCTACGGGATTGAGAAGGACACCCTTTGCTTGGTTAATACCGATTTCGTGGCGTCTTCTCCAAGCTGTGTGAGATGTGCTGAGGCCTCAAATGGAGATGTATTTATAGGGTGTGAGAATGGAAAGGTGTATCAGATTGTCTACAAGAGCGTTGACTCCTGGTCTTTCAAGATTATGCATGCTTATGACCCGAGCTCGTCGATTCTATCAAGCCTAGTTCCATCTGTTCTGAAACGGAAGAGGTCGGCAGTTAGAGCTCTGAGCTTAGGAAAAAGGTTTATGGTCTGCCTCGACAGAAATGCCATTATATACAACATTGAGGGAGGAATGTACAAGGTAACAGAGGTTGTGTTGTGCAGGGAGTATGCTGATGTACAGATAGTCGATGAAATGGAGGATTCAGTGTTTTTCTATCTAATACAAAGGGATGGGTCAAGGGACTTCTATGAAAATTCTAGACTTGTGATGACAAAGAGATCTCCAAACATTGGGGATATGACTGAGATCAAGGAAATGAAGGTGCATACATCAAATAGAAGGCTTTGCATGGCGCGGAATGGGCGATATGATGGAAGCATTGTAACAGTGATCTCTTTGAACGAAGACCAGATTTACAACTTCGATAAGCTAAAGAGCTCTGAGAGCTATGAGGTTGTTGTTATGAAAAGTGATATAGAGCTTATTGGGATTGATGGCAGGACTATTCTCTTCCTGGGAAATAAAAGGATCTTTATATATGAGATCCAGACTATTGAGAAGTTCCTTTTGAATTGTAGGTCTGAGGAGATCTTTAGTATGTACAAGAGCTATGGAGAAAGGGAGATGCTGGTGATATACTACGAGCTCCTTGCAAGTAATGAGGATGTGGGAAGGCTGGAGTATCTTTGCTTGAAGAATGAAGATTCTCAGGCTTCTGCATTATTCCTATATCTATACAGATTGATAAGACCTATTTTAAGCATTCCATTTGAGGATATTCTGAACGGAGAGAGGAACATATATCTTGAGAGGATCCAGAGCAAGATGAAGAACATAAGAGGAAAGATCAAGGCCAGACATCTGAAAGAAGGATATGACTTTATAGATGAGTTTCTGCAGACATGCTTCTATATGAATGTGCTGTATGAATACTCTGTGAATCTAGAGGGAAGATCATTGGAATATGTTCTTCTCGAAGACAGTGAGGAATTCAAGAAAAGGACTCTTAAGTCAATCCTTGAGATGTTCAAGGTAAACCAGAGTGTTGAGCCTCTCATAAAGACACTCAGCGCCCGATGTCCTTTGTTCCTTCCCATGGAGGAGGTTTACTATCAAAGAGGGCTTGAGATGTTGAACAAGAGACCTTCAAGGGAGGTGCTATTTGAGTCGCTGAACAACCTTAAGAATGTTCAGTACAACGAGGGACTCATTGCAAAATACAACGAGTTTGGATTCTATTATGGAAGTACAACGCTTATCAGAGAGAACTTCAATTTCGACTTTGAATATGGAGTTGAGATTCTGAAGAAGAGTATTAGATGTGCTGGCGCACTGAACCTTGCATTGGAGGATCCAAGAGAGGATTTCCTATACGCACTGTTTGAAGCATTGATCGATATTTTGAAGGAGAATGAGTTTGGAAAGGAGTGTAGCTGCTGCGATAAACCTGGAGCTATGGTTCTCAATGATATAGTTAAGATATCTGTGCCGTTTCTTGAAAGGTTTCTAAAAGAAAAGGCTATGTCATCGAGTGATCCCAGGATATTTGAACTTCACTGGAAGTACTGTGTCTACAGAAATGATAAGATGAAGGGAACACAATCTCTGTTGGAGTTGGCTGATAACAAACCTGTACCTTTGGAAACAAAGATCGATCTTCTGAGAACAGCCTTGAGCGTGTCGGTCAATACGCCTTTGTTCAACGAGGTCAAACTCCGATTAGAGCTTGCAGATATACAAGTCGATATTTTGAAGAGAGGCCGGATTGATCCAACAATAAGCAACAATCTCTTATCTGCAGACGAGCTATTCAATGATTATGCGTACAAGTATCCTGAGTTGGCTCTTAAGATCATTGGAATATCTAGCTATACAGACAAGGCTGTGATAAGGGAGTTATGGGAGGAGGGGATGAGCGGAGACTTTGATTCAGCAGTAGGATTTCTGGGGACTGTTAAGGCTTCTGGGCCTGCAATGGACTGTAACATAGTTGGGGACATTCTATGCTCCAAAATGACCAAGGGAAAGAGGCTGGGAAAAGCACTGGCAAACGCTGGGTTCAGCTACCTTGAAGTTATAAGTTTCCTAGAGGAGAAGATCAAAGGGGAAGACTATAATCATCCTGAGATGAAGAAGATGCTCTTAAACGACCTCAAAGAGTTTTCCAATAACAATGAGTTCTATCTCAAGATTGAAGAATATTGCCGGAAGAAGTATGGAATCTAGAAATAAACCTTGCTGCTTCTATTTACGAATCTAAGCCCATAGCTCACAAAATATGAGTAAGCTTGAATTTAATTATGAAAATTTTACCATGGGATGAGGTGGATCTCAAACATCCTTAGAGATATCAGAAGGTCTTGTTCCGAAAGAGAAATAACATCCACCTTCGACACATACAATGCCGAGGCAAACGAAATAGTCACTTCTCAAACATGCAGCGGTGTGAGAACAGAAATATCGAAGACAATTTTTCCATTCCTTCAGGTATCTAGGGTTGATATCCTTGATAGAAATGCACATGTCAGCCAGATGTTTGGGACTCTGAGTCTAAAGAATTCCTTGGTGCAGGTCAGCATGGACCATGAAAACAGCATTGGGGTTAGGGCTATGAATATGTATGGAAACCTTGCCACAAGGATCCATACGATAATCACGGGGAAGAAGGAAGTGTTCAGCCAAGTCGAGATGGAAATGAAGAATAGGATCAGCAGTTTTGGATTAAAGATGATAAGTCCTGCCATAAAAAGTACAGGAATGGTATATGTTGCAAACACACTCCAGCAGTTTGGATCCTTGAGTCTTGGAGCCGAGATTATTGGGGCAGACACAGAGGTTGGTATTTCAATGTGTGGAAGGTACGAGCATAGAAACGGGGTCTTTTCTGTAGGACTTCAGCAGTTCACGGCACTAAGCCTTAGTTATTACCATAAGATTGGAAAGTTCTTTGATATTGGTGCAGAAATACAGGCACCAAGAGCTAACCCACCCAGTGCAGCCATAGGATGCAGGCTATCAACATCAAAAACCCAAGTAAAGGCAAATGTGAATAGTGACATGTCTCTGGGGTTTTATCTTGGAGAAAGGCTGACTGAAGGGTTGACTTTTAATGTCAATGCAGAGGTTAACAAGTCCGGGTGTTCCCATGGATTTGGGTTTTCATTGGAATTCTAAGGCCATTTATAAAAGCAAAGGCGTTTCAGTAGTTACATGGAATTAATTTGTAAGCCTTGAAGAAATCCTCTACTTCATTAAGGTATCGTTCCAAGGTTATTAGGAATGGGTTTGGGCCTGCATCGAATGTGTAGGCAATCTTCACCCTGTCTCTATTAAACTCATGACACATTTCAATGATATTGAATCCATCGTCTCTTATGTATCTAATTGGAGGATATGTATCCATAAGAATGCTGTGGAGTTCATTGGATTCTCTCATTGTGAGATGAGCAAACCCATCGAAATCCTTGTGAGTGATGTACTGGGCCATGGCCTTGACTTTTTCCTCCATTCCGGACAGCCTAGCCTGATATAAATTGCTTGTATACCTTGTCCTTATCATTCCCTCCGTGCTCCCTATTTTCTTGCAATCCCCCGACAATATAATGGAAAGAATCCTTATTTCTGGCCAAGGTGGTAGCTTTTCAATATATATGCCATTGAACAAGCAGATTTCTGGGCATATGCTTCTTCCAGCACTTCCTGACCCAACTCTTGCAATTCTGCACAACTCTTCTTCCGATGTTTCAAGGTTATAGAAGTCGTTCAGGGCCAATGCCAATGCAGCAAATCCTGATGCTGAGGATGCAAGCCCACAAGAATGAGGAAAGCTATTAAATGATTTGATGCAGATCGGCCTCCCGTCTCCAGCTCTGTCTCTAAATATCTCCACAACACGATTCATTCTTTCTCCAATAGTAACCATTTCATTATTTAAGTAGAAGGTATCTTCCATAGAATATTCAATAACAGTCTCTGTCAAGAAGTTTATTAGAGGAAAGGATATTGATGGATTGGAAGGTGTATTCTTTGTTTCGTCTGTTTTCCCCCAATACTTTACGACAGCAATGTTGGGATGAGTCCTTCCGTAACCAGATGATGAATCTTTCATTTGAGGGCTATTGCTTCGCATTGGTCTTTCTATTTACATATCCCTGAATACTTTAAGATTCAAGATCCAGTTCGTGTCTTTCTTCCATTCTTCTGGTTGCCACATGTGCTAAGATGCATAACTTACCAGGGCATTCTTTGTGAACATTCTCTTCAAATACCTCCCCTTCACTAATCATCCTCATTTGATTCTTTATCCTTTGCCTTTGGTTTTGAAACCATATCTGCACCGTCCTTGGGCTTATGCTTAGGATTCTTGACAGTTCCTCCCTGGTTGATGTAGAAGGAAATGGATTGTCTTGGAAGCAGGCCATCAATGCTTTAATTTGGTCTCCTGTCATTCTTGTCCTGGGTTTCTTGCCTTCTCTCTTGGGTTTTCTGTTCATAGTACAAAGCAAGCTTACTATTTTATCCTTTTGATGAAACAGATAAGCACCCTATTAAAGTAACCGAATTTGTCTTTTGTTTTCATTGTACTATTTATAATGGCTGAAACTTCTACCCAATGAAAACAAGCATTACCCGGTGTTTTAACAGCCAGCGTGCTTTCCAATCAGAGAGCTAATGTATACTCTCTGTGTCTCTTGATGTTAACCCGCCTGCAAAAATTTACCCCAATGAATTCCACACATTCAGAGGCTCAGGTCACTCAGTTTGGACAGGCAATTCGAATCAACAACAACACGGCTGCAACGCTTTCTGGATTGTTCTCGTCGAGTATAGGGCCCTTTGGAAGCTACAAAGCGTTAATATCCCCTGGGCAGACACTTCGCATTGCAAAGGATGGGAACACCCTGTGTAAGGAAATACAATTTACGCATCCCACATCAATCATCATTACAAGAGCTGCAACATCCATGTACACCACATTTGGAGATGGGGCCACGACACTGATTATCTTGTGTTGTGAGATATTTAATGATGCATTTAGACACTTTGAAAACGGAGTGCCTATTCCTAGAATATGCGCTTCTCTTCAGTTGTGTCTCGATGATGTAATGAGGTATCTCAAGACACTAGAAAGGCCATTTGAAGAAGACACACTTTCGAAAATGGCCTATAGTATTATTAGAACCAAAGTTGATGAGGACATGGCCTTGAGCTTGTCAATGGTATTAGTCCAGGCTGTCGAGAATGCGATACAATCACAGTTCTTTGATATAAACATGGTGGAGGTTATTAAGATGCAGGAGGGAGACGTGTCTGAAACCATGTATGTGGATGGACTTGTGCTAGATCATGGAGGAAGGCATTATGCGATGCCCGATAAACTTGAGGAGGTTTGTATTTTGATAACCAATATGTCACTCGAATATGAGAAGCCGGAGATAAATGCCGAGTTTTGCTATAGTTCTGCAGAGCAAAGGGAAGAACTTGCAGGAAAAGAAAGAGAGTTTATATTACAGAGATCAAGGGCTATTGCGGAGTTTGGTCGGAAGATCAAGGAAAAGAATGGGAAGACCCTGATGGTTGTGACGGAGAAAGGGATTGATCCATATTCATTGGAAGTATTTGCAAGCTCCGGGATTCTTGCATTAAGAAGAGCAAAAAGAAGAAATCTTGAAAGGCTTGTGAGAATGTGTGGGGGAAATGTGATTACGCATGTTGGCAGCTCAATGAGAGGATTTTGGGATGCTGCCAAAAAGTGAGTGTTAAGAAGATAGGAGATGAAATGTTTACCTTTATTGAAGGGACACCATTCAAGGGGTCCTGCACGATTCTGATTAGAGGTAACAGTCAACACCGAGATGTCCAGGATGGAATCTGGTATCCGAGGAGCTTTGAAGAGCCTGTACATCTCTCTAAAGAACAGAAAATATATTGAAGGAGGATACTCGCTTTACAGGTCACTGATTTCTTACATCAGAGAGAAGATGAACAGTGTTTCTGAGAAGGACGTAGTTGGATACAAAGTAATGGAAAACTCTTTTCTTAATGTGGTCAAGGCTTTGCTGAGAAACTCCGGTAAGGATATACAGGAAGAGCTTACGAGGATTCTCAGAGGAGGGGAATGCGAAAGGGTTGTTGACAATTCCTGTGTAGTTTCAGCTGTGATCTCGAACTCCACTGTTGTTGCCACAAGCTTATTACTAGTTGATGAGATAATTAAGGCAGGAAAGCCAATAAAGGAGAACAAACCCGAGAATTAAAGTTATTTTGATTGATTAAGTACTTGATGGCTGGGGGACTATTGAAGCATGATTTCATCCTGGATGTTTTATTTGAATAAGCTTCTGCTACTTGCAAATCTGGAAAATGCGTTTGGGGTTGACTGGTCAGGCACCTCTTCCTTCTTCGATGGGGCTTGAGGAATAGTAGGAGGGTTATTACTTATGGATTGGAAGATATTGGATGGAGAAGTGTTGCTAAACAATCCCTCAAACTGTGTAGAACTACCCTGGGGCATGGGTTGACCAAAGATGTTGGAAGGTTGTATAGTAGGAATGGATGTGTGGTTTTCTTTTTTACTTAGTAACTCGTTTCCACCAAAGTAACTTTCATCAGGTTTGTCTTCTATTTTCTCGGAAAGAATTTCCTTTTGATGAATTACCGGCTCTTCTTTCTTCTCGCCAGGTATGGTATCTGCAAGCCCCTGGCTAAGATTAAAATGCTGTGTAAAGCCATCCCCAAGATCATCATTATCTATCCCTTTCTCTGTGTAGTCTACATCTACTAAAGTCTTTTGAACACCCCCTAACTTCACACTCAACTCATGGGAAGTCCTTCCCACCTTTTCAATCCCGTAGAACAGTGGCTTTGTATAGTGCACTATCCTTCGTCTTCGTCCTTTTGAAATACTTTCTATTGCACTGTCAATATATCTTACTGCATTTCTTATGTTTTCCTCATCAATCCCTCTATAAACCTCGAGACTATTAAGCATTAAGGAAAGTTGCTCGGCCATTTCATCTCCCATTGTCCTATAGTTTTCAAGTCTCATGACATTCGTATATATCTCCTCGACAGACAAAGACAGATCATTTGCATTGTATTTGTACATCCGAAAGGTTTTCTTCTCAACCTTTATTCCCTGGAAGTCCTTGGTAATCTCATCTATCTGTGAATCAACTCTTTCAATTAGTGCATCCACTCGGGAATCTCCTGTCAACTTTCTGGAGAGCACATCTTTGTTTCCAGAAGGCTTTTTACTCTCCGATTCTACAGAAACATTACCCCCTTTGGCAGAGTCCAATAGGCTGTTTAATGAAGCAAACGCCCTCTTTTCTTCTGTATCCTTGCCTATATTCATGGAATCATTTCCCTCGTTCATCTTCTTCAATCCCTCTTCCTTGGAAATCATATATCTTTCTTCTGTAAAATCAACGTCTCCCTTTGCTTCCCTTTCACTTTCTATTCCACAAACCTCAAACTTGCTCAGAACTCCATCCTCATCAATAAGATATACATACTCTCCAGAGTGGTCCATACCCACCAGGTACCTGACATTGAACTCCTCATCTGTTCTTAAGTTCAGCAACTTTATTTCTTCCTCCAAATCTAGCTCATGAAGGCCACTTCCAAGAAATAAGAACTTTGAAGAGTTACTAGATGCTAATAGATCTACCCCGTGGAAATCGCAATGATAATAGCAAGGCATTACACCTCTATCATAGTCCACATCCCCAGTGTGAAGTATGTTTTCAATCTCGCTATCCCCAAGAATTAGCTTCCCCTCTGTTACAACTATGATCTTGTCTCCACTGCTGCTTCGAAAAAGTTTCTTCACATTTTCGTAATCCATAAACCTCTCATCTAAATCAACAGTAGAATCAGGAAGAAGAAAGTCTTTCACATCTTTCTTTTCATACATAAACGCTCCATCCTTGAATACCTCCAAATGCCCATCCTCAGTCAGGAATCCCAGATGCCCATTCCATGCTTCTCCTCTTCTTATTTGTATCCTGGTATGAATTCTTCTGATTATAGATGTGGAGAAGTCTAGAATAGCAACCTCATTGCACTTTGTCATTACAATCCTTGCTCCATCCTTACTTAGATAGATAACACCCTCTTCAAACTTCTTTTCATTAAGAAATAGTGTGGTGCCAAATAGAACCACTCTATGACCCTTGACTACAAGGACCCTTGAGTATTCCTTTGGATACAGTTGGCCCCATCCGGTGCCTCTTTCTTTCAATATAAAACTGACATTCTTTTCCATTTCTTTAACATCAATTCTTTTCATTTCAGACAATTCAGGCATCTGTACAGAAATATATTTTATCCATCGAAAATGGCCTTATCAAAGAATATTTATTCTTACTTACATATCTAATTCCAGCCTAGGCATCAATCACATCCAACCTTATAGTCCAGTGCTGCAAGCGCTATTGCAAAGGCCTGCACTCCAGACCAGGGATATGTGTAGTCAAGTATGTACTTGAACCTTGAGACCTTCCCAAATGTCAGTGTCACATATGTCGGCTCAAGGGGGTGTATAAGCTGGAAGTTCTTCACGGAAGGCGTGGTTACTCGCCCATTAAAATTCAAGGAGTAGCTGTTGGTTTCGGCATTGTAGTAAGGCTCCTTGTTCTTCATCACAACAGGCTCGTTTAAGGATGATCCCAGTATCCCCATAAACATCACCGAAAACGACCTTGGGCCTCTTCTTTTAAATATAGATGTTGCATATCTGATCTCCAAAACTGCCTTTTCCCCCTGATAAAAAATGTACTTTGTCCCAAACAGGTTCGACTTTAAGTACCCTACTTTTTCCTCATTGTTCTGCTCAAGTAGACATATCTCAAACCCACACATGACTCTATATGCCTTTAGGAGTTTGTTGGCCCCGTGCTCGTGGCTTTCGTACAGATACTCATTGAAAAACCCATGACTAACGTCTACTCTTCCTCTTGAAGTTCTGCCAATAGGATATGGGTCTAATACAGCTGATATTCCCTCTCCCGCGCCATGCTCACGGTCCACTGCAATATGTAGCTCTTCAACTCCGCTATCAGACATATTGTCCAAATATTCGATGACCCGGTTTTCACTTGGAGAATAAGAAAACTCATAGACTAGTGGAGATAAGGTACATTGTTCTCCATCTCCGGTATTATGTGTATGGTCGGTGGATGTTGCCATATACCCGTTTTCTCTCTCCATTCGAAGGTTTACCGCCCTTGCTTATATCCATAGCTTTTCCTGTCGTTTCAAAACCACAAACCAATCATCTTTCTTGGAAGAAAACCATTGTGCACACGATCTTTCATGTCTGAAACAGGCCTGAAGATGGAAATAGTACCATGCTTAACATTATGGGTACAACCCAGTAGACTTAACAATAGTTTGCATAGGCTATAGACTTTCTATAGGCATGGAGAAACACTTATGGATGGTTTCTCTCCAGCCACTATGCTCTTTATATAAGAAGAGGTACAAACACCTAAACTAAAGTTTGATAGAAGCGAGATTAATTTCCAAAAACGGATTTTGAAATTAATTGGATGCTTGGAGGACGAATTAGTCAAAATAGAGGAAAAGACGTTCGATTAGTAGACTTTGGATATCTTAAGACATTCTTGATGCATGCTCCCACACCATGAATTCATTGTTTGGAAGACTGAACAAAACATTGAAGATGGAGCTCAAGAAGGTACTTCAGTCTGGGTCCAGCAATGAAATGTTTGGTTTTCTTAATGAATACATGAGATTTGTTGAAGATGATAATGATTCCTATAGACACTTGTTTCTGGTTGGTGAAAATCCTCTGATAGCACACGAGGAGAATAAAGAAGAAATGAAGGAGTTCAATAAGAAGTGTCTTGAATTCCTTTCCAAAACAATAAATGGCAGCAAGAGGTCACATCCTTACGACTCCACCTTGTCTGAGGCCGAGACATATATGGGCCTTGGATACGAGTTTGGCTTATTTGGGCTCCGAAAGGATGGAAGGTTGGCGATAAGCTACTATTCTTCAGCAGCCAGGCAGAACCATCCAGTAGGGACATTTAGGATGGGGCAGTGCCTTGAAAAGGGTGTGGGAAAGACTAAGAATCATAGGCATGCTTTAGACTTCTACAGGTGCTCTGCCAAACTGGGGTTTATTGTTGGGATGCATGCTTATGGCTCTGTTCTCATCAATGGGGATATAGGAAGCAAGAAAGACTTGCAAAGTGGCCTGTTCTATTTAAAGCTCGCCGTCAGAAAGGCTAACAAGGAATACCCATATCCCTATTACGACCTTGCACAGATATATGAATCCACCACAGCACCAAGTGAGATCCAGGCAGATGATGAATACGCATTCAGGCTGTATTTGAAGGGTGCCGAGCTTGACTGTCCAAACTGCCAATATAGAGTAGCAAGATGTTATGAGCTTGGAGAGCTGAAACAAGAAAAGAGCCTTCCTTTGGCTGTTGATTGGTACAGAAGGGCTTCTCTTCTTGGGCAGATTGATGCTCAAGTAATATACTCAAGAATTCTGTTTACAGGAATAGAGGGTGCGGTCCAACCGAACTTGAAGGAGTCATTTTTCTGGGCACTAAAGGCTGCAGTCAAAGGGCACTCGCAGGCTGCATTCTCTGTTGCAGAGTTCATCGAAACTGGATGTGGAATGCCAAAAAATACATTTCTGGCATTGTGGTGGTACACAATCTCTTACGAGACTGGGAACACTCAGGCAAAGTCTAGACTCATGGTCCTCCAGCGCCAGATAGAAATAAAGAATGAGGGGACTAGAGAGGCAAGATGCTGTGGATACTTCTGACAGTCTTTCCTTCACTGTATGTTTTTTTATCTCCATCAGAGAGATTCTAGAAAAAAATCTCTCAATAATAACAAACTTTACTAATTAAAATCCTTTGACAATTAGCGGCCTATACCATCCTTCCAGCCCACCCATTAGCCTAAATGCTCTCCTCTTTTAATTCCCTCTATTTCGTAAAGAAGCACATACTCCTCTTCTTTGTAACTGCTTGGAATAAAACTAAACTTGAAGGTGTAGTTGCAAGTAAATAGGTCGTTGTTGACTTTCTCTATCTCCTTGTGAAGCTTCAGAAATTCGCTATACTTTACATATATTTTCAGCCTCTTAAACCTGTGATAGTCTAGAATCTTTCTGATGTAATGAGCCAGATTCTCTAGGTCATGAGAAATCTCGATCCTTAGAACCTCATTGCTTTCAGACTCATATCCACTAGACTTCGTGTAGCATAGGCGGTACTTGATTTTCTTATCAGGTATTGTTGGATGAGATACATACACAATCTTCTTGTACTCTTCACGGCATCCAGAAGGGAGAGTGCTTGTCTGGTTCTGTGAAAATCTCTTCATCCCTACTGTGTGGGTGTCTTCTGGTTCATTGCACATCAGGGTGGCAATGTATCAACGAATGACTTAAACAATTCCAGCCAATTTATTTCTTTATCAACATCCAGCCTTCTAATGGCCCTGTCACAAGACCTGTACTGCTACATTCTTGTCAATACATAATTACACTCTAGACATCGTTTAGGTTAAGGTCGTGATACAACTTAGAAAAAAATGTTCAAGGTGTCTGACACATCGCTCCAATCAGGAGAAATGCTCTTACCACCTCTCATGTTATGGGAAAAATGACTCGTATAAGCTCAATAAAACTTCTACTTAAGATTTTCCAGGGCTTTGCATAAAGGTAAATTTTGTGTTTACTTTCTCTGCTCTCTTGAAAGTCTGAGAACTGCTGAGTAATCAAGCCCCATAGTATTGCCCTTGTTTGCAGGCTTCCGATCGGATGGGCACTGTTCAGCGACTTCCTCAATCTCTTCAGCTTGTTTCTCTATAGAATCTTTTGTGTCCTTGGCGCTACTTCCATCTTCAGCTCCATCTTTAGCGGAAGATATCTCCTGGCTACTCTTAACAACAACAGCTATATTGGAAAGCTTCTTCTTAGATTCCGAATCTTCCACGCTTGGAGAAGCCTTACTCTTATTCTTTTTCTCCATAGACTTGCTGGAAGACGTGCTAATTCTTCTACTTAGATCCTCGCTTAGCATCCCGTCCTTGTGCAAGCTCTTGTAAAGCTTGTCCAAAATGCTGAGTTTCGACAGCAACTTAAACTCGTAATCTTTTAGAAGTAGTACCAATTCCTTCCCAATTTCTAGATCCCTTCCATTCTTGATCACATGAGATCCGCAAAGCTCCCCAATCAAAACGTCGAAGTAAAACCTTTCGTTCATGTAATAGATCTCTTTGATTTGTAGCCAGTTGATCTCGTCTTGGTTAAGCTGGGTGTTCTTCAGAAAGTAAGTGTCAAGAATTTCCGGATACTTGGAATATAGCATTTCACTGGTCATCCCATCTAGTTCATTTGTGCTTGCTATTGCATCAAAATCGGATCCATATATGCTTAAAAGCTCGATAAATCTCTTTTTCATGCTCGAGTCCATAACCCTCAACCTTGAATAATTTTATTACCTCAATATAGTATCCTAGACATCCTAATTCCTCTCGAGCCCTTCGTATCAGGTTTTGCACCAGATTTATTTGAAACCCTTTATCATCAGAATAGTAATGTGATCTAAAATTCATATTTATTTTCACATCTTTTGAAGCACATGAAGCCTATCCCCTTTGTAGCTATCATACCAAAGATCATGTCTTGGTATGAGCCTGCAATCGATGTGAACAAAGTCCCAAGAGATGACATGATTCTGCGGCCTCATGAAAGTGAAAGTACAAATGATAGAGAATACACACCAGGAAGCTCTGCAAAAGGGGCACCTGAGTCCTCACCTGATCAGGAGATCAGCTTGAGTGACATCGATGAGAAGATTAATGAGTACCCTTCAAAAGAAATAACTCCTCCTCAAGGTAAGTCAATACCAATAGCTGATGACGTTAAAGCAAAGATAGATAAAGTTGACGAACTAACAAAAGCATTTAACGAAAGAATAGGGACTACGAAAGTATCTGGGATTCACGACAAAGAAGCATGGAACAAGCTTTATGAATACTTAAGATTGAACTTTAATGATTTCTTGATAGATGGGCATCTCTCCATAGAACTACACATAAGATATATCCTGTGCTGCTATGTTGTTGCATTCATCCCGGGCCAGTTTGCATTCCTCTTCCCTGCATTCTACAAGGTATTCATTCCAAAGAGAGCGATGAAGGTTCCCATTCTTGGTGATGCTTTGAAAGGAATAGACCGATTTCTAACATTTGTCAGTGATCGTAGCACAAAGACCTTCATCATAACATTCTATGTAGGACGACAGAACTCTCTTGTGGAAGACATAGAGTTCGTAAAGAAGGTTCCCGATCTTATATTCACCGACCCTATGGCAATACTTAGGGAGATTCTAAAGTTTGAGATAAGGTCTGAGGGGTATGACAACAAGAAAGAGCTGTAAGAGTCTTGACTGGGAATCAAGAGAAAGTCTGGAGTACTTGAAGAAATCTTAGACTCAGCCGTATACACGATCTAAAGGCATGGCCTGCTGAGACACTAGCCCTCAAAATAAATTAGGTATGGCTCAATTATTCTCGATGATAAGAAACTGTAAGGTAAGAGACCTTCCAATTGGAAAACGTTGAAACAGGTGTTTTGCACAAAATATTTAACAGAAAAAGCATCAGGACTTAATGAAGTTCATAGTTGGAATCGTATCATTGTTTGCAGCATCGGCTTTCTCCTCATCAGCAGGAAACTCGTTGGGTAACAGTAGTAGCAGGTATTATTCAAGAAGTATCTCTAGTAATGGGTCTGGTGGATATGGGTTTTCTCCATACAGCAGCCCATTCTATCGTGGATACGGTGCTTTTGGTCCGTATGGGATAGATCCTACCAAGGATCCCTTAACAGGAACGTCATCAGCTTTTCATTACTAAGTGATTGGCAGCTTTGACTTACATCAATAAAGCATAATGCACAACTCGTTTTCGTTGTTTTTAATCCAACCTTCCGATAGGTACATCACTTCCCACATCTGTTTCATGGCAAGACATGCGATTTGTTAGAAAAGTCAGGAAAGAGCCAATCATCTGAATCTAAAAGAAACAGAAAAGTATAAAATAAATTCAGAAACCTTCCAAAAAGATGAACTTAGTCGCTCTTATTCCCTTTCTCTCACTAGCCCTGTGCTCGACCCCAGATAGTGCAACTCCAGCAAGTGACGTACCCACCACATCATCTGATGGAGTAGGGTCTTTGGCGCTTGCAACACCCAACTATGCTGCATCAGGAAGTTCCACAGCGATCAACACCATTTACGCACTTGTGTTACTGGTGGCCATAGCCGTCATCAACACCCCACGAAAGTCGTTAGAGCAGACACAGTACTCTGTCACAGCAGTTCTGGGTGGCTACTTCAGTGTGTCACACATTTTGCAATCCATTGGAATAACATCCAATACCACTATGCACATAGTGGCTGCAGTAGTTGGTGTTGTTGCAGCTGTCATGGCCTATAACAAGGAGCTTAGGTCCCTGCTCTTTGGCTTAATCTCGGCCTATGCAACGACATACTTCGTCGTTTTGATTGTAAGATTAGAATCGACTCTCTATGCCGGCATCCTAGGTGTGGTTCTCTTCTTTGTATATATTATCCTTGGAAGAATGAGAGAGGATAGCAGGCTTCTTGTTTCAATGGCAAAGGCAGATGTGTCCAGTCTTGGTTTTGCCGCCTTTGTGAATGTCTGGGGGGTTCTCGACCTGTTTGGAGGAATGCATGGGTTAAATGCAAACGAAGGATTATTCTCTGGATTCATTATTGGAGGCATCATCATTCTTATGGTTTTCACCATTGTGTTTGTGATGAACTACTTCCAGGAATGGACCGAGGAAAAGATAAACGGCTAGAAATGATGCCATATCCTGTTTGGATAAAATAAACTCTTTTCTATGATTCATGAATTTAGATGTGAAGGTGTTGACCCTGATGTTGGAGGCAAAGGTTGAATGTGTGTATCGCCCATCATTCAAGAAGTCCGTTCTAAGGACGATGGGTGCATCCTTTATATGTGGATATGCTCTAGGCACTTCCCTTCGATGGATTACTGGGAGCAGATGTGACTATGGCCAATACCTTGGGAACAAGCTGTGTGTCGCCGGGATGTGTCTTCAGCTTGGAAGAAGGGGGGCCGGAGCTGTGGCAGCAAGAATGAAAAATAATTTTATTCCCTGGCGGTTTTCTCCCTGGAAATGAATCTATTTGGGCAAGAATCGACATACTTGTATGGAAGAATATTGAACAATAAGTTTATTGCGCCTTCTGGATCTTATGAGATTGAGCCATTGGGCATAGCTAGTGGGATGCACCCTGTTAGATATAATGGGAAGATAGAGGTGTTTTATATATCCTCGATATTCAACAGTTATCTTGTTTCCAGAGAGGAAAATGTTAATGTACTGTTTTCTGTGGATGGGAAGGTGACAATCACCAGCGATGAAGTTGACAAGGATGTGCTGTACACTTTCCGGATTGTTAAGGAGACCAACGACCTTAGAGTGGCCGAGATTTACAAGTTTGATACATTTTATCCTGGGTTCAAGACAACTGGGAAGGTTAAATGGAAGAAAGATAAGGATGGGCGTAAGATCTATAGTGTGGAGACTCGGTACGGATCTGGATCCTTGTTATTACAAAACAACGATGCGAGGGATGTTGTGAGCGTTCTTCTGTACAAAAAGGATAACCAGCTTCACTTTGTGCAGGTCGACGATCCCGTGAGTGGTGTTCTAAAAATGACTGTGGTGTCTGTGATGTCTAGAAACAACTATGGGGTCAAGGATCGAAACGTCAGAGGGTTTCTTATCACAAGTAATAGATACAAGGTTGGAGATACTGTGGAATGTGCGGTCAGGGAGGTTTGTTTAGGAAACTATTTGTTTACAGAGTTTTTTAAACTAAAGATAGGATCTATTGTTGAAGCTAGAATCAAGGACTATGGAAGAGACAGGATATATCTTGAGCATGGAGGCTATGAGGGATATATGTTAATGTCAGAGTCTGCGAAAAAAAGGTATGGTGGGTATGTGAGAGGTGTTTTATACGACATCAAGGATAATGTATTCTTGGTGAGTACCAAAAGAATGTCGAAGTTGGAAGAGCCTGAGGAAGAGGTTGGCTTATCTGTCCCATTTGACATTTCCGATAAAGAGGATGAATCCAATAGCTCTGTACAAGAAGATGTGGGTAGTGGAAGTAAATCCTTGAGTGCGGAGAGAAAGAGAAGCAAAGCTATAACGGAAGAGGACATCTTAATGGATATCAGGGCACATCCGGGAGAGGCAATGCCTGTGATAAAGTATATACAGTATAAGATAGAGATTGGAGAAGAGGGTGGACCGGAGAAAGTGTTCCATGAGTTTCTTCCTGTGATTGAGGGAGAAGAAAAAGACAAACTTTGCATCTCATTTGTAAACTACCTCATGTTTGCCAAGGATATGGAATGCCTGAAAACAATAAGAAGGCTGGAAAAGATATGCTCACAAAGATTCCTGGATGTTGTTGCATCGAACACTAATGATGTTCAAATCCTTAAGTTCTACTTTGAAAAGACAGAGACAAAGAAGTCGTTCAGAATGTATTTAGATGCGCTGTTCAAGACAGACAAAGAAGAGGCAATGCGCCTTGTTGAGAGGCGCAAAGAGTTTCTTTCTGTATCGATCGGCATGATATACAAGTACTGTGATAATCCAAGGATGTGGGTAGAAAAGCTGTTGGTTGACAAGAAGGATGTATGGGTTTCATACATCAGAAATGAGAAGGGGATATATCTAAGGAGTCTTTTTAGAAGAGTTGTCGATAAGAAGTGGAAGGTAAGTGACATGAAAGAGTTTTACAAGATGTGGCTAGAGTATGAGAAGGAAAACAATGGAAATGTTGAAGAAGTGAAGTTAAGAGCCAAAGAGTATGTTGAAAGTATCAAGAACAAGTCCCATCCATAGACAGAAATAATAAAGGTTACTGACAACGACTTTAATCCATTGTTTCGGTTGCAGATGCCAGTGCGGCTATCTTTTCCTTAAGTATCTTCAGTCCTTCCAAAACAATAGCAATTGGCCCAGCACCTCCCTCGATGACTTCTACACACATATGGATCTTATCTACTTTCTGCATCGGATTCGCTTCTCCTTGCTTTACCCCAGGCCATTCCTCTTCTATAGACTCTTCGAACCAGTAGTTTGTCTCTCTCCTGACATTGTCCTTGTCGTATTCGAAACTGATTGCAGACACCGGAGACCATTTTGCATGAATCTTTCCAATCCCTTTACGTCCAATGCATCGAGCCTTTAGACCTTGATCCCTTGCCAGCTTTGTGATCATGGGCCCGCTCTTAATAACCACATCTCCTTCATCGCAGACGATGTCTCTTGCACTTACAACCCTCAGGGCATCTTCTGTGTGCACTATATCTATCTCAAACACAACAGAACACTCCGAGCAGAATCCAGAGCAGCTGCATTCTTCCTTATACTTAAGCTCTCTTTTCGAATATATAGGGACCAGCCCAAGCCTGTGTGCAAGCACCTCATCAGGAAGCACTGTGTTGTTCCTTTCTATCTCTACCATGTCGATTGCAATCGTCGGCACTTCAGAAATCAATATTCTTCTTAGTGCATTTGCATATCCCACCGTTGCATTGGAAAGTGTGAACTTTATGCGTTCCGGCGTTAGCTCCTCGACAGTCAGGCCTATCATCCTCTAGGGCTTCAAAGAATTTTCAAGAAGTGATACTTTGGCTAAGTGGAATGTTCCATCACACCCTTAAATGTACACTTCCTGGCTGAACCATTATTCAAGGGCAGTGAATATGCTGTCCTTTGTCTTTGTGGCTATCCTCACACTAGTCTCGATCTTCAGTACTCATTCAGAGATGCATAGAGTCTTCAAAGCAGCTGCAATCGGATTACTATTCCTGTCCGGGTGTCTTATTCGGTACACGGCAACAACACTCTACTCCAAGGGCTATATGTGCATGGCATATACACTTGTTCTCCATGGAACACTGCTCTTTGTACTTATTCTTGGAGCAAGAATGGGCTCTTATAAGTAAGGACTTTGGACTCTTGAGGATTTGCTTCTCTGAGCCCTCGATGGACTGGTATGACCCCGGGGAGGACACATACACATTGATGGATGTAATGGAGAAGGAGGACTTAGAGATGAAAATTGTTTTAGATCTAGGAACCTCCACAGGCATATTAACAGAATGCTTGAAGAAGAAGAATACTGTTGTATCATCTGACCTTAACATCAAAGCTCTTCAAAACCATAACGGAGGGAATCTGGTGAGGGCAAATCTATTGGATAGCATCAACCAGCAGTCTGTGGATGTTGTTGTATTCAACCCTCCATACGTTCCCGACACAGACGATCCCATCATAGGCGGAGGGCACCTAGGAAGAAAAGTTATTGATAGATTTGTCAGCCTTGTTAATATCAAGGTTGTATATCTTCTTGTGATCGAAGCAAACAGGCCAAAAGAGGTGCTTCGATTATTTGATAACAGAGGATATAGAACTAAGATCCTTAAGGTGAGAAAGATTTTAGGTGAAACAATTTATATAATTAAAGGAGAAAAGAGCTAGACATCCGTCATTCTGCTTATTTCTTTTTGTTTCAGTCCACCTTCATTCAATATTAAAGAGAACTAAAAATACTGTAGTCAGAGACATCAGTATAACTGTTCACCTATCTTGAGAGGTAGCAGGTCGAAGCCTTTTCATCAATTCTAGTTGTCTAAGTAAATAGTCCACCATTTCTTCTGCCTTAATAACCTCTTTCTTCTTTGTAAAGGTATCAACCACCTGTATGGAGTCTGCCGCCATTTCAGATTCCCCAATCACAACAATAAATGGAATCTTCTTTCCTGCAGCATATTTGTGCTGGGTTTCAAACGAAGATCTTCGAGTGTAAAAGGTCTCAGAGGGAATTCCTCCATCCTGCAGGGTCTTAAGAACCGATAGCCTCTCTTCAAGGAAAAGGCCTCCGGATGCTCCAACATAGACCACTGTGGATGATTCTTTTTCATATCTTTCATACAGAAGTGCAAATATCCTGGAGACACTGATGTGTGTCTACTCCTTGTGTAGGGTTTTCTGTAGTTCACCCAAGTTCTCGGTGAGATTATCGTATCTACCTCCTCCAATCACAGATCCTACAGACTTCCCAATGTACTCTGCTTCAAGAATCATCCCTGTGTAATAGTCTAATCCTCGTGCTAAGGAAACATCCATAACCAAGCTCCCTTCGCATCCAAGGATTCTGCAGAACTTGAATAGCTCTTCCATGTCATGAACACCCTCCTTGCACCTTTCTATCTCATAAGCAGGGCACTCTCGAAGAAGCTTCAGAACATTTTCCTTTCCGGACATCTCCATATATTTTCTGATCATGTTCACCTGGTGCTCACTCAAGCCTTTTTGAATAAACTCTTTTGAGATGTCTTTCCAGCTCATCTTTTCAATCTTGTCAATAGTAGAACATACTGTCCCATAACTCTCACAGGGGACACCGACAGCTTCGAGAATAGATGTAAGGATCCTTCTGTCATTCACTTTTATCTTGAACTCCCCAATCTCAAATTCCTTCAGTATTCTGTCCACACAACTAATCACCTCTGCATCAGCCATCATGCGGATGCATTCCCCGGCAATGTCGAAATCCGCCTGCATAAACTCCCGTAGCCTACCTTTGACAATGGAAGGCTGGTCTCTCCTGTACACTCTTCCAATTTGATATCTCTTCATTTTCCTTATCTTGTTTGACGCCAGGTATCTTGCAAAGGGAACAGTAAGATCATACCTCAATGCACATATCTCTCCGCCTTGGTCTTTTAGATCATATATCAGCTTAGTATCCTCCCCATACTTGTTGGTAAGGATGCTTTTCATTTCAAAGGTTGGTGTGGAAATAGGGACTGCCCCGTATAGAACAAATACACCTCTAATCTTCTCTATAATCTCCTCATAGAGAAAACACTGTCTTGGAGATTCATCGGTTGTGCCTTTCGGTGTTTTTAAACTGTCCATTTCAGGGCTACTTTGATTTGCTCTAGAAACTCCCTTGTTTCTCACTGTTTCATGATCCAGTTAAATCTGCTTTACAAAAAAACTCGAAATGCTTGACAGAGAACATATTGTTCCCACACCTATAGTGGAGAATCATCAGCCTCTAGACACCCTAATAAAAAGCCTTGCAGAGTCTGAAGGAGAGAAACTGTCCCAAGGGCTGGACAGCGTCCTGAGTGTATCTCGACAGTTTACTACAGAGCAAATGTCCAGAATAGACAAGGTTGTTGCAGATCTCTACAACGGTCAGAGGGAAGAGTGGTTTTATCAGAAGATATTTGAGCTGGCTCTGAAGATGTATGGTTTTGATAATGACTGGAGGAACAGACTTCGGACATGCAAGCTCCACGAGAAGCATAGATTTAGAATACATAGCAACATTCATGAGTTCTCATATACAGGTGGTATAAACGAAATACCTAGGATATGCAGAATGTTTATGGAAAGAAGAAAGATTGTTTACGATAGAGTAAATGTCCTTGGATATTGTGTACTTGAGATTTCAGGGATGAATGGAGAGGCTGGATACGAGGGAGAAGACGACATTTTCTATCTTATAGAGTATGTCTACAGAAGGGATTTTAAGACACTCCTTAGATGGGCCAAGAATGTGAGGGTGATGAACGACTGGTCGTTGTTGTATATGTCAAACTACCCCGACTTCTTATACACAGAACTGAAGTATCAGAACAATCCGATGATAATCAAGGAGATAATAGTCCAACAGAAGTCTCATAAGCTTTATGATTTTCTTTTCATAAAGCTATCCATGCTATTTCCAAGAGAAGAGATGATCAGCATTCTGACAAGGAGCTACAAGGAGCCTGAGATAGAATACACGGTTCGAATATTCCACAAACTGTTTGAGGATAGCGAGGAGGGGGGAGAAAAGATCCTCAAGAAGTTCATCAAGAACACAGGAACCAAAGAGCTCAGCGAGATGTTCTTTGAGAAGTGTTCACAAATCGACGGAGATTATGCAGAGGCACTTTATATCTGCATAGATAAGGTACGTCTTATTAAAGATGATTGCCTTGAAAGACTTATGAACTCCCATTACTGGCCGTATGTCACACATAGATATGAGGACTTTTCTGTCCTCACGAAGCTTCTGATTGCAAGAGGCCTCTCGCCCCGAAAGGAGTATGACTTCCTGAGAAGCGAAATGGATGCCACCTTGGAGAATCTCAGAAAGATTTTATTTATGGCACGAGAAGTGCCTTCGAGACGAGAGGATGTAAGGAATACTGTGGTTGAGATGATCAAGAGGATGTTCAAGAAAAGAATGGTGTGTGAAAGATGCAAGGAGAAGAGGACGGAGAAGAGTTTAAATCTATGTCCTACCAGGTCTCTTATCAAGAAGGAGCCAGGGATGGAAGAAGACAAGGGACTTGTGATTATGTATGAGATACTGGAGACACTCCGAGGGCTAGATATTCCAAAGAGGATCCTGTATATGCTTTCGTTGATGAACTCTAGTTTGTTCTGCAAAACGGTGATCAATGACACAAGATATGACTGCTTCTTCATCAAGTGTATGAACATTATTTTGAGAGACCTTGAGGGAAGATTTCGGCAGATGATTAATGATATAATAGGGATGAGGATATTTGATTCTGATGGATATTGGGAACTGAGTGTCAGGAAATGCTTGAAGCTACGGAACCTATGGAAAGCGGTGATTACCTATGGAGTCTTAGAAGAGAGAACACTTGGATGTAGAGTACACAAGAGGAATGGACTCTATTCTCTAAAAAACATTGTAATACACTCTGATCCGAGTTTCCTGGTTGAAAATGAATGTTCCTCCGAGTCCATTGAAAAGAGTGGGTGGTGTTTTCTGGAGGACAAGAGGAATCTACGATATATGAAAATACTTGATGATAAAACCAGATTAAGATATCTCATCAAAGAGCTAGAAGGAAGAAAAGATCCTGAGAGGGTAAGAGCAGTGACCAGGCTGTTGATGGAATCATGTAGTGTTGCAGACGGGATGGTTTTCAAGGATTCATGGATTTTATTTGAGGCACCATCCAAGGCTTTTACTCTGTATCTTTCCTTTGGCCAGTATGAGGAGATAGGAGAGCAGATCTTTGTCCAGCTAGAGGGGAAAGAGGAGGTGCTAAAGATAGGCAGGATTAATGGTAAATTATTTATGAAGAAGATGAACAGGGGAAGCACTTCGGATATTCTCCTAGGTGAAGACAGCAAGCCGAAGATGGATGAGGTTTTCTGGTCTTCATACAAATCCTCGAAGTTTTCATTTTGCTTGAACGGGAGGATGTACAGCTCTAGAATTGGAAGTGTGGAGAAAGTAATAATAGGTGTTGGGTTTAGAGGAGTAGTTGAAAAGATATTTCTCTGTGAATCCAATCTCTCCAAAAAGTATGTACTTGGAAACACTCGCCAATCCCTTCTATATGTCTGTGAGCTGTCCAAGATAGAGAAGTTTCTAGAGTATAAGAACTTATGTGGGGTTTATATGGATAGCACTATCCCATACTTCATGGGTAGAAAGCTCGATGTCAAGGTAAGCAATGTGATAGATAACAGAAATGTTTATTGGATGTACAATAGAAAAGTCAAGAGTTTATTGAAGAGTGGGGATGTTCGGATACCTGGATATGAAGGCATGATGAGTAAGGCTCAGGACCTCCTTTTTGAGAGAACCTGAATCTTGAAATCATCCAACCAATGAGCATTATAGAGAGGATTTTTGGATAGGCCCTTAGGAAAACAACCAGTTGTTTTAGAGGAATGATAAGGAGACTGAATATATACTTGGATGTTATGAAGAAGTCATTAGATGTTATGAAGAGAGTTTCTATTGGCATTGAAAAATATAAATAACCTGATGAATCCAGTTTCAATGAAGTTTTCTACTGTGATGTTTGTTGCTCTATCTTCTCTTGTTTCTGCCAACCTTTTCTGGAATAGTGAAAGTACTACTGGATCATCAGGAAGTGGCTCTGGATTCCTTGGACTTGGGGGATCTGAGGATAGTAAGAATGCTCCATCCTCCAATTCAAGTTCATTGGGTGAAGGTACGACTGAAGAAAATGTTAAAGATAAGGTAAGTGGTTCCTCCTCTTCTGAATTCATGGGTAAAGAAAGTAGCAACTCATCAGGTTTATTTGGTGGAAGTAGCAGCAATTCTACTACAAGTAAAAGTAGCCTAGCAGAAGAATCATCATGTAGTGGTTGCGATGAAGAAGATAAGACAAATCCCGGTAGCGGAAACACTTCAGGGTTCTGGGGAAAAAGCAAAGATGATGAGTGATTGCTTGTACCAAGGCAAGGCATTCCTGCACTTTTGAAGTCTGAAAGTGGAGAGAAATAAAGCCTATTGTATTATTATTATTATTAATTGTTTATTCGTTATCTAGGCGGTATATTTTGAAGAGTAGAAGGGCACCCCAATGAAGTTCTCAAGGATAGTTGTGATGGGGCCACCTGGATGTGGAAAGGGAACTCAGTCTGGACTTATATCTGAGAGATATGGGATCCCTCATGTGAGTTCTGGAGATATTGTCCGAGAGGAGATGAAGAAGAGTAAGTTTGACTTATAATTTTAGATTCAAAAGAAGCAGAAATTGTTCGAGAAGTTGTTAATTCTGGGAGACTAGCACCCGATGAGCTCGTCAACAAGCTGGTGCTGAAGAAGATTCGAAGTATGGACAAGTATATTCTCGACGGATATCCTAGAAGGATTGAGCAGGCCGAGATGCTAGGGGACGATGTCGACCTTGTGATATTTATTGATGTTGACGAGGATGTATCTGTTCGTCGGATCTGTGGACGAAATCAGGGAAGGGATGATGATGTTGAGGAGGTTGCAAGAAAAAGGCATGAAGTGTATCTTGGGGAAACAGCACCTGTTGTTGAGCTTTATCGGAAGCAGGGGAAGCTCCTTACGGTCAACGGCCATGACAGCCCTGAGACAGTGTTTTCCGAGATATGCAGGTCTATTGAATGACGGTTTATTAAATGGCGTTTGATGATACTTTGAGCAGTTATTGTGCTTTTGAATGGATGATACTATCGAACTCCTTAAAAAAAGGAGGATATAAAAGTGAAAACAAGCCCTCAAGATAGAAGTGAAGATGAAGAGGAGGGGATGTATTGAGGGGCTTTCCTTTGAAAGGTACATGAGCAGTATCCTCTTTATTCCAAGTGCTTTGAAAGAGGTAGATGGGCAAGAGTCCCTCACGCTTTCTTATAAGGGTAGCCTAGATGATGAACCTGAGGTGGCAAAGAATAAAGAAGTGTTTGCAGCTGTGTTAAAACGAAAGATTAATCAAGTTCTTGGACTCCGAGTGATTGATGTGAAGAAAGAGAAAGCTTACACCAGAGATAATGTTGAGATGAATGAGATTAAAACAAACGAAGAGGAGGAGAAAGGAGAGGGCTATAAGGCCAGGATGTTTAGTCCCATTGCTGTTGATGAAGATTTTTATGACTGTGTGAGCAGTGAAATGGCGGTGACTGCAACGAAGGATGATAGTTTTTTGCATGTAAAGAGAAGAATGAGTGGGTTTGAGAGTCAGACGGAGTTTCTGTTCAGAAAGAGCTTAGAGACGGTGGAGAGAAGGAGAAGATTTTCATTTATTGAGCTATATGATATGGTAAAGGAAGACAAGTTTCTAGGTCTTGTGATGATGGAAGGGAAGTCCGTAGTTTTGAACAAGGCTTGCAAGGAAGTAAGTGTCGGGATTCGGAATAGAAGTACGGGGATCATAGGAAGTGATGTCCGAGGTATATTTACTATAAGTGTGGATGGATTGAGGGGGTCTGGGGAAGAGATTCAAAGTGTGAGGTTGGCATGTGGATATAGGCAGAGCGACTTCTGTGCCAGGTTTAGCTACCACAGAATGCACAAGGTGATATCTATGGAGGAACTGATGAGCTACTATCTAGATAACAAGGCCATTCCACTTGGAAGACTTTTTGATGAGATTATCTGTGTTTCTCAACCTGGAAACCTGAGGGAAAACTGCTTAAGGTTCATAGAATTGAAAGCAAACCTGTTTTTTGGTGAGGCTGAGGTATCTCCGTATGATGTAGGAAGCTCACTGTTGTTTTTCCTTCGAATGTTTGGAGGAAAAAAGATGGCACAGACAACAAACAAGATTATAGAATATATTGAGTATGTCCTCTGTGAGATAGATGTTTGTAGGGATTCTATCAAGGACCTGTTGTTTCTGTATGAGACATGCATGTTTATAAACATGATTATTTCATTGGAAACCCAAGATACAGGAGATGGAGGAAGCAAGAGGCTTGGATCTGCAAAGATGAGAGATACCATGAAATTGAGCGATAAGAGCGGATGGTGTGAATGGGATGACTTTTATCCAAGGGAAGTATGTAGTGTTTCTGCTTATTACAAAGCTCAATGTTCCTGGGAAAATGTCGTATTCAGCCTAAAAAGAAGGTATCATGAGGAAAAGATCTACGAAGGAAGCCGGGGCCCCATTGTCAGGAGCACTATTGAGGATCTTCTATTTGAAGGCCTTAAGATTTCTGGATCTGAGTATAATGGAAGCCAATCTCCAGGACTTAGTAAGCTTTTGGGTGTGTACAGGAAGTTGGTTAAGATTTCTAGGAAAGGCTTGAATAGGTTTGTAAATAGAGACAAGGCCAGCAGCCTTATCATCTCCATCCTTGAAGAGAACATGGTGACTGATAGGGAAACTCTTCTCCTATGCACGATTGTTAAAGACATTTCAAAGATGGTCCCTGTGAGGGTATCGATCCTTGATAAGGCATTAGTCAAATGCATAAGCGAGGTTGTCTTGATGCTTAGAAGAAGGTTAAGGCAGGCTCTAAAAAAGGGAGAGGGAGAGGTCGAGAATGTGTTTGTACCAATAAACCGATTCTTCACAAGGCTTCGGTACCTGAACTCAAGTATACATGAAGAGATATTCAGGAGTGATCTTCACCATTCGATAGAAGAGGAATGCTTCCACAGGCTTCGGAAGGTGCCTCTAGATGTCAAGACTGGGTTGAAACGTCTTGAACTTTGCAGGAAGGTCCACGAAGAACATCTTCGGATCTTTGGCTCAATGAGTCGTGAGATAGAACTTAGTTACTGCCTAGAGGAGAAGAAGGCGTTTATGAGACTTTATGATGTCAGGAAGATAAAAAGGATGCTCAGACACCCCGAGATGCTTGGAAAAGAGATTCTTAAGATGATCGGAGAAGGATCGAATGTGAATGACGACATACGTAACAGATACAAGCTATATCTATACGAGTGCATTAAAGAGCATGCCAGGGTGCTTTCTGGAGATAAATATGACGAGACGATGATGTTTGTAAATAAATGCTTCATATGAAGTATTGTATTAGATTCTGTATCAGTGTGAAGGGTCAATTGGCGGGAGAATAGGAACCAATGGGCATGGAAAAGAAAGGAAGTAAGCAAAAACCAGGAATCTTATTTGTCACACAAAACAAAAGGGGGAAGTAGATGTTTATATAGAGATAGGATAGGGTGGAAACCGATGGAGGACAAGGACATGAGAAAAAAAAAGAAGAACATCATAATAATCAATGATAAGGGAGAAATGCTAAGCGTTACGAAAAAGACGTTAGATGGGAATAAAGATGGCGAGGATATGGCAAGCCATGAAGAGGTGAAAGAGATGAATGGAGAAGAGGATACAAGGATAGACACAGAGGAGAAGATTGAAAGCACTGGAGAGGCATTCGAGACAAAAGCAGACGAAAGATCCCATGAAAAGGAGTGTTCTGAGTCCAAAGAGTGTTGTGGCGGGCCCAAGAACGAAGAAGGTCAGGGCAGGAAGGAAACAATGGCTGAAGAAAACAGCAAGAACGACCCCGAAGAAGAATTCATCCCATTGGATTCGAAGGAGCCTGGAGAGAAAGCAGAAAGCGTGAAGTCTCCTCCGAAGGAGAGTGGAGATGTATTTGTTCCTCCCATGCTTAAGACAACAACAGAGAATGCCAACAAAGAGATATTTGAAGAAAGAGATAAAGGAGAGATAGTAGCCGAAGGATGGATATGGAAGAAAAGGAGGATTTTCAGTTGTTTCTGGCATCAGAAGTACTTTGTTCTCACAAAGGATGGGACTCTGAAGTACTACAAGGCTGATGGAAGGAGGCATGCCAAGGGGAACTGGAATATGAAGGAATCAACTGAGATCAGGCATTATAATCTCTCCAGTGAGGAGAACACCCATCCATGCAGAATAATGGTGTTTTTCTCCGACCATTCGTTTCTTCTGGCGTTCGACGAGAGAAACACCAAAGACTATTGGGTAGAAAAGCTTAATAGGGCCATTGGGAAGCCGAGAAAATAAGAAACCACTTCTGGGAATTAAACATTGATTTTATTAACAAAATCTATGAGGTTTCAACTCTTCTTTGTGATGACAGCCTCCATTACCTTGAAAAAGAAAGTCTTTATCTGGCATTCATCGAACGTTATCTCCTCACTCAGGAAGTCTGGGAGCTCAATGTTCCTGGACTCAACAAGCTTGTAGATGTATGAGCTGTCCTCGGGAGTCAAAACAAACCTGATGAACTTGGTGATATTGTTCGATACAATCTCATGTGTCACCTCATAGCACCCGTTGCTCTCCACTATGTCAAATCCAACAAACTTCTTGTAGAGTAGAGCATCTGTCTTCAAAGACCGCAGGTACTCGTTTTCCTTCTTATAGCTCTCTATCAAGTCCTCTTCCTTCATCTTCATTTCAATAAGAATTTGTTTGTATCTAGATGCAGAGTCAAGACCCTTCTGCTCGTCCTTATTCTCTATCTTCGGGGTTTTGTTCTCCTTGGTGTCCGAGGCATGGCCATCCTTTACAGGTGTCTTGGTGCCTTTTCTTGGTGTCTTGAACGTTATTTTCTTCCTAGGCGTTCTCATCTGGTTATTCTTGTTCTGGGGATCGTCTTGGCAATTTTTTACAGACTTATAAGACATAACAACAGGCATTATTTCAGGATGCTTTATTACCATTCATCTTCCTTCTACTGATCCTTCGGCCTTTTGAATGCTTCCCTCCACAATACTTCTCCTTATCGGCTCTCCCATTCTTCATCGATTCCACTCTTTCCTTCTTGCTTGCTTTCCGACGAATAAACTCAAGATTCCTGCCACAGTACTTCTTGTGGTTCATCACATTAATCACAGATGTATATGCATAGAAGATGCTTTTGCTCTTCGATCCCTTGAAGCATTCTATGTACTTTGCAATCCTCTCCTTCATCTTATCCACAATGCTATCGCCATCATTTTCCTTATCTTCACGTCCTTCGTCAGAACCGCTAAGAGAAGACAAAGTAGAGGTACTTTCCTCCATATCCTCTTTCTTCTTAAGCTTCAACGCCTCCGGGTCAAACTTGCAGTAAATCTCCCTCAGCATGTTCAATCCATACACAACAAAGTCGTCATCTTTGAACTCAGAGCATAGGGCATCTCCCACAATATCAATGGCTCGAAGAACATCCTCCCTTCCCACCTCCTCAACAATAATCTCCATAAGATCCTTGATATCATCCTTCTCTGGATTCAGCATCCCCATTGCCATTCGTACAACAGATGCTTTCAAATTATACCTGTTCCTGAACAGAACATATATTCTCATCTTTGTGATCTTCTCCTCTCTCTCCATCCTGTCTTCCTGGAGACTCTTGAACAGCATCCTTCCAAACCTTGCTCCCTCAGGGCTAAGAAGCTCCATGGCTCTTGCTCCCTCCTCTTCAAAGTCTATCTGATCAAGAAAATACATCCTACAAATCTTCCCTATCTTCCCATCCACAAACAACCCTCCGCATACCTCTTTCTCAAGGCCACTGCATCCCTTTGTAAACAGATACACAATCAAGTAGTAGCAGAAGCCCTTTTGCTTGTCTGTTCCCTTCCCATAGTACTCGAGTATCCATGGAACCGCCTCTTTAGAGACTAGTGCTCTCGCTCTCCTCAGAACAGACTTTGGATCTGGATGGTGCTCCAAAAGATTCTTGAACAGCTGTCCGGTATCTATTAGCCCTTTTCTTCGGAGTCTAAAAAGACTCTCAACTACAATCCTCCTTGTCTTGTGGCATTTAATTGTTCCTATACTTGCAATGAGAGTCTCTGGAAGCCTCTTATCAACCTTTGGGAAGGCAAGAAGGAATGAGAGAGTCTGGCGGATAATCTTCACGGGTTGCTTTGGAAGCTTCACAAGAGAGTTAAATAGCTCAAGCTGCCTTCCATACTCCTCGGCATAGTTTTCCGGGCACTTCTCCAGCCCTACAAGCACTTGATATATATCCATATTATCGGGTCAAAAAAATTTGGTGCTTAAGCCTATGTGTTTGAGCTTCAGGAGCCTTCAATCCGGCCCCTTCTTCCTGGCACTCCTTCCTGAAACATCAAATAAAAACCGATCCAAAACACTAGACCAACAAGAATGCCCTTGGTAGACTTCATTGGATCCTTCTACAAAAAGCATGATACCCTGTACGATACCTTCGTAAGTGCATGTCTTGAGCTCAAAGAATGCAAGGACATTAAAAACAATCTTACACAGATATACAAATGCCTTAGACACGAGCAGACGAGACAGACAAGCTTCAGATGCCTCGAATACTTTATGGATAGTGAGATGGTCAATTTCGTCTACAAACTAGGGCATGTTGAGGAGAAAAAGGTGGTAATGGACTTTCTTGTTGACTTCACATCTATCCTTCCTGCTAAGTGCTTTTCAAGGCTCAACGGCTTCTTCGACTCTGTATTTGAATCCAAGGACACTGATGAGCTGGGATTGGCCTTGGCATACTCAGAAAGAACCATTGTCCTCGGCTGTGGCATCAGAACAGCCCTGGTTGACTACTCCCTTAGGTTCTTTTTTGAAGAAGGCCTTTCAGGAGAATATTCCAGGGCATGCATAGTGTATCTCATATGCTCCAAGAGAGCTCTTGACCATCTTAAGTCCATGAGGTTTGTCCAGACAGTCATAGGGCAGACCAATAGAATGTACTTCGATCTAGAAAAAAAGATGCCACTCTACCTATCTCTCCTGCAGTTCATCTCGTACTATGCAAGGAAAGAAACAGACCTGTGTAAAACAGCTAGCGACACATTCGATGGCCGGAAAAGCCACTTCTTAGGCATGAAGAGCTCAAGGCCTCATCCAATAAGAAGCCCCCTGCTTTTGGCAAGAGGAAAGGATTCCACAGAGCCTCATTCGATTCTTGATCTTCTCGAGTTCCCCAACGTGCACAGCGCCAAGGTATACATGGAAATACTGGAAAGCACAGGATCATCTAACATACGAGCATTGGTCATTGACTCTGTATTAACAACCATAGAGAACACAGATGATCCTACAAGGTTTATAAGGTTCTGTGTAGAAAACCATCCCGAGCTTGTTGCACCATATCTCATCAAAAATGGTGGAGAAGACTGGTCTCCCACAAATGTACTTCAGAAGGTTGCAAAGATGAAAGGGAAGGGATCTTCTATCAAAGTTCCTTGTGTATGCCATGTGGACCGTCACAGGATTTCTATAGTTGATTTTCTTATCGAAAACAACATATGTGATGACCTCATATTCTTATTTATCTGGGCTGTATCAAAAGAGACATTCTACACTCATTTCGAGAAGATACGGGAGATATTCAAGGACCATAGAACAATCTGGGCAGACCTGTGGAGCCTTATTCTCACCCCTATAATCTGATGTCTATCTCTATCAAAGCAGCTGACCCCACATGAAAGATGGTATTGACTTTACCGAGACAGAAGCATATGCAAGGATATATAACTTCATCCTGATGGTCGATGACTCTATAAAGAGCTCAAAGCAGAATCAGAGCAGGCAACACAGAGATCTTCTCGCAAGTATAGCTGAAATCATAAAAGAGACAGAGAAGGACCAGACTCCACAAAGATATGCAAATGCTGCAGCAAAGATTGTATTCAAGAGAATATGCGATGAACATGATGATGAGTATCTAAGAAACTCATTTGGAAACAAGATAAGGCTAGATTATGGTACTGGACATGAGCTGAACTTTCTATGCTATCTTTATAATCAGTATTGTGAGGGCGCAATCACCATTGACTGTGTGTTTACTACTCTCGTAGAATACTTCGAAGTCGTCAGGCTCTTTGTAACAAAGTTTAACTTGGAGCCTGCAGGGAGCCACGGAATATGGGGACTAGACGATTACCAGTTCCTCCCTTTTCTTTTTGGATCTTCGGAACTCTGTAATACAAGGCTCAGGTTTGACGAATTAGATGACACCAAATGCTACTTTGTTGCTGTGAAGAGGAAGTTGGGAGGCTCCTCTCAAATCCTCAAAAGCATCATGGACAAAGATTGGGCAACAATCAACAGAGGAATGATCCGGATGTATGATGACTATGTATTGAAGAAAGACGTTGTGACACAGCACTTCATTTATGGAAGATATCTGAGAAAAGAAAAAGGCTAGGCCCATTTGAGCCTCAAAACACTCATAGAGTAACCTTTAATCAAACCCATTAGAAGTCCACGTCTATCCTGAAAGAATCGTTTCCGTTCTCAATCCCTACAAATGCCTTTTGATATTGAGACTCCCTCTTGTCAAAGAAGTTTGTCTTTCCAACCAACGAAATGTTCTCCATGAAATCGAATGGATTGATGGCATGGTATATCTTCTCCTCCCCAAGATTCTCCAGAAGCGTATCGGCCACAAACTCTATGTATCTACACATGAGCTCGCAATTCATCCCTATAAGATTCACAGGTAGGCTTTCACTCAAGAACCTCTTCTCGATTCTTACAGCGTCCATCACAACCTCTTTTGTTCTTGTGCATTTATTGTTCAGATGGTATCTGTGGAGATGGCATGCAAACTCACAGTGCAGCCCTTCGTCCCTGCTTATCAACTCGTTCGAAAACGTCAGCCCGGGCATCAACCCCCTCTTTTTCAGCCAGAATATGGATGCAAACGCCCCAGAGAAGAATATTCCCTCCACACAGGCAAACGCCACAAGCCTGGTTGCAAAGTCCGAGTCCTTGTCTTCAATCCATTTTATTGCCCAGTCCGCCTTATCCTTCACAGATGGAATATTCTTGATTGCATTAAACAGAAAGTCCCTCTCTTCTGCATTTCTTATGTATGTCTCAATGAGCAAGCTGTACATCTCGCTATGGATGCTCTCAATTGCTACCTGAAACCCGTAGAAGAACCTTGCCTCAAGTATCTTGACCTCGCTGGAGAATCTTTCGACTAGGTTGAGGTTGACAATCCCATCAGAGGCTGCGAAAAAGGCAAGAACATGCGAGATGAAATGCTTTTCCTTTGCATTCAGCCTCCCCCAATCCTCAACATCCTTGTCAAGAGAGACCTCCTCCACAGTCCAGAACGAACTCTCGGCCTTCTTATACAAGGCCCATATGTCATCATACTTTATAGGAAACAGCACAAATCGCTCTTCTTCTGGATTCAGTAACGGCTCAATTTCTCCTCCTTGAGTCATAGGCTGTAAGATGGATCTTGTTATATACTTTTTTTTGGAGGGAATATCTCCCTCAAAATCACCCGCCAAACTATAAACCCATGTCTATCGTCTAACTTACCCTGATAACCCACATTTCACTAGACCAGTCTCAACCCTCGGGTCAAAGTGTGGGGGTGGGACTTGGGAATAAGATACCCAGGCCTCCATGTTCTGCTTTAAATAAATATGCATAAAACCAAATAACTTATGAGCTGACCAATTTAAAGTATTTTAAATCTATAAAACCCTTTATGTCAGTTATTTCTGAGCTAGAAAAGTTACAGAAAGTATTGAAAAATCATTTGGTGGAAATAGGTCATTTTAAATCTATTGAAGATGTTGAGCAAGAACTACTAAAAAGTGAACACCAAATATTAGCTTCAAATCTCTTCAGATCATCAAATACTTCATATTACTACAAGAGGCTTATTGAAGAATATTCGTTTTTAGAAAAACCAAACTTCGAAGCCGAAGACATTAGTTTAATTGAGAAATTCAAAAATATTATAAACCATATATGAACTTCTTTATATTGTATACTTGTTATCGAAATCCAAGATCTAGACCATATCTATTTTCTATTCTGCTTAAATAAAATTGTAAAGGATATACCCATCTTCTCTTTAGTCGCGCCTTGAACTTTCGGAGCGTGGATTCCCGAGAAGTATAACAACCTTGGGGGTAAGGGTGGGACTGAGGCTTCATGATCTCAAGATACCTTCAAACATTTTCATTTAGTATTTTCATCTCACTTTACCACAAAAGAAAAAACAAACTCTTAAAGCCAGAAAGTTTAATGAGCAAATACCCTAGAAACATACGCTGGCCCAAACACCTTGCCTATAGACAGATCCTTCTTGGAAATCTTACTGACCGCATCAACAGCTTTGTCTTCATACTTCAGGTCTACTACTCCTCTCAGATACTTGCCCCACATGTCGGTGCTGTAGATCTCGAAATTCTTCTTTTTTTCCTTGAAGAATGAAATAACACCACTCTTGAACTCTTCGAACTGCTCTTCACTCATCTCCTTGTAGTATCCATCCAGGTCCTCAACGAACTTTCTTATTCTCTTTTCCAGGAAGTCTACATCCTTCTCACTTTGCACAAGAAATACTATATACTGCTCATCATCAAGATGCATAACCCTGGAGGCCACCACATATCCAAGCTCTTCTTTGGTTCGGAGATCATCAAAGAACATGGCCATACACGACTGATGTACAAGGTGTGTCATTGCTGCATCTACATGGTTTCCATACTTCCCGCAATAATAGTTTACAGTGCATGCATTATTCACCTTATCGCTTGTCTTTACATCACACTTATACCTCCCATCAAGAAGTCCCTTTCTTTTGTAGTTATATACCTCTACCTGCTTAGACAGAACATGGTTGAATATCTTCTCTGCATCAGAGTACTCAATGTTTCCAATTGCAAACATCTCGAGGAAGAACTTTCGGCTCATCTTGCACCTCGTATCTACAGAATGTAGCTTCTCCATCATCTCTTCAGCCATCATATGGTCTGGAACTTTCATCCATCTCATTCCTTCATCACACCGTCTGTAGGGACTGCTGTTTCTCATTATCTCCAGTTCGTTCCGAATCTTCTCTTTGATCAGATCCTTACGGGACTGATCAGGGTCTCCAAACAGTATATCAAAAAACTTCTGAGATACTTCGACACTCATATGGTTGAAGCATTCAATGCGGATCTCAATCCCGTAGTGCTCTATTCGAACAGAAACATCCACCCCGGTTCCATATAGATATCCACCATGTTTCTTAAAGAACTGGCTCTTTGCATTCTCAGCAAGAAACATCATATCAACCCTACTCTCCTTACTGATGTTCTCTGTTCTTATCAAATATCCAATAAATACCTTTGGAACTTTATAGGTGTCGTTAAACAAGTAGTTGATCTTTCCACCTGGAAACTCTTTCGAAATAATATCAGACCCATTCTCGGAACTTGCCATCTCCCCTTCTTTCCATTCCACACTATCCACTTTCTCCAAAGGCTCACCCTTAATGTCCTTTGCTTCAAGTATTTTATCTCCCAATCCGAATCTCACTCCATATATCTCCTCACACATATCAAATACCCCCGCGTCTTTTGCAACATGGAATACAAGCCACTCAGAAAAGCTTCCCATTCTCTTGATTATTCTCTTCATCTCATTTTCATCAAATCTCTCAAAACAGTAATCCTTATCAAGGACATTCTCAATGGGATAGAACTGCATTCTCTTTGCAATTTTCTGTGTTTGATACATAGGCTCATCATTCTCCTCGTACTTGAATAGATACCTAGATCGCTTCTTAAGCTCTTCATACTCACTTTCAGTGATATTCATCCCTTGGATATACTTTACAAGCTCCAAAACCACGTCCTTTGGTCTTTTGCTCCCAACAACAGACAGATGCACAGTTATTATGATCAACGAGTAGTCTGTGTAGTTAGCGTTTTCACATTCAACATCCAATGCAAGCCCCTTATCCTTCACTTTACAAGCAAACCCTCTTGGGTCATCCCTAAGAATCATTTCAGTAATACATTCATATGGGTTGTTCCTAAAAACCTTGTATCCAGACTCAACAGTTATGGTAACTACAATGGACTTTGTGTCAGCAATCGGCTCTACTCTTATCCATCTATTTGTATATTCAGTATCAAACACACTCCACCCTTCTTCAAGCTCAGATCCCATGTTCTTCCCACTGCATTCCTTTTCTTCCAATCCCTTGGGAACTCCCTCAAACTTCTTCAACAGCTTCTTCAACTCGGAAGGGCTCTTGTTTCCGTAAATCACAACACACATCTTGTCACACGAATACTTCTTCCTCCAGAAATCCTTCATCTCCTCCCATATCCCTTCTCTCCTCAGCGTGTCATAGTTTCCGGTACTGAACTTGGATATGGGGAGCTCCTTCTTACAGCATCTTGCCATCATCCTCCAGATCCTCCAGTCATCGACATTAAGCCCATTGCAGAACTCGGAGTGGACTGCAGACACTTCTCTTTCGACAGAGTTTTTCTTTAGTAACGGTGCCTTGAAGAAGTCTGCAAGTCTGTCGACTCCCTCTTCAAAGGCCTTTGGCGCAACATCAAAATAGTATATGGTCACTTCTCCATAGGTCGTTGCATTATATCCTCCATTATTTCTGGCGAGGAACTTGCTAAAGCCCTCTTCGTCAGGGTATTTCTCAGTACCCATAAACAGCATGTGTTCCAGGAAGTGTGCAAGCCCTTGTGCAGACTCAGGGTTGTCAAATGCCCCAACCTTTACAGAGACAGCACAACTGCACTTGTCAAGAGACGGATCAGATATAACCAATGCATGGATCCCATTGGGCATCTCAACATGCTCATACTCCATGGTATCAGCAAGACTTTTGCGAATATTCTTAGTCATCAGTACCCTGGATAAATTTTTAATTATAGATAAAATTTTGTCTATTCGATTACCAAAATAGGTGTAATTCCCCTGTAATGACCCTGAAATAAGATGGAGGGTACAAAAGAAATAAGAAGGCACAAAATGCTTGGATATGCACTTACAGGGATTGAAGGGATGGTTCTTGTTGTGGTAATCGGGCAGGCTGTCAGGAATCCGTTAGGGATTCTCCTGAACCCACCTCAGGGATTCTTTCGAAATCTATGCTCTGTACGTACTGTGATGCTGTGGATCGGGATATGCCTGTATCTCATTGGGAAGATTGGCCTGGATGCAGGGAGAACACGGATTACCATCTTCCTTTATTATTTCGTCTCACAAACATTATTTCTTGGGTACTTTGCCACTCAATCCTCAAATGGATTGACGGGAGGCAGCATGGTGTCAATTCTTCCTGGTGCATGCTCTATATACAACACAATTCTCTCTATATCTCTGTCATCTCTCCAGGCATATGGAGAAGATATTCTATGGACGAGGCCAAGATATACACGAGTCAGGGGACTTTTCAACTACATGGGGAAAAGCATAGGTGTTGTGATGCAAGACATGCTTTATCTTTACACAAGTAGTACGGGGATGGCCATAGGAGGGCTGGGAATGTACTTAACGGTTTCCAGGACTCTATTTCCCTGGATCCGTTTTGGTGCCATCTTCCAGCCGTTAAATGAGACACCATGGAAGACATCCAAGAGCATTTTTCTTGCCAACATGTCCATTGTAGCCTATCTCTTCCTGGTGAGTGTTGTGGACAGACTGTTGGCATATAACATGTCGTTGATGAATCTAAGCCTGGCGAACTATTGGTACAAGGAGGAGGAGGACATAAGAACCCTCAGGCTTCGGTTTTTTCAGATCTCTGAGCTTTCTATGAGATATCCCGAGGTTCTTAGAAGGATTGCAAGATCGAACAGAAGTATGACATCTCTTGGGCTGTATATCCGTAGAGAGGAAAGTGAGATTCTAAAGGTAATGGAGATGATGAGGAAAGAAAAAGAAGCACTTGAATCCAAGATGTGGTTTTCTGTTCCTCAGATCAGCCAGCCTCTGGATAAGCCCAAAGCATTGGTGATGCAAAGGAGAATACAGTTTGTAAAGAGGATAAGGTCGTACAACTTCATTGAGATTCTTGGGTCTCGGATTGGGTATTTCTGCAAGATCTGGATTCTAATTAATAGATATAGAAGCACCAGGAGGTCTTTCCTGTTGGTAAAAAGTTTCATGAAGTTTCTGGAGAAGTACAAAGGCGACTACCTTCTTGTTAAAGATCTTGAAGAGGCTTTTGAGTCTGTAATGAAACACCTGCACAACGAGGTGTCTGACACTGAAGAGGTGATTGGGAGAGGTCTAGAATCGGACTTGTTCTGTAAGTAGCCTCGAAACTAATAATAAAGCTTTAGGTATTCTTGAACTACTGTAAGGTTTCATAAGAATAATAACTGAGACAGGAAGTAAATAAACAATGGGGATCAAGGATGCATTTGGGATGAGTGAAATAAGAAAGCTCTTTGGAGATGACGCCTTTGTGGCAAGTCCTTTGAGCAAATCACAGATTGTGAAGTACATTTCGTCCCCGAGTCCTAAGAAGCAAATGCAGGCCGCAAAGAGCTTGATGTGTAGGATGCAGTGCGGGGAGGATCTTTCCGATCTCTGTAACGATGTTATAAAGGCAATAGACACAAGAGACGCCGAGTTCAAAAGGATGCTGAACCTGTACTTGGTAAGGTACATACAGGGATGGCCTGCAAAGCAGCTAATATGTATTAACACAATGTTGAAGGATCTCGGAGACGGAAATAAGGAGATGAGATATTGTGCAATTCAGGACAGTGGATTACTAGGAGATGGTGTGGTGATAAAAAACTACATCAATCCTCTTAAAGAGCATGGGAAGAGCCAGGTGCCTGAGACCCGGAGAAAAGTAGCAGACTCTCTACAAAACTATTTCCGAAAAGATTCAAAGTTATTTTACGATTCAGGACTTTGTGACCTATTGAAAGATTTGGCGTTTGATGAAGATCCTAGTGTGAGTGCATCTGCATTAAACAGTATCCAAGTGATTGAGGAGGAGACAAAGATTCTGTCTACAGAAGACATCTACAAGCTTTTTAGAAGGAACACAGAGTCTGGAAGCAAGGAAGTTCTTGGAAGCCTTCTGGAGGTAATGAGGAACAGAGTAGAAGACTTTCACGACCCCTCTCTATTAGTTGGCTTGCTGGCAACATCCAACCTTCGTGTGTTCTATCTAGCATCCTCTCTACTTATTTCGATTGATCCTTCCTACAAGCAGATGGTGTTTGACCATCTGAAAGGATTTCTTTCATCTTACGATGAAGAGCTATATCTTGTGCTTGATTATGCAGAGTCTCTTCTTAAGGATGTAAGTTACGACAACTCCTGTTTTGCCATCTATCACAGCGATAAGAAGTACAACAAGATAAAGAAGCTCAGGCTACTGTTCAAAAGATTGGATGCCACTTCTATAAAGGAAATAAAAAACCAATGCAGAGATGAAGAGCTTCTTAGTGTGATTCTGAGGGAATCTCTTGATGCTGACTATCTAATAGAGGAGCCACTTAAGTGCATTCATAGGTCCGATGAAATGATCCGGGTACTTTATGAGGCAGACACGATTCCTGAAAAGTGGGAAGGTGTGGTAAGAGAGCTTCTAATGAATGCAAGAAAAGTGGAAGAAAGGCAGAAGTACATCTACCTTTGCGGGAGATATGTTCATGAAGTCCCCCTCGAGATCATGAATATCCAGAACTTGGGCATTCCATCTCTTACAAATGAAACCATTAGGTTTTACCTCAACCTCCATAGGAGAGGAGTGGCAAGCCTGGAAGAAACCCTTGCATATCTGCGCTTGATACAGAAAGGTTCCAAGGACAGAGTTAAGATGGTGATCAATGAGTTGAAGGTGCGAGGGATTGGAGTATTCGCAACGTTTTGTGATTCCAAGAAAAGAGACTTCGACGGTGCTGATGCCAAGAGGTTTGTCACTGTAAAGCCTAAGGAGAAGTCCAGCTCGATACTTGATGTGAAGCCCTACTATGGGCTTGAGGAGAATAGACTTATTGGCGATGATTCCGAGAAGATCACAGAGGAGTTTCCTGGCGGAGAGGAATCCTTAGCTGAAAGCTGCTTCTCTCTTGAAAAAGGCTCTGGGAATGCTGACGGTCGTTCTGATGTGACCGGAGACAGCGCCGCACTTCCCTCTAGCTATTCACACCATCCAACCTTATTCCTGGGCAAGCAAGATGAGGAAAATGTCTGGCTGAGGTTTGCAGAGAGGCAATACTCCATAGGCGGGAAGAGAGGAAAGGAGGAGGAGTCGATGAGACTAATAGACACAAATGGCCTGAAGGGGATCCTTAGCATCTCCAATGACGAAGTCATCCTTCAGGTTGATATATTAGAAAGCCCATTAGTTATTTATTATAAATGCAAAGGAAGACTCAACAACGTTAGGGTTGATGCGGAAGGAGTGTTTCCTCTCTTCTCAATAAACCTTTCAGTAGTCAACTCGAAGTTCAGTTTGACAATAGGAAAGTCCACTTATGGTATTCACCTAGGAATTAGAAGTTTGATGGTCCCTTACAAGTGCTCAAAAGGTGAGTTTGAGAAAGGATTCCAGGAACTCAAGGACTATATCCTCTTAGATGGGCTTGACATGGAAAGGACCTATCCAGTAGACAGCTATTCATTCTCATTCTCTGTCCTTGGATCAAGGTTTTATGGAAAGCATCTTGATAATCAAGTGATTCTGAAGGGCTCGAAAAAGCTGCTAGGGCTCTTTTGAGTACATTGAATAAACAGATGGAGAGACAAAGGATTTATTTCTAAACCAATGGGTGTTCTATCTTAGTGGTGCATAAAGACCCTTCCACCTGATACCACGCGGAGGTGCAGAACTACATCAGGTATGAAGTCAGATATTGCTTTGTCATCAGCTCTCAGCCTGGGGCGGCAAGTATCATCACTCTTCAGGGGTAAGGTGCGCAAAAATACTTTATATAGACAGCTATTTATTACCAAACCTACCCATCACAGACCTTAGCATTGAATCGTGGCGTTTCCCAGAACCCTCCTTCCTTAAATGCTCACGGCACAGATTTCTAAGCCCTTTACTCTTTCCCAGAACCTTGGCCGTGGCATCCGAATCTAAATATACAATGATATCAACTGCAGCCGCCCCAATAATCTCAAAGCACTTTACAACACCCTCCACCATCTCCTCTTGCTTCCATATATTCCTCCTAACAAGTCTTGACAGAAACGAAACAACAAAGTTCTTCAGGTTTGGAAACTTCAACAGAGTTTGGATCAAGGTCCGAACAATCAGAAGAGGCAGCTCCTTCTCCAAAGTAGTCAATGTGAACAAAAAGTCACTCTCGTTGAATCTTGGAGATTTGAAGCAGAGGTTAAGAATCCGGATGGCCTTTGAGATGTCTGGAATCCTATGTGCAAAGATCAGAAGCTCAGAACATTCTATAGCCCTCAGAAAGGTATTCAAGGACTCGGTGTCAACAACATAGTCAGGAATGTATTTGTACACATCAGATTTCTCCAAATACGGCAACAAGTCGTATATAAAACGATCGTCCTTCAGATAGTTATCTAGTAGATAGATTCTAAGCTGGCCCTTGATAGCCCTCCTCCTGAGAATAGTCCGTATAAGGGTCTCTTTCCTTTGGTCGTTCTTCATGGACTTGATGAGATTAATCACAGCCCAATCTTCCTTTTCTTTTAACAGATCTACAAAACTGTTCATGCTTTCCTGTGTGTCAACAGCATCCAATGTAAGAGGTAAGGCCCTATCATTAGACTTAGATACCTCAATCAGTTCCTGCCCACTCAGTTTAAAGCAAGGTGCATAGTCTCCAAGAACTTCGTAGTTCTCCTTGAAGACTTCTAGCATGCTTTCCCTCGATATATTTACTCTTTCCTCAGAAATCATCTTCACAATCTTTTCAACATATACTCTCCTTTCCTTGATCATGTGATTCAATATCTCCACAGTCTCATCTGTTATCCTCTCTACAACCTTCTCTACATTAAGTGAAACAAGATGCTTGACGATGTCAATCCTAAAGTATTGCTTGCTCTCAAGAATTAGCTCAACCGTGGCATCGTAGACATCCCGGTTCAGTAGGTATGCATACACAAAAAATGAGTGGCTGTACTTTTCGTTCTTGCTTATGAACAGTAATGCCTCCAAGGAATCCCTAACTTCAAGCATCCTCACAATCCTTGAGATACCTATGTCTATTGTATTTGCATCCTTGATCCTTCCAAGGAGATTAAAGGCCTCAGTAATCGGGCTCGGGAGCACTTCCTCCCTCTTTTCGTGGAAGTATGTCTGGATGGTGTTCTCAATCTCAATGTTGCTGGTTTTCACAAGTGTCTCAAAAACTAGGTCAATGAGAAGGCTAAGAGGGTCAAACTCCTTCTTCATCCCTTCCCCGCCTTTCTTTCCACGTACCTCCGTAAAGTCAAATAGCCTCATTTCAGAAGCAAAGCGATTAAGCATACTTGGAATCCTCTTTGCTATCCTTTTGTTCAGCATATGCACATGGTAGTTTACCGACCTCTGTGCATACCTCGGGCATATCATTCCCTTGCTCTGTGCACTCCGAAGATATGCAAGAAGAATCACAGCACTGTCTCTATCTAGTATTTTTGAAGCTGTGGAGAAGAAGTAAACCATCTCTATGGGACTCATATTCTTGAGATAGAAGATAAGGAAAGTTAGACCCTCTTCAGAATACCTCTCGACTAGGTGGTATCTTATCTTTTCCATTGGCAAGGCCTTTACGAACCCTATTTAAAAGAGCACTTTTCCATGAACAAAACTAAAAAGAATAGCCATAGGTATTTACTTAAGGATAGAGCCTATTGGGATCCCTGGGAAACAGCGAGAAGCGTCTTATGTCTCCCATTCCAAAGTATGCCTTCATCAGCCTTTCAAGCCCAATTCCACACCCCCCATGCGGAGGCGCTCCATACCTGAATGACTCCAAGTATCCTCCAAGAGAAGATGGAGATATCCCGTGCTCCTCAACATATCTGACCAGGTCCTTGTAAACATTGACTCGCTGTGCCCCAGACAGAATCTCTTCTCCTCTGAGAATGAAGTCATACGACCTTGTCACTCCCTTCTCCTCATCTCTGTATGTATAGAAGGGCCTTGTACATATCGGATAGTCCTTTATCACAAAGATATCAACCCCGTGCATTCTCTCCACTATGGATCCCAGTTTTTTCTCATTTTCACTGCTGAAGTCATCCTCATACTTCATCTCAACACCTTCTTTCAAAAGGAGATCTACACATTCTTTGTGCGTGAGAACAACCGGCTGAGAATTATATCTGATGTCCTCAAATCGATGGAAGGCCCTGATTGTTTCCAGTTCTTCTCTGGTATTCTTCCTTCAAACTGTCAAAGATACTTACAAACATCGAATGGATAAATGCAATCATATCGTTATAGTCCGTGGATATCTCCATCTCCATGTCAAGTCCTACAAACTCACTAAGATACCTATTGATGTTGGACTCCTCTGCACGATACACATGCCCTATCTCACATACCCTCTTCAACCCTCCTATAATCGCCATCTGCTTGTACAGCTGAGGGCTCTGGGCCATAAATGCCTTTCTCTTGAAGTAATCCACACTAAAAAGATTAGCTCCCCCTTCACTAGAGCTTCCAATAAGCTTCGGTGTCTTTATTTCCACAAACCCATTCCTTCTGAGATAGCCTCTGAAGAAAAACATCACTCCGTCTATGATCCGAAAGGTGGCTCTTGCTTGTGGAGTCCGAAGATCCATCGCCCTGTTGTCCAGTCTGATGTGATATCCAACATTCTGAAGTGTTGGGTTTTTTTCTCTCTCTTCAGCCGTTGCGGAGGCATCCTTCATTACGAACGGTAAGTTCTTATCAGCAGCACTGAGGATATCAAACCCAAGAATATGGATCTCAATATCCTTCTTGTCGCAGCCAGATATCTCCTTCTCCTGCTTCACCACCTTCCCCTTTACCTCAATGAAAGACTCGTGTGTCACCTTCTTGAGCAAATTGAATTCCTGTGGTGTTAAACTCCCCTTGCCACCAATAGGCTTTTCACACATGCACTGAATAGTGCATCCATTGTCCCGTAGAACTATGAACACATATTTTCCTGTACACGAAACCTTGAGAGCAAATCCCCGCACTCTTATACACTTTCCATCAAGGTTTCCATCCAGGTCTTTTATTTCTGTTATCCCATTTATAGAAATCCTAGAAAGTTGAGTTTCCATGCAAGGGCTCAAGCCTTTTGCTAGTTATTTTTCTTAGAATCACTATCTCATGCTTTTAGACCAGAGCGTCTGTTCTTTCCAAAAGATCATATCATTGGTATATCTAGAACCCTGTTATATTTTATTAAGGAGCAGAAAGGAGGAGGAAAGGTATAAATATCAAGAAAACCACCTCGGAATGGAAGAAAATGAGAGTCCGGAAAAACCAGGAAGAACTAAGATTCCTTTTGAGCTGATTATAAGCACCGTCAACTTTCTCATTGCCACAGCACAGGTGGGACTCCACCTGAAAATTGGAACCCCAAGTGGCCTTGTTATGAAGGTCTCAAGATTTACAACTTCAGCTGTTCTTCTAGTTCCGGCCTTCAAGATTCTTTATCAATTGCATAGGTTTGTGAGGGACCATGGGGTTAGAAAGATGAACAGAGTCAAGATTCTTTGGATGGTTGCATATCTGTTGGCTCTTTTTTCAGGGATTGCATTCCTTTTTGTTAAGCCTAATATGACAGATCTAAAGGGCCAGGCTATGATTGTATCCATGGCATCGTTGCTAGGAATGGTTATCTCGTGTGCACTTCTGGATTACAAGCATCTTCCAAAGAGAAACTATATTGACTACCTCATCATATTTTCTTGCCTTGTCTTCATTGTAATGCTTGCATCCCTCCTTCCTCCTCTTAAAAAACATGATATGGTATCGAAGGTGGCTGCATGGGGATCCATGGCTACAGGACTCATCATTCCCGTCCTTCAGAGCCTTCTTTCCCCAGGAAGTATCTCTGAACCTGTCTCTTATGAAGACTTTGCCATGTTCAATGTTTTAAGTATAGCCATTCTTGCCCTTAGTATTGCCGCAGTAGCATCCCCGCATGTTCTCGAATGGTACGATAAAAAGCCTCGTACTAACACAGCCAGGACTCTGGCTTCCATTAATAATGGGGGCACACCCAGTTAGAAACTAAATGAGTTGGATTAACCGAGAATTTATCGTTATCCCACAATATCTGCCATAAGCAATTTAATAAAAAGAATACAGTTACTCAATCTCTGCAAACATTTCATCAATGTCATTGGTATCTTCAATACATTCAATATCACCCACTAGATAATGGATCCTAGAGCATAGGCCCAAGATAATAAGTGTATAGCTAATAAGATGCCCCTCTGGAATGTTTGATGTTGCCAAGATATACAACTCCTCACTCACTCTACGGATTTCATCTTTCTTGCTCTTTACTTTGTTGAGAAGAAAGGACTGGGAAAGTCTTTTCAAGTGAACAAGCTTCCTAAACAGCTTCGAACCTCGATGCCCGTTCTTTGACTTATATACAACCAGTTTTAGAATTTCCAGCTCTTCCATGAGCTTGAGATTCTCTTCCTCCGAAGTTCGAGTTTCTAAGCCCATAAGGGTTGGGGATTTCGATCCTCACGAAATCATCCATTCTTTTTAGAGAATAATATCAATTGCATCTTTTGATGTTGAGCTGATATAGAGTTTTCTGTCCACTGGCCTGAGAAGACACCCCTACATTCTTCAATTGATTGCTTCCTATCCCTAAAGACTCCAGAACATTCAGCTTTGATAGAAGTTTGGGCCATACGTACTCATCAATCGTTCCCCTTCCAACCAGATATATAATATCAACACTGCTTTTCTGTCCAATCCTATGTATTCTATCCTCTGCCTGAAGAAGAACCCCAGGATTCCAGTACAGCTCGGCAAACACCACTGCCCTCCCCGCAGTGAGTGTAAGCCCGGTGCTACATGCTGTTATACTTAATAGTGCAACTCTTATCTCATCATTTTCTTGGAAGTTTTTGACTAGAAGATGCCTATTGCCACTAGGTATGGATCCATCAATCCTGATCATCGGAACCTTTCTTTCTACACAAAACTCCTCAATCCCATCCATCATCTCCGAATGGTGGCAGAAGATCACAAACTTCATGTTTTTCTCCATCATCGTTGCTAGATATTGCTTCACCTGCTCCATCTTCAGCTTAACAGCCTCTCGGTACTGCACAACCACATTCATATCCACACTCTCTCCCACAACTTCTTTTCTAGGATCACTTTGCTTTCCTTCGCATTGCAAAACAACCTGTCTCCTGAACTTTGGAGGCAACTGCGCCAGCACCTCGTCTTTTGTTCTCCTGATCATAAAGCACTTCTTCAAAATATAGTTGAGCTCCTCTGCATTGCTGCATCCCTTGTAATCATACCACAGGCCCACCTTCCTTCCGTTGCAGTATCTAGCTCCATATTCTGCAAAGCGTGGAAATATCGTTCTGTCAATAGATGCTATTATGGGGTACAGTTCAAGTGGCCTGCTCACTGCTGGTGTTCCAGAAAGCAGGACAGCCCTGGGAACCCTCTGAAGTAATGGAACTATTGCCTTTGTTCTTTTGGTCTGTAGACTTTTGAGATAGTGGCATTCATCAGCAATTACCACCCCCACCTCACATCTAAGTAATGCATTTGCATTGCTAGAGGCTACTTCATAACTCACAATCCCAATCGTTTGCCCAAAGTCCTCCTTTCTTCTCATCACCATTGCTTCTGCTCCTAAGAACCTTTTACATGCATCAGCCCAATCTTCAAGCAAGGATGCGGGTGCAATAATCAGCAGAGGCCACTCAGACCTGTAGTAATACGAAATAGCAAGCGCCTGGATGGTCTTCCCCAGCCCCATATCATCTGCAACAACTATCCTTCCTCTCCTACTCAAGGCATACTGTACACCCTCTCTTTGGAATGGGAGTAGCATATCATATATGTCCCCAAAAAGCTCAAACTCCTCCTCATCCACTTCCTGGCATGCAATCCTTAACGTTCCTTTTGGAATCTCATCGAACATAAGCTTATTCCTCTTCAACTCCCCTTTCACAGATATATAATCCTTCACGCTTATTCTCCATTCATTACTCTTAACATCATACACACTCTCCTCCAACTTGCTTAATTCAGTGCACAGCCTCTTATTAGACGGCCTTAGCACAACCTTCCCATCCTCATTCACATAAACTTTTATCTTTATGGGATTCATCTCTTCTCTCTCATCCCTCTTCTTATCCATTACCTCTTCCTTGGGCCCATTAAGTCTGGCTTCAATGGCCCTCTCCCAACTCTCCTTTCCCATCCCTTCAACTTGCACAATCCAAAAAGAATAAATAGCCAAGACCTTACTTTATTAACAAATATTATTCCTCGTCAATATTCACAACCCTTCTCTCAATCAAGTAGTTTTCATCCAGGAGCTTCTTGTAGAAACCTTTCTCGTTCTGGAGGCTCTGCCCAATCTTCCTTGACACAAAAACCATATATCCAACTACAGCACTCAGGACAATAAACTCCACATTGTTTAGTCCAAGAAGTAAGGTCACGGCATTGTACATATACCAGATTCCAAACACAACGGAAATAAATGCATTGATCTTGCACAACTCTCTGACAAGTGCTCGGAAGGTGTAATTCTCGGGAGACGAACTTAGAATCGTTTCTACAATCGAGGTGGAGCTAAAGAAAAACAGAAACAGCCTCAAAGGCCGTAGTCCATTGATTCCCACTCCATCATTGGAGAGTACAATAACCATCAGACTTCCAAACAGAGGATACACCGTGTTTATGTACATATTCACAATCCCGTGCTTGCATAACTCTCCAACCGTTTGCAGAATATCCTTCTCTCCTTTTATACTGTTCACTGCCACATGTATTATTATCCATGACAATCGAAAGAGAAAAGCCAGGACCAGATAGAATAACATATCTCCAGAGTCCCTGACATATGCATCCATGTTAATCCTTTCAACAATGCGATTGGCAATAAAAGCATAGCCGGTGTAAAGGCAATACAGAGATAGAACAACAGACAATCCTATTAGACCGCATTTAAGAGCAAAAAACCTTGGAATATAGAAGATTGCAAAGTCAGAAGACAGATGAGTATTGAAGTACTTGTGGATCTCTCTTTCGGTTGGCCTTCTTCTTTCTCGTGCCCTAACATGTTGTTTCTTGAAGATCTTGTTCTTATTGGCACACCATCTCAGCATTTGCTTGTCATATCTTCTCATTCGTGTATTATAGAGAAAGTTCTCCATCTCAAGGATCCGGGCCTCTAGCCTTACAATCTTGTCGAGTCCTTTCACTACATAGTCACAAAGTATCTTGTTTGAGTACAGAACCATTGTAAAGGCCTTGTAGCTAAGAGACAGCTTTAGAAAGCTTCTTATGGAAAACTTTATGCTCATTTCTCCACAGACCAATCTGATCATCATAAGCCCTGCCCCATAGAACAAGGTGAAGAGCCCCAGATATGCCATCACTCGGAGAAGTATCCTTGAGATCCCTACTCTAGAAGCCTCGTATAGCTCATCCATCCGGGAGTCGTCATCATCAGGGACAAAGTGAAAAACACCTGGCCGGAAGCATCTCTTGAATCTGAGAAAGATATTTCTTATTACAATGCTAAAGGTATATCCAATCGACATGTGGAATACTAAAGAAACGCTTCCCTTCAGGACAGCTCCATACTCATTGTTGAGATCCAATACATGCATTCCTCCGTTTAGTATGCCCCCAAACATATAGTGAAGAATCAATCCAAATGTTAGATTCATGAAGAATATGTTCATCATGACTATAAGATATATCTTCATGAAGATACATATGTATTTCATACTGCTGGACTTAAATCTTCTCCACATATATTCAGTACATCCCATGACTATCCAAAAGACAATTCCAAATCCCACCAATCTAGAATATAACTCCTTCAGATTCGTGTCAGAAAGGAACTCGCCAAAGGCTCCGGGAACTTTAGGAATAGAAATGAGCCCTCCGATGCCATATATCACAGGTATGAACGAGACCGGAAGGGTCATCTCAACAGCTCCCACTATTATCGGCCTGAATAGAAAGCTTCTCATGGGGTCATTCGATGTTCTGCGCCGCTCCCTCTCACCATCAATGGCCTCGTTCATTTCTCTAGAAGTGGTTGTGGGGAAATCCGAGGATAAATTACCATCCGGCCCATCTGTTGCCTCACTCCTGGATGTTCTTGCAGACCCCTCCTCCTGTGTAGACTCTCTGTCCATAGATTCAAATATCGCTCTTGGATTTATTGTCACCCTTCTTCTCCTTATACCCTCACCAAACTTCTCTCGGATCTGATTAAATAGGCATCGATTGATCTGTGCTAACCATGCCAATGGAATCCCAATTGCTATGCATATCAGGCTGTCTCTTAAACTAGGCCTAATATTAAAATCATAAAAACCCGTCGATACCATAAAGAGGTATCCATTAAAATAGAAAACACCCAGCCACCTAATCATCTGTAGGATGCACCATGCAAGAACAATCGCCACCTTCCATCCCATGCCGCCTATTCCCTTGATAAGTATGGACAGAGGAAGTACCCGAGGCGTATCTGGCTTGTAAATGTCTTGGAATCGATATTCATAATGGCATATGTCACATCTCTTGATCTTCGAGCATTCTATCCACGACATCAAACACTCCCTATGGATGTACTTGATTGTTCCAGAACATCTGCATGGATTGCATAGGTCATCTCCTCTTACATCTCCCATGTGACAGATTTTGCAATACCTTTTCTCCTCACTCATAGGGGTACTCTGTTTCGATATGAATCAAGCTAATGAATGATCCAGATACTATAAGAAAAACATCAACGAAACCGTGGGCCTTTATTACCTATAGTCTATAAATTCACAACAGTAAACAGAAGCATGGTCCCCTTCCTCTCAAAATATCTTCTTAATGCATCATCCACCGCATATCTCAGTCCGTTTTCCTCTAGGGAAAGAACATCCTCTACAAACTCAAGTATCTCCTGAGCTCCAGTAATTGCATCCGATGGTGTGTCCTTGATGTCAAAGTTCACCATAAAGAAGGACTTTGTACAAGAAGACCCATCAGCGTAGTGTTCAAATATACTGGTAAACACCCTTTCTTCACAAGTTATTACTAGGTCGAAGTCTTCATCCCTCTGAAAAAAGTTCTCTGGCTTTTCCTTCACTCTCATGTTTCTCTCTAACAAGTAAAGAATCCCAGACTCTCGGTAGTAGTCTTCATTCTTCATGCATAAATCATCGTAAATCTGCTGGTATGTCTGGCCAAAGCTGTACACATTTGGCTTATCCATCGTTTCTCCAGGGAGCTTTATGACGGGGTTTGTACCAAAGGACTTGATTGGGATTCCTTTCTTTGCAAATAGATCGTGTGTCTGCATACTTCTATTTTGATTCATTGCACAGCTGACTGCCAGCTTCATTAAGGGTATCAGATCTCACAGGGTAAAGCGGAACCACACACCACCTTCACTACTGCAGCCTTCGACCTTCTTCGGAACTTTCTGTCTCCGAGTCATTCAGAAAGCTCACCATCGGTAGAGAGGGAAATGGTGGGAGGTACAGACTGGTGTTTTCATATCCCGGGGGATGTGATCTATTCCGTCCCACAATTCCAGAATGTGACAACAGTCCCTCAAGGTCGACATCAAAATCTTCCCCCTTCTCCAGCTTCTCCATCGTTTTGATATGCTCCTCAATCTGCAGGATCTCATCGTACATCCTTCTCTTTATTCCAAGAGCCTCAAGAGACTTCTTCTCAATAACTTCGTTCCATTTATGGCTGTTGAATGCAAGGGATTCTCTGGTAGAAAGTCTCTCTAGCTCGGAGTACGATATCTCGTCGTTGATATATCTCTTAAGTCCAGATAGAAACTCCTCACTGACATCCTTATATAACCTATCCATAAAGGGATAAACACAACTAATCATTAAAACTTTATTCTTCATCATCCTTGTTACTTTTCTCAGTCTCTCCGTCCCTTGTCTTCTCCTCTTCCTTCTTCCCTCCCTTTCTTCTTTTATTTGTTTCCTTGGGTGCCTCAGACGCACGCTTCTTGCTTCTGACGGAAGCTTTCCTAAGTGTCTTTACTCCGCCCACTTCTCCATCGTCCTGTGGTAAAAGTCTCATTGCACTCGATCTTCTTCTTCGCCCTCCAGGCCTCTCATTTGCTTCTTCGTCTCCCTTCTCCCGCTTCTCTTCTCTTCTCTTATCGTCTCCTTCTTCATCGGGCTCCTCCTTCTCTCCTTCAATCCTACTCATCACATCGGTAGCAATAGCATTCTTCATGTCACTCGAAGATAAGACCTCCTTGACTTCATCTCTAATGTCTTCCTTGACATCTTCCATAAAGTCCCTTTTCAGGTCTTCTTTTAACTCCTCCTTGATATTGTCTTTAACATTCTGTTTCAGCTCATCAAGTTCCTCATCTATTGCTGCATGCTCTTCTTTCATCTTCTCTTCAACAACCTTCTCAGCACTATCTAGAATCTCCTTCTTTATCATCACCTCTCCAAGATCCCTGGAATTCTTCTTTCCCATCGACGGAAGAACAGGCGTGTCAACCATGGACGTCTCAATCGACTCCTTGATTTCTTTCTTAAGCACCTCCTTCTGTTCCTCAATCACCTGCTTCACAGAAGACACATTCTCAACTTCCTCTCCACACAGAGAAACATTTACTCCGGTAACCTTGTTAAGTGCAATAGAAACAACCGCATCTCCAATTCCGTCTCCCTTCTCTTCCCCTGAATTCGAAATCTTTATTCTTTTTCCACCCTCAGAAAGATCTTTCTTCTCCTCCCCTTCCCGATTCAGGTAACTGAGTTCCATCGTTGGCCTTCTAATAATCTTATCCTCATCAACAAAATCTCCAGGCTCAGTCAGAGAAAACACAAACTTATACCTGTTTATCTTCACCACATCTCCAAATCGGAATCCATACATCGATTCCTTCTCAAGAGCTTCCTCATTCAAAAATACATTGTTTCCAAGCACCCGGATCTTCATATGGTCAAAATACACAAGCACGTGCCTTTCCTCAATAGACGGCTGCTGCAGCCTTACATCTGAATCAAGCCCACTCCCTATTGTTATTTCAGACTCATTAGTAAATGCAACACTTCGAACCTTGTCATCACTTCCTAATGATGATAGCTTGTATTTCTCTCCCATCAATTCAAGGGCTCAAAACCTCTTCACATATCCTCGTCACAAACAAAATACCCATATACATAACAAAAACACCAGAGGAATTTATTCAATCTTGATTAAAATGCCCTTCTCTACATTTCTATTCATATACTCCCCGCACCCTACAAACACTCTACATTCACATGCCTTCTTTATCTCCCCAACATCAACACTGAACCTGACATTTGTCCTTTTCTCAAAGTCGTCTATAACCTTTATCTTTCCATAGATAACATTGTCCACGGTCAGCATCACAATCCACTTGACAAAAAATACCTCCTTCATAAACGGTGCATGCACTATCATCTCTCCTTTTCCACCAACATCAACTTTGCACTCACGGTCAAGAACCACATTGATCGTCGCAATGCTTCCTCCAGGAATGACATACACAGCCTGATCAGCCTTTGCAGCTCTTGCTCTTTCTTCAGAGTCATTCCGGGTAACCAAGTTCTCAGATGAAGAAGGCTCGTCATGATCCTCGTCTTTAACTACCCCTGTCTCAATCACAGATGCACTGAACTCAGTTATCTTAACCAAAGGAATACTATTGTATACATTCAGAGCGGACTCCCTTTTTTCCCCAGAAGGAAGTGTCCCCAGATATCCTTCTACAGATACCTTTTCCTTGCTGTTCTCTTGTATAAATATATCTTCAAACTTCACAAAGGGAATCTGTAGCATAGAGTACTTCACATCAAACACAGCCTGGATAATCATCGACTCAAGAATCACAAGGTTTCTCACAACCCCTCCATATCTCTTGGCTATCCCAATCGCCTTCATCCCTTCTACTAATCTCAGAGAAACCTTCTGCACATATTCAACATCACTTCTTTCTGCCTGCCCAATCCTGAACAAGTGATCCATTAGCACAAGATACCCCTTGTTCTCCTTTCCACAATCCTTTAGTGGAAATGCAAACCCACTTTCGATCTTGCTTCTTAACCCCTCAACATCACTCCTCCATCTATACTCGCTGAATTCAACAGACTTCGTCATAAGAACAATCAACCTCATCACTACTTCAAGAGGGCGTTTTGTTTGATTCATCCCAACATCAATCTTTTCATAGAACGTCTCCATAGTCCGGAAATTAACACCTACTCTGTTGAGGTCTCGGATCTCCCTCCACTTCCTGTAGGCCCATCTTGGGAGAAATACCCCAAGAAGTAAAGAGTACAGGCCAAATGCATAAATCCCTCTCTTGATAACCACCTTAGGTATTGCAATTATCTCTCCGGTTTTCGATTCACTGTTCAGCCATGTCTCATATCTCTTCTTATCACTGACAAGCCCATATGCTTTGTTAATGATCTTTTGCTTCTCTTCATACTCCTTCCGGAGGTCCTCAGGTGCTTTGCTAAGGTTGTACTTCATCAGAAGCTTCCGAAGCTTCCTCTTAATCTCCTTCTCTCCTGTGCCTTCGTCAACCCCAAGCACCTCCAGAGGGTCAAACCCCTTATTATACTCAATCTTCAGGGTCCTTATGTTGCTGATCAAATATGATATAATAGCCCATATAATCATCGTAAACACTTTTCTTTTCGTTTTTCTGTTCACCTCCTTGTTCTTGCATCCAGAACAAAAGCATCGCACCCTTCTGATCGGAGAACTATCAACTAGGTCGTATGTCATGTAAAGAGCCACAGGAACCAGCATCGATAACAGTAGATAACTCGAGGCAAGGCCCGATTCATCATACTCATAGTCATATGCCATCAAGGGTCTTTGTTGATTTCCAAAAAAACAAAAATTTAATCTCTATTCAGCCTAGCCCTTCATCCCTTCTCAAGGAATATACTCCAGGTAGTCCCCACAAATCTTACAGTACTCCTTTTCACTAAGTTTTCTAATCGTCTCCATCACACTCTTCTCGTCACTTCCAAATTCCTCTTCAATCGCTGCGATCATCTGAGATATCTCCACCCTCTTTCTTTTCTTCAGTATCCGAGTAATCCTAGCTTCTAGAATGGCGTCAGGCACCCCCACTGTTTCCATCTCTCTCTTAGCCATAACCCTCGCAAACTCAATTTCAAACAAGTCTACAATCTCTTCAGCTTCTTCCATCTTCTTTTCCATCCTCCCAGAAATCAGATTCTGTTCGGAGTCCAGAAGACAAACCTTGTCCTTATACTTGTTCCTTATGTAATTATACTCTTTGTGAGAAAACATTCTGTTGAGTGAGATAACACCATCCATACATATAATAAATCCATGCGACAGGAGGTACTCAAGGTTCCCCTCAAACCCAGACCCTCCAACACATCTTTTTAAGTCAGGTATCTCTCTGTCAACATTCAGCCATAGCATTATTAGTAGTTTGTCGGTCCCCATCCGGAAGTTGAACCCATTCATTGAAAATATCATCGGTGACAGGCTATGGCAGCATACCAACTCCCCTCTTGGGTAGCTCATCATCTTCGGTTGGGATACAATTCTCCAGATATCCTTCAGAGGCTGCGGAAGATTCTCTCCGCTTGCCCGCAGGTCATAGAATCCCTTTGTTAAAAACCTTGCTTCTGTAACCAGTTCACAACCCTGCCCAGCTATATTAAATCCACTCTTTACACTGCTCACTTGATTCTCATACATAATACTTATGGCCCTGTTAATGGTACCCCCAAAATGCTTTTGCATCAACGAAACCAGCATTCCTTCTTTTTTCAGGTTTCCCCTACATCCTAGCATCCGTTTTCGGGCATCCTGTGTTATCTTTTCGACAATCGCTTCCTTATTGGACATAAGGCTTGCAAACACAACGAGAGCTTCCATCTCTCCTTCCATCTCCTCTCCCTCCCTTATTGCTCCATCAATGTGCTTGTGAACCTCATCTTCAAACCCAAGCCTTCCGGAAATATACAGATGTTTCCTTATCTCTTCATTTAGATATGGAACAAGCTCATCTTCATTCATGAGGTTCTCTTTCATTTGCTTACAGACCCTGAGATATTCTAAAGTCAGGTCTTTAAGACTTCTTGCCTCAAGTATCTTCTTTCGAATAATCTCCTTGTACTTCTCACTAATCCTCCCCATGTACTCAGGCTCCATGAAATGAACAATCTTCACATATAACTTAAACTTCTCAAACCTTTCCATTTTCCAGCCAAGAAGCTTCAAGACATCATCAAACCTGTCCCGAACCCTGGATACAATCTCTTTGTATAGCTTATTACTGTCTGGATCAAAAACCTTCGAAGCTATGTATATCTCCAGATACACCCTCTTCAGAACCTTATTGATATCTCCACTAAAGTCCATTGATCCATGGAATCCATCAAGATATCCCTGTACAATGTCCTCATACACCGATGACTCGTCACAAAAGAATAGCATTCTTTTGAGAAGTCGGACAGCCTCTCCTAGTCGCAAGAAGTTGTAGTCCCTGCTACTTCTCGAGACCCCGATCTCAAAGAAGATTATCTCCCTGGCTTGACTCATGATCCTTTCCATGTACCTTCTATAGAATATCGTATATCCTAGGGCTTTGATGTCTTGAATATGCCCATCCCTCCTCTCCACGCTGATCCTGATAAAGTATCTTTCCAAGTACGAATAAGCCTTGGCCACAAGGTCTAAAGCATTTGAAAACTCCAGCAGTTGGCTGTGAAGAGTCTTAAGGGACGTAAAGCATCTGAGCCGGTCCACATACGATAGAAGAACCTTCTTCAAACTCTCATAAACCTTTGCTCCCTTGGTTTCAAATGTTTCCGTCACTTCTGTACAGTGGTTGTAGATGATGTCATATACTTCTATAAAGTCCTCAGAAGAAGATGCCTTGCGACACCAAAGAAGTGACATGGTTAAGCTCTCCAATCTTTCGAATTCCTGTGTCCCCATTCTTGGGTGATACTCAATAAACATAAATGGTTCCTCAAGCTTATGAAATTGCCGCATAGATCCAAATATATTCTAGAAACATCAAAGCAAAAACATGACATTACATCGAGTTTATTTTCTCTTTTATCATATCTGAAAGATCATCTGGACGAAGAACATGAAACTTCCTCATCTTGGACAATATGAATATATTGTAAAGATCATTGTATTCATTTAGAAAGTATGCCAATACGCCCTCCTTGCTTTCATTTCTTCTTCCTTGTTTGATTATCAGTGAGCTTTCCAAATACAGATAATGGAACTTCACATTGAATAGGACTAGTCTAAGGAATGTGACGATGTCTTCCTCTTCACTTAGAGACCCAACCATCTCCCTGATGTATTTCCCAAGGCTTTTCCATCCTCGGATAATGTCGACCGTTTTATATCTGCTACTTTCCTCCATGTATCCCTTTATATACATCATAATTACCTCCATGACCATCTTTATTCCTTTGTGGGTGGATTCTTTTAGCACAGCATCAACCCTGGATCTCAGATCCCTAGCCTTTTGTATGGACGGGCTCGATTCCACAGCCTGGCGTCTTTGGAAGGTTCCATAACCAAGTCTATCTATCTCCGGGTTCTTGAAGACGCCCGCTTCGGCCAGCTTTTTTATCCTGAAGTATATAGAGTCGTCCATTGGGGATCGAAAATGGTTGAATGGGGATTATCTTATAGGTCATAGAGAAGAACCTAGGATATGATACTACTCTAGACGATATCTTGAAAAAATTTGAGCCCCAGGAAAATGGTAAGTGGTTACGATTAATTTTAAGACCAATGCAAAGGGGACTAGGAACTACCACAAGAACTTCCAAGTGAAGAGAAGAAGAAGGCGTGAAGGGAAGACCGACTACAAGCACAGGACAAACATGATTCGACAGGACTCCAACTCCTATGGATCTGTGAAGCATAGACTTGTTGTACGGGTAACTAACAGCAAGGTCATCTGCCAGATTGTCGGGGCATATATGGAAGGAGATAGGGTTATGGTGTATGCCGATTCAAGTGAGCTTCCTAAGTATGGAGTTAACTTTGGGCTGACGAACTACTCTGCAGCATATGCTACTGGATTTCTTATTGGAAGAAGGGCACTTACAGCCTTATCTCTCGATAAGATATATGGTCCAAAGGAGATTGACGGGTCTCATAGTATTACAAAGGATGTTGATGGAGAGAAGAAAGCATTCAGGGTATTTCTGGACGTTGGACTTGCAAGGTCTACAAAGGGAGCAAAAGTGTTTGGAGCAATGAAGGGAGCATCTGATGCAGGACTGAGCATTCCCCATAGGGAGGTGAAGTTCTATGGATACAAGGAGGATGGAAGCTTCAATGCACAAGAGCTACATGACAGGATATTTGGGTATAATATTTCTGAGTATATGCAAGAGCTTAGGGAAAACAACCCAGAGAAGTACAAGATCCAATTTTCTGATTATATTAAGAAAGGTATACAACCGGAAGACATTCCACAGATCTATAAGAATGCCTTTGATAAGATTGCAGAGGATCCTATAAAAGAGAAGAAAGAAATAAAGGACTACTCCGGATTCAAGAAGTACAAGCAGGCAAGACTTACATATGAAGAAAGGAAGGAGCGAGTGCAAGCCAAACTTTCTGCAGCTGAGGGAGAATAAATTCTTTTTATTTGAGTACTTGATTTCGTTGTGAATGTGTACATGTACTATGGCGCTCTGGATACTAAAGAAAAGAGAAGGGGGGGCCCTGGTACCAATCTTAGACGGTGTGGCACAATGGCAGCGCGTCGGATTCCAGTCCCGAAGGTTCTAGGTTCAAATCCTAGCTCCGTCATTTCTTTTTTCTTTTCCTAAGACCTTAGCCGTGTCTTTTATCTCCAATGCCCAAATACACCATTCCAAACCACAGTAAATCCAAACAAAACAATCCCTTATGATGGTAGACGAACACAAGGATCAAGCCCTCAGCTTGTGCCCAAGCCAGAGGGAGTATGCTGTCTCTTCCATCTTCACTAAAGCCCAAAAGAAATTCAGTGGGGCATTCACTCCTGGTGGAAATCCACCAGGGGCCAGAATCCATTTTGTTCCAAAAGATGTCTGGAAGTCGATAAAAGAGAATTTGGCCATAAAATGCAATGCCGGCCATCGATTTGAAACAAAAGACAGCAGGAAGGTTGTCTTCGTTACTTTCATGGTCGATGAGCTTGTCCCCAACACCACTGCTCCCAAGCCAGACAAGAGTGTGATTGTTAGAGTCGGATGGATATACTCAATACTCAAATCTCTTGCCAACATTAGTGACCCTGCTCCTTGTGAGCAGTCTGGTTATGGAAGTGAGATGAAGAGGTCTAGAAAGGTTATTGATGTTCTTGCCAATCCAACAGACAAGCTGTTTGATATAGTGCCGCAGATCATGGGCTTCCAGATTGGTATAGATGAGTTCATGAGGAACTATAGGGTCTTGGGATCCAACGACAGGGTGCTTCATCCTCTGGCGAAACTGGGAGAGTTTTCTGATGGGAATGTGCTGAAGATCTCAAGAATCATCAGAATGGGGGATGGAAGAGTTCTGTCTGTTGACGATCATATGAAGAACATAACCCGTGGGCTTAAGAACCAAGGAAACACATGCTTTATGAACAGTGGTCTTCAATGCCTGATGAACTGCTGGAAGCTCACCGAATACTTCATCAGTAGAGAATATGAAAAGCATTTAGTTAAGCACAAGCCTAACTATGTGTCTCTGGCCAATGCATACTATGATCTGATTGCCCAGGTATATGATGGAGGCCATGAATCTGTAACACCTGCAGGGATCAAGAGAAGTTTGGGAGCCATATATGAGGAGTACAAGAGGAATGATGAGCAAGATACTGTGGAGTTCATTACCAAAATACTGGACATTCTACACGAAGGCCTTTCAACCCAAGTAGAATTCCACCAGAAAAAGGAGAGAAAGGGGTGGTGGGAGTACAACAGGTCTATCATCACCGACTTGTTTTTCTTCTGTCTGAAGTCTACATTGTCGTGCAGGGTCTGTGGAAGAAGTAAAGTATCGATGGAACCTGCGATGTGCCTTTCCCTGCCTGTTCCACACCCCATGGAATATAAGAACAACATTGTATTGTTTTATGAGTCGAGTAGAAAACAACCCAAAAGAATATATGCTGACAGCTCTATCGGCATCAAAGAACTTAAGGAATTACTGTATGCCAAGTATGATGTTCTAGGAAAGGTTGCATTCATATGGTATGACAGTAACAGAAACATGATTGAAGCTTCGGATGGTGCCATCTTGAAAGATATCTCACAGACCTTGTTCTGCTATGAGTATTTTGAGGGCATAGAGTACTGCTGGGTTCATCTGAAGATCAAGAAGTTATTTATGAACAAATCTCTCAAGTTCAATGTCTTGATCAAAGCCTTTGCTTACAATGAGTCCCTAATGCTCCTGGAGATTCGAAGAGCCCTTAGTTATCTTGTCCAGAAGGGATCGCAGGATCTTCTGGAAGACGAAGACATATCTCCCTATGTTAAGCTAGAGTTGCCCAATCAAGGAACCAAGGAGTTTATGGCCAACTTCCCTGTAGTGGCAGGGATGAGCAAGGCACATGAGGGAAAGAGGCTGTTTAATGCCCTGGATGACACTCTAGACACTATACAAACCGTAAGCCCCCCTCCGGCTACCCTTGATCACTGTCTGGATAGATTTCTGGAAAGAGAAGACCTTCATCCATCAGAGCTTTTGTACTGTGAGGGATGTGACGGAAAAAGAATGTTCAGTAAGAAGATGGATCTGGAGAGTCTTCCGACATACTTAATAATCCAGCTGAAAAGATTTCAGTATGTCAACTCCTTTCCTGTAAAGATCTCGACCCTGGTTGAATACCCTCTTAACAGATTCCATCTTGGGGATGCTGAATATATGGTCATGGGGATATGTAACCATGACTCCGAGACGGCTACATCAAATGGACATTATGTAAGCTATCTGCGGAAGGATGGATGGTATCTCTGCAACGACCAGAAGATTGAGAAGGCTGATCGAGTTGATAAGGAACACACATATGTTCTTTTCCTTGAGAGATGTGGTTAGAATAATAAATGCCTGTATTTAGCTAAGTTGTTTGTGATTTATCTTCGGGAAAAATATTGGAAGAGGCTGTGTCCCTATGGGGTTTGAATCGGCGGAAAGTGTTGGATATGTAGACTATTTCGAGAGGCTTAGTTCCTTGTTGGAGACAAATGATGAGTGTCTTGTGAAAAAGGTAATGGATGTGTTGTGTGGAGACGGTGCGAATAAGCAGAGCGTTATCGAGGACGTTATTGGAAGAGGACTATCGAAAGAAAATCTCTCAACGATGATGGATCTAACGGAGTGTTTTCTTTGCAAAAGAAGAAGGGAAATAAGCTTTGAGGATGTAGAGCTGTTTGATATTCTGTTCACGCAAGGAGAGAAGAGGAATCTTCTTGAGATGATAAGGAAGAATGTGGATCTTGAGAAAGAACTCGCCAAGGCCTTGTCTGGGTGGAAGATGTACTTCATGAGATGGATCATTGATAATAGTCGGGTGTTTGAGTACTTCCTTGTACATCAATTGTTTCCAGATAAGAGAGTAGAGGCCAGAAGATTGATTCAGGGTGAGAATGGAAGTATGGGATTTGTCAAGTACATGGATAGTGACGGATTGAGTTTAATGAAAGGGAGTAAAGTGATTGATTTGGAGAAGACGTCTGATGTGAACAGTACGCATGCGATAAGAGGAGAGTATCCTCTGGGATCGAGTGTGAGGTATGAAGATGGGGTTAAGATTGTTTCTGTGCCTGGGAGGAGTGTAAGAGTCGAGTTTGACGGGCAAGCACCAGACAATGTAAAAAGGCTTTTTGGAAATGATTTTATGTTCAACTACATCCAAAGTGTGGTTCAAGATTCTATATTGAAAAGGAATGGAAATGTTCTTGTGTGTGCACCTACGGGAAGTGGAAAAACTGTGATAGGAATAATGTCTATTCTTAGGGAGATTGAAAGGAGGGAGAGGATACGGGTGGGATATATTGTCCCCATGAAAGCGTTAGCTAGGGAGATGTGCAAAACAATTAGTAAGGCACTTTCTGATCACGATACTGTTGTTGTGGAGCATACTTCTGATGTCTATTCTGGATATAATCACTTGGAGAAGGCAGGAGTGATTGTATCCACTCCAGAGAAGTTTGATGTTTTGACAAGGAATACAGACCTTCAGTTTGATCTAATGATCATTGATGAGATCCACATAGTCGGGGATACAAGAGGTGGGGCGATTGAAGCCATTGTAGCAAGGATGTCTATGGGTGGAGGATGTAGGATTGTAGGCCTCAGTGCAACACTTCCAAACTACATGGATATTGGCAGATTCATTAGATGTGACGACTCTGATATTTTCCACTTTGGACCTGAGTTCAGAAAGAGTGCCATAGACTATGAAATCATTAATGTTGGAATGAAAGAAAGAGAGATGAGCATGACTGTTGAGAAAGTGTTGGAGAACCTCGAATCCAATGGGCCCATACTTGTGTTTGTTCACTCTCGGGGCGAAGCTCTTGAGGTTGCGAATGAGATTAAGAGATATATGGAAAGGATGGATAGCCCCGAGGTGGATGTAAGTCCAAATGTTCAAGGGCTTCTAAAGCATAGGGTCGGGATTCACCATGCAGGGTTGGACAGAAAGACAAGGGTAGCCGTCGAAGATTTGTACAGAGATGGAAAGATAGATGTAATGGTGTCCACGGCTACTTTGGCATGGGGAGTGAATCTACCTGGAAAGACCGTGATAATAAAGGGTACTGAGGTGTATGATGCTTCCTATGGATGGAAGCCTGTCAAGCAGATTGAAATGATTCAGATGTTTGGAAGGGCGGGCAGGTTCGAGGATGATAGATGTAAGGGGGTGTTGATATCTAGCAAGGAAAACGAATTTCTTGTTCAACGAAGTATAGACTCCAAGCTCCTTCCTAATCTATGTGACTGCCTTAATGCCGAAATAGTTAGAGGAATGAGAAAGTTTGAGGAAATGATAGACTGGTTCAAATATACCTTCTATTATACAAGACTTGTGAAGATGAGTAGAGAACCTGGAAAAATGGTGAAGGATCTTGTTTATAGTGCTCTAAGACTCTTGGAAGACTCTGGACTTGTTATCCTAGAGCCATGTATATGTCCTACAACAATAGGCGAGATTTCATCCAGATACTATATCCACTATAGAGATGCAAAGAGATTGTTTGATGAGGTTTCGCAAATCATGATGGAGTCATCTTTATTCCGGATTCTAGAGAGAACAAGGGAATTCTCTGACCTGAAGATTGATCAAAAAGAGATGGAAACACTCAAGGAGCTTGTTCCCATTCCTACTGAGTCTCCATTTGGGATTCTAGTTCAATGCTACATAGCCAACAGAATGGACTCGAGTTCTCTATCACAGAATCTCTGCAGGATGTTCAGAGTATTATTTGAGATCGGAATAAGAAAGAGGCTCGGAATCTCCAAGATGATACTAGGGTGGTGTAAGGCTTCAGAGCACAGAATATTTCCATACCAGACTCCTCTGAGGCACTTTGCTTGTGACAAGGATGCCCTCAGGAACTTGGAGATGAAGGAGATTCCTTTTGGAATGATAGAGATATTAGGTAAGGAAGGGCTAGACGAGATAGGTGTCTGTGGAAATAGTATAATTGAATATCTGAAGTATGTGCCTAAGTTTAATATCTTACCGAGTCTTCGGGTTTCTGCACTAGGACATTATATTGTAAGCATTGGAATTGAGAAAGCGTTTGACGACAGTATGATACACTCGAACACATATTATCTTTTCATAACAGACTCAATGGAAGAAAAGCTTATTGTTTATGATGCAATAATATTTGAGAGAGGATGCGAATACATAAGCCAGAACTACGGACTGTGCACCAGCTCTCCCTTTGTAAATGTTTGTCTATTGTCCAGCCACTACCTATGTCCCACAGAGCCCATTCCGTTTGATCTAAGAAATACCTCTAGATCTGCACTCTCTATATTTAGTGCTGTTTGGGAGTCTTTAATGATGAAAAAAGTGTCTAGAATGAATAATTACATTAAGCTAGGGCTCTTCCACAATGAGATTAGTACGGAGGTAGTTATTGTACCAAACTATTCTGAGAAAAGAAGATTGATGCTGTTAGGCTACAAGCCATACACATACGAGGAGTTTGTTTCTTGGAGGGTCTCCCCAAGGTCTGCTACCATTCTGGAGGTTCATGATATAGTTTCAAACCATCTTATAGAAGCCTGTATAGTGCAGTGCATCATGAAAAACATCCAGATGGTTCTAGCAGGTCTTCCGTTTACAGTGGGTGGAGGAATTGAATTGATTGGAAGTGTTGAGAAGAATCTGAAGGAGCCTAAGGTTGAGATATATGAATCCTCTATTCTTGGATACCACGGGATGCTTTCCAACTTTAGAACCAGATTGTCTTTGAATACACATAGATTGAATATGGAGAAGTATTCATGTCTCATAATCTGTTCGACATCAAAGGTAGTTAAACACTTCAAAAAGTTTTTTAAAGATGCAAGAATTGCACTGGAATATACAGGGATCAAGAATGGAATGTACTTCACTACAAAAAGGACGGTTGATTTATGGATAGACCGGAAATGGAATCCTCAAGTGGACCAGATTCATATGATCGGTACGGATTATTACGACTATGAGACTTCATCTTGGGTTGACTACTCACTTGCAGATGTTAAAAGATACTCTCTTCTAGGTTCAAAGGTATTTCTTTACCTGAAGCAGAGCAAGAAGGCACTTTACTTCAGCAGCGAGAACATTCCTTTGTATTACTGCTCTTCCGGAAGAAGAGAGCTTTACATGTATTCATATTGGCTAGGGTGTGAACCTGAAAAAAGCATGGAGTGTCCTCTGTTTGTCAAAGACCGAGAGTTAACCCGATACGGGATGGTTCTGTGCAAGTATTGTGTCGGGATGGATACAATTGAGATGTTTAATGAGAGAATCAAGGACAAGATGGGGCTGAAAAGTATCCAGGCTCTTGTATGCAGGGCCTCTGAGGCTGTTCTGGACATGGATACTGATGAGTTTGAAGCGTTGTCTAGAGCTGGGGTTGATCTTTCTGCAGGAAAGGTACATGGAGTGATTTCGTATGTACTAAGGATGAGTGGAGGAGATGAGTGGGTCTTTCAACAGTATGAGGACAAGATACTTCCCGTAATGCATAGGCTGTATTTGTGTACTGTTGAGATTTCATTAGAGAAGATGTGTTTGAAAACAGCTTTCAATGCAATGTTTGGGCTGCAGAATATGATGAAGGTATTTTCTGAAAATAAGGACAAGTTCTACAATGCAAAGCTTTGTGGAGGGATTGTGCTTATTGAGGTTATATCGATGCCTAGAAGTCCTATGGGATGCGCTGTGTTCTTCTTATTTGATGGGTCGAAGGAATCAAGTATTATGTATGCTGATTGCCCAGGGACATATTCTATTTCCTGGAAGCATGGGAGCTGTTATGTGATGAGTGACAGCTATCCTGGGTTTGAGACGATTGAGGATGGAGGCATAGAAATGGCAGGTATATGATCATTTTATACCGAACTATTAAAGATGGAGGCCTAACCCATGGGGTAATGAATAGAAAGGAAAACAAAATAGTTACATCTAAGTACACGGCAATGACCTTTCTTCCACAGAACATGTACCACCAGCTGTCGAGGCCATCAAACCTGTTTTTTCTGCTGACTCTGATTCTCTTATCTATCCCGGCAATATCTCCGTTCAGCCCTTTCACCTATCTTTTGGCATTTGTTGTTGTTGTTGGAGCATCGATGATGAAAGATGGAGTTGAAGATTATAGAAGGCACAAACAGGACAAGGCAATAAATGAGAAACCAGCAAATGTTGTGAGAAGGAGTGGAGATGACGTATATGTAGAGAAGATCCACGTGGAAGACATTAATGCCGGAGACCTTATATTTATAATGAAGGACCAGGAAGTGCCTGGAGATGTTGTTTTATTGAACAGTAGGATGGAGACGAAGGATGGGGTCAAGTGCAAGAACTATTGCTTTGCTGAGACAAGTAATCTGGATGGAGAAACCAACTTGAAGAAGAAGACATCGCAGCATCAAGTAAAGTGTAAGGAAGAGGGGATGGAGGTTGAGTTCTGTGGGGAGGTATTAAATGTATGCAGCTGTGACAAATATTATATGAAGAATACATCTGAGTTTATTGTTGAAGACACGGGGGATTTGTTTAACAAGTTTGAGTGCCAGGTGAGTATTGAGGGGAAAAACATTCTATGTAATGAGAAGAATGTCCTTCTAAGGGGATCAAGAATCAAGAATACAGAACGTGTTCTAGCCATGGTGGTTTGTGTTGGAAAACAGACAAAGCTAGGCAAAAGCCATTTCAAAGCAAAGGTGAAGATATCGCTTTTCGAGAAAAGCATTGGGGACTTTATATTTGGAATATTCATGATATATTTGGGGATTCTAACACTGACCTCAGTCCTCGGAGCTAGGTTCCTCAAGAAAGACGGTATTGAGTATTTGTACTTGAACGAGTATCTAACTGCAGACTCACTGAAGCAGACAGGGACAAACTATATTCTCTTCAGTTACTTGATTCCTCTGTCCCTATTTGTGACTCTCGAGGTATCCAGAATGTTTCATTCGATGTTTATATCTTATGATGACGAGATGACTGTCGATGGCATCAAGTCTGTTTGTAGGAATTCGAACATAACAGAAGATGTAGGGATGATTGAATATATTCTAACAGATAAGACTGGGACACTTACAAAAAACTCCATGGTTTTCAAGTATTGCCATGTGTACAACTCTCCAGAGCTTATTTCAAGAGAAGACTTGAAAGAGCACTGCCTCAGCATCGATCTTTTGAATGATCTCAGTCCCGCAGCAGAGAAAAGAAGGTCTCGGATGATGTTCATACTTGCACTCTTGTGCTGCAATTCCATCGAGCCTCTTAATAATAACTTCGAGGGGATTTCACAAGACGAGCTATGCATTGTTCAGGAACTAAGGAATCAAGGATATGTGCTTATAGAACGAGACGAAAGATATGTTGTATTGGAAATAAACGGAAGAAGAACCAAGCTGAACATAATGATTTCGTTAGACTTTACTTCGTCAAGACAGAGAATGTCGGTTGTGATGGAGATGTTGGGAAAGTATATTCTATTCTGTAAAGGTTCGGACCAGAAACTTCTTGGAGATAAGAAAATGACCTTTGAGAAGGGGGATACTGGAACAATCAAAGCACTTATAAACAACAACTCTGAATATAGATCTCTTGTTGTTGGGTACAAGGAGCTGGATAGAAATGCTTTGGAAAGGATGAGGGAGCAGTACAACAGAGTCTCATTGAAAAACAAGTTTTTGGAGCAAGAAAGAGTGTTTGACTCTGTGGAGGAAGGAATGGTCTATCTGGGAGCAACATTTATAGAGGATGAGCTCCAAGAGGGTGTAAGAGGTACTATAACCTCTCTCCGGGATGCAGGGATCAAGATATGGATGATTACAGGAGACAAGAAGGAGACTGCAATTAGCTGCTCAGAAGACTGTGGGATTATCCAGAAGAATAATGAGGCTCAATCGCTTGTGGTGGATGGCAAGGAGTTTCTGAATAGACTTACAGGCCCGGACATTTTTGAATACAGATCGATTGTGATATATAGAGCAACGCCCTACCATAAGGGAAAGATAGCCGAGAAAATAGTTGAGCTTGGGAAGAATACGCTTTCTATTGGAGATGGGAACAATGATGTTCCTATGCTCACAAGTTCTCATGTCGGAGTGGGGATCATGGGAAAGGAAGGCACACAAGCAAGCCTGTCTGCAGATTTTGCAATTCCTGAATTCAGGCTTCTAAAGAAACTCATACTTGTGCATGGAAGATATAATCTCATAAGGTTCTCAAAGATAACACTTAATGCATTCTTCAAAAACATATTCTTCATCTCGATACAGTTCATGTACAATTTCTTCAACGGATATTCTGGGAAGCCTATATACAACAACTTCTTCTTGAACTACTACAACGTCCTATTCACCTCCTTTGTTCCTCTGTCCATAGGACTTTTCGACAAAGACAAGCCAGAAAACTACCTGATGGCTCATCCTGAGGACTACAAGAATGCGAGAAGATTCTTCAGTAGACCTTCGTTTGTATTTGGATTTATATACACGATCCTACTTGGGATTGTTGTGTTTTTACTCTCTGTCGGAGTTGTATATATAAAAGACATGGTTAGCAGGTCGGGGCTTGTTGGAGGATACATACTCCTAACAAACTATTTTTCAATAGTTGTCTTCTTAGTTGTATTATCCACACAGATCAGGGAGATCTCTTTCTTTGTTATATATTCATGGATAGCAATTGCATTAAGCATTGCTCTTAACTTCATAACTCTTTTCTTCATCCAGGAGCTGGACGTAACTGCAAACAACGCGGCCTTCAATCTATTTTCCTTGCCTGTGTTTTATCTTGTTACCCTATTTGTACTTTCGGGCACATTGCTTGTTGATCTTGTCATAATGAGGATGCTTTCTGCTGTAAAGAAGAGCAGAGGATGGCCCTAGGAAGAAGGATTCTGAGTGTGGTTCCTGTGACAGGAAAGCCTAAGTAGTTAAGTAAAATTTTGGTATCCCCTGTGATGAAAGAGAGTGACAGACAGATATTTTTCGATGTCAATGCCATCTACAGTTCTACAGAAACAAATGATGAAGAAGTATCTGATATGTTTGATGACAGTGCATTTGGAGGTTCCTTTGGAGGAGAAGACTTTCTCAAACTTGAAGAAGAGCTAAAGAAAGTAAGAAGCATTAAAAAGCCATAAAAGTGTTTACATCATATTGTTATTACATTGTGAATAAAGAAAGTTTTCCCTTTAATGACCTTTTTATTTTGTACCTAACAGCTCTTTTTAAACAATGCAGCTATCCCATGTCCTGCCCCCACACAGAGGGATGCCACCCCATATTCCCCCAACGACTCGTTTTCCATAACATTCAACAGCGTGCAAACAATCCTTGCCCCAGAGGCTCCTATAGGATGCCCAAGAGCTATGGCACCTCCGTACCTATTAACTTTATCCTCGCCAATTCCCAGCCTTCTGAGGCAACAAAGGACTTGGGACGCAAAAGCCTCGTTTATCTCGAAGTATGAAATTTGATCTTTCTTAAGATTATTCCTGTCCAGCAGTTTCTCAATGGCAACAACAGGCCCCAGCCCCATATCCCTAGGCTTGAGCCCTACAACAATAAAATCAACAAATTCTCCAATAACTGGGAGCCCTAGCTCGTCAGCTTTTCTCCTTTTCATCAAAAGTATTGCTGAAGCACCATCAGACAGCTGCGAAGAGTTAGCAGATGTACAAATTCCATCATCCCTGAATACTGGTTTCAATTTTTTGATCACTTCAAGTAATGTCTCCCTTATTCCCTCATCATCCTTGATGTTTTCATCTCCGACCTTCATTTGAATTATCTCCTTGAGAAGGTTACCTTTCTTCATGGCTTCAAGAGCCCTTCTTTGACTCATCGATGCATATTCATCAGCTTCGTCACGTGTTATGCCATAGGTTTTACTCAGCATCTCAGTAACTTCTCCAAATGAGAGAAAGCAGTCTCTAGCATCTGTAGATGTCTCATTTCTGCTTAGGTTGTATTCCTGAGGCAGTCCATAAGATGACATGGATTCAAATCCTCCAGCCAATCCGATTTCTATCCTTCCCGATTTAATCTTTTCTGCAATAAGCCCGATAGACTCCATCCCAGAGGCACATAACCTGTTTATAGTCATAACAGGCGTCTCAGCGGGGATTCCAGCCCTTAGGGCACCTATTCTTGCAGCTACACTTCCTTCCATCGAAGATAGGCAATGCCCAAGAACAACCTCTTCAATAAGCTTTGGATCAATTCTGGTCTTCTCAATAACACCTTGGATGGCTGCCGTAATAAGCTCGTCATTCTTGAGACTCTTGAGCTTGCCTTTTCCCGCCCTTCCAATGGGTGTTCGAAGTGCACATACAATAACAACCTCTTCTCCTGACGTCATGGCCGCTAGGGCCTAATACTATGTCTTTTATCATCCGGACACTTCCTCAACCCAGTACCGAGAAAAGATTGTTTACTCACATATAAACAACTAAACCAAAACAAATAACATGGCAAAGTCATTGCAGACCAAAGTTAAAAGTTCCTTCTCAGGCCAAGTGATCGAAATTGTACTTATAGCAATTCTATCAGTTCTTTTATTCAATAGAAAAGCATCCATAACAAAGGATGAGGCAGAATTCACACGGAGTCTTAGATCCTATGCAGCTGGGAGATTCTGCTTTTATAGAAATCTCCCACTACCAGCCTTGATGTCTTATGGGTTGTACAAGGTCTCTGCATACCTGAATACTCCTTTACTGTCCCTGGCATTGGAAAGCCCTAGACTGACTAGTCTTTTTCTCTTTATAATGACCATGACTCAGATACATTGGTTAGCTAGAGAAACTTACAGTAGAGTACCATCATGGATAGTAGCAACTGTCCATGTAATTGGACTGCTTGTCAACACACATATCATATTCCTTACAAATGAAATGTTTTCAATATATTTTCTTGTAAGTGGGATTGTACAGCTAAAGAAGAATCGCACTACCACTTCCGGATTCCTGATAGGCCTTTCAATAGCATCAAGCTGGGCTTCTCTGTCCATCCTGCCTCCTCTTATGATATTTTATGGGCTCCATCTGTTTTCATTCGTAGTGAACCCTGCAAACAGAATAAGAAAAGCTGTTCTGAAGCTTGCCAAGGGGATTGCAGCCTTTATACTTCTCCCAGCCTCTGTGTATACTCTGTCGTTCCTTATACATTACTCGATTCAGCAGCAGTATACAGATGATGCAGAAAAGTTCTCCATAGAATTCCAGGCAACACTCAAGGGAAGTGTCCAGGAACCGGCCGATAGATATCTTATGGATAGAAGTATAGTTACGATCTTTAACCAGAAACATCTCACATATTTAAATATGAAAGGAGGGACACCCTCATGCTCTGACCAAAGGACTGAAAGCTCCATGTGGATGATGATCAAGGTTCACCCAACCAATTCCACTGGAAATGTAGAGGAGGAAGGCAGATACATAAATCATGGGGATCTCGTGAAGCTGGTAGAGCTTGGGAGCAGTATGTGCTTGAGAGTTTCTAATGAAGATACAGAAGACAAGTTCAAGAAGGTTATTGGATTTACCCAACAGGATAATGAGGCTGACGAAGAAGATATATGGCAGATAATTGGGGATGGGCCAGTCGTTAGCAGAAGCTCATTGATAAGGTTCAGACACTATAAAACTGCAATGGACCTGTGTGTAAGGAACCTGAGGAAGTTGGAAGAAGAAGCCAAAAGAAATGGTGTAGAAAAGGTTGTGGGAGGATCTTTGTATAGTGATAACAAGTCAAGGCTATTTTACATTAGCGACAATAGGAACCATGATTCTTTCAAGAAGAACTTTAAAGATGGAAGGCCTAAAGAAACAATCCTGAGCTTTCCTCAGAAAAGTTTTATCCAGAAGATGGTTGAGCATCATAAAAAGCTTATGAAAAATCCCAGGTGGCAGTGGAACCTGATAAGAAGGTATAGCGTGTTGGATCTCAAGAACGGGGGGACCTACTTGATGAAGCATGATGTGCTTTTCAACGCCCTTGCAACGATATCTTCTTTTTTGCTTCCTGTAGTACTTCTGTTGAACCATATTTGTTGGAAGAAATATGGAAAAGGACTTACAACTAGGAGAGATGACTTTTTTGTATGTATAATGTACTTCTTTGCGATTCTTATGGGATTTATGATTGATGTTGGCAAGGGACTTACAGAGACCCTGAAGGTCTGGATGATGTTGAGTCTAGCATTCCTCCCTGGTATTAAGCCTGCTCTCCTTCTCTTCTCCATTTTCTTATCTTCCTCCATAAGTGTTCTGAGATAGAGATTGCAGATTAAAAAGATTATTGTTCTCATTTACATACAGACTTTATTTATGAATACAAAACAGACGTTTTCTTCTATTCCATGAATTACCTGGCTCCAAACAATTTTGTGAGATGCAAATCTTTCCGTTTGAATGGCTCAACATTCCAAAGGTCTTGGTCACTGCATCTCCATAAATCTCAAGAAACTTATTGTGGCACAGCATTATAGGCCCCTTGTTCATTGCCATTCTAATCTTTAAGGGAAGAAACTCTGTTTCTTTGCCTTCCCTAACTCTTTTCGTAAAAGCATGCCTAAAGTTAAAAGAAATGCACTCGATCTCCCTATAAAACCTTATAGAGAAATCAAGCGCATTTCGAATATCCGTAAACACCAAAAAGAAGGAGTCTCCCTCATTTCTTACCTCTAGACCCCCATATGCTTTGCACAAACCCCTAGCAACTTCATCATGTACCTCAATTGTTCTGTGCATTGCATCAGGAAAACAATTCCAGAGACTCGTACTGTCAACAATGTCAGTTATGACCAACACAAGGTCTCCCTGAAGGAACCTTTTATGGATTTTTTGAGGAATATACTTTTTGTAGCAAAGATTATCAGAAAGTACTTCCATATTCTTTGGCAGAAGAATTGCCTTCCTAGCCTCCTGGGATTCCTTCTCCTTACTCCTAGGAACTAGCATACATCTTACCCCATCGACTATGCCCACTTTGAATCCACAGAAAACAGACCCAAATGCCCGCACCGGATTAACAACCACATGTATTATATACACAATCATCTGCGTGTTCATTTTGATGGCGTATCCCATGAGTTGAAGCATAAGTATCATGCTATTACTCCACATGGAGGGTCCTTTATTCCATTTGCTTTTATTTTGCCGTTTTGACAGATAATTTTGACTCAATTCTAATTTGTGAAATTAAAATTTAATCCTCAATTACACACTTCTGATGATTAATTCCCCCCAGACTGGGCTACGTTAAGTCCGTAACATACTCTTAACGTCCTTAATTAGAAATATGAATCCCAATGTTTCCAAACAAGGAAATCAGCACCAAGGCGGTACCAACAAAATGTAACAGAGAAGGCTTCATTCCACCATCCCACGAATAACTCCAGGCCGTGTTCTGCTCTCTCCTACGTACTCTTTCACGACTCCTACTCTGAATCCTATGGCTAACCCTCTTCTGTCTGCTAAAACCCCGCATATCTCCTCTTTAAGGCAGTTACTATAAGTAATTCTGAGTCTTCTGTCAAGAAACAGAATATTGTTTTTGCAGTCACTAACAACAATCAAATCGTTCCATACAGTGGAGCCTCTGATGTTATGTGGAAGCTCTGTGTACGACACATCTTTTGTGTCCAGATCCAATACAAGGACTTTTTTGTTAAACAGAGATATCACCAGCTCTTTTCCAAGAGTGGAGATTGAGACTATAGCCTCTTTCAAAAATATCAGACATGAAAATTTATCCATCACTACCTCATTGATCTTACCAAGTACAATATTCATCACTTCAGACTCTTTTATGGAAAACACCTTCCCGTTTTCAAACGACAGAAACAACCCATCTGTGGCTGCCACTCCACATGTACACATTCCATTAGTGGAGATCAGCCTGACCTTTCTGATTTCAGCATTCCCCTTCCTAATAGAAATGATCACGAGCTTCTCATTACCTACAGTCAAAAGCCAATCTTTATATACAATAGAAACATCTAGTGATCCTTTTGATCCAATACGTTTGGTCTTATTTCCGTCTAGGAATCCAATATCACTTTTTGTTATCAAGACCCAGTACCCGCTGAAACACTTAATATCCACTATCTCTTCATCCATACGGATCTCCTTGACAATTCTTCTTCTCACCCTATCCCATTCAACTAGGATGCTTGACGTGGCAACAAGAAGAGTATCTGTGTTTAAACCAAAGGCCTGAATACTACCAGGATGCCGATATGTAAATAAATCCTGCTTCATATCCATCTGCCAGGAGTTTTTGGAAGGAAATATATTAATACGGTTTATTTGGATTTCTCAGAAATTTCTAAGGAAGTATCTAAATCCTGTCTTCAGTAGCAACACATAAAGTAGCTCTTCTGGATTAGACTCTTCGTTAACCTTAACCATAAGAACAGAGTGCCTTGGAGAATAGAAAAAGTATCCTTTGCTTTTCAAGTTAGGGAGGAGAAACTCATCAATGAGAGGTACTCCAAACAGGAACGGCTGCATTACCTTATCTTTAACCTCAATAAACCCTGGCTTGTCGGAAAGGCTGAGAACAAAGTCGTAGTCTTTGAAAAACGGCTGCAATAACTTATACGTTTGTAGACGGAAACTCTCATCAAAAAGCCTAATCTTCTGCTTCACAACAGCCTTCTTCAGCCCATTCAACCTCTGGATGATCTTCAGGGGCGGGGGTCTTACAACCACTATATCATGCTGATATACCACCTCAAACCTCTTGTTTTTATTTTCTGTAACCTTTAAAGTCTCTAGATTGAGTGTCAGCCCCTCCAGCTTGACCTGGTATCTCAGAAACTCAATGAAAAATCTTCCAAATGTGCTTATTTCCCTTCCCACCATCAGGCATATCAGTTCTACAAGTCTGTCGTCAAGATATACAGGAAAATACCCGTGGCAGTCCAAAAACATCTTAACAAATCTTATGTTCTTCTTGAATATATCAGACTCCTGGGCGATGACCTCAGATATCCGGGTATTGACCCTAAACTCTGCTCTTCTGTCTCTTCTTATCATGATCTTAAACTTGAAATACGAGCACCTATACTTCAAAAGGACATAGCTATATCCAATAGCACTTCGGTACTTGCTTTTTTTATATATCAAGCAGTATAGGGCCGTCTTCGCGCAGTCAAGGGCATCCTCATCTTCTGGCCAATTTGCATGGGATCCACAATGGAGATAACACTCATGGACATTCGTTATCGATGTGGCCATGTGCATTGCATCACTATCAATTATTTGCACAGGAAGTCTTATCCTCTTGATGTGTTCAAGAATCTCAATGTACTTCGATCGCTCATCCTCCATAATCCTATGCCCAAATATTATTTCATTCCATTCGAAATCATCAATCCTGAACTCTTTCAGCCCTTTAACCAGTAGGAAGTATGGAATCGTACTTTCCGGGCCACTATAACCTGCTGCAGGGTCATATCCCCTGTTACTAAGCCTTATCCCAATAAAATGCCTACTTCCTGAAGTTTTGACATAGACATACCTGGCCCTTTCTCCATATATCTTCATAATCTTGTCCTTGAGCTCTTTGTCACAATACAAGGACTTCTCGTCATTCAAGCCCACTTCAATATCAAACAGATATTCTCCGTTAAGAATAGACCTATACATCTCGTCATTCTTCCCTAGATGCATCAAAAATACAGTATATATGGAGCTTGGTGGCATAAACTCGTTTATCTTGTTCGATAGAGTAAGCTCTTCAATCACAGAGTCCACATCCAATTCTATCTTGTATTCCCCAAGCCTATCTTTTATATACTCTTTGATTCCCTTCATAAACCGAATGGGTCAGTACAAACGGAAATCTAAATCAAAGAAACATGCCTCTAACTCTATTCTCCATAAGAAACAGAAAATAATCTTTAATCGTGGAAATCAGAGATAACATTATCGATCTTAAGAATCATGGTGACAAGCTGTGTTGCCATTTGGAACTGCCTGATCTTGCTACTCAGTGCATCAAAAACACCCAGCTCCTTCATGTCTTGTTCTCCAACTCCAAGGCAATCAACCCCAAGATAAGAGTTCTTGCTCTCCATTTGTAACTTTCGAAGGCCAGATGAATATTCAATTGGATTGTACCCACTGTTTCTTGCCAGGCAAAGTGGTATCTCTTCCAATGCTCTTCCAAATCCAAGAAGGGCTTCCCGCTCCTCACCAGAGTATCCTTCGGCTGTCTTTTCCAAAGCAAGAGAACATGACATCTCGGAAGACCCTCCTCCATAAACTATCTTGCTATTGGTGAGAATATTCCTTACAGCACAGAGAGCATCCCGGACGGATCTCTTTGCTTCCTCAATCACTAAATCATTTGCTCCTCTGACAAGAATCGTGACAGCCCTACTATGCTCAGAATTCTCCACAACAACAATCTTGTCGTTCTCTGTTCCAAGGCTTTCCTCTCTAATTTCTGCATTTCCTATGTCAGATTCTTCCAGATCTTCAAATCGTGCTATTATCGACCCTCCAGTATGAACAGCTAGGAGTTCAAGCTCATGCCCTCCAACCCATCTTACGGCAGGCAGGTCGTTTTCCATCAGAAGAGAATTGGCCTCATCGTCAAATCCCCATTGGCACATCACAACATTAGCTCCACTCTTCTTGACACTTTCTATCATCTCTACAAACTTTCTTTTCTCATATTCTTCCAATTCCTTGTATTCCTTAGGATTAGAAATCACAAGACTATGCTTAGTCTTCAGCTTTGGAGGCTCAAAAGGACAGCTTAAAAGTGCTATTCTTCCATCCTTGATCTCCTTCTTCATTTGAGGGTGGCTGAACTCTTTGTTAAGCACAACCCCTTTGACAAGAGTGGTATCAGATATGTCCCGCCCTACCTTGCTTTCAATGCTGATTAGCTCGAAGTCAAGATCCTTTCTTTCCATGTCTGCAACCATCAGAACAGCTGAAGTGCATATCTCTGCAAACTTCTCAAGAGACTTGTAAACTATCTTGCTTCCCAGGCTCGTTCTTGCTGCCTTCATCATCGTTTCCCTTAGATCAGATATCTCCTCAGAAATCTCAGACAGGTGCTCAATTGCATATTCTAAAGCTAGCTCAAAGCCCTCGGATATCTTAATCGGGTGTATCCCCTGCCCAAGAAGAACCTGGGCCTGGTCAAGAAGTGCAGAGGCAAGCACAACTACACTAGTCGTTCCATCTCCTATCTCTTCGTCTTGGGACTCGCTTAGTTGTACTATAAGTCTTGAAATCGGATTCTCAGTCATCTCCATCTCCTTGAGTATAGTTGCCCCGTCATTGGTCACAACTATGTCATCATCCTTGCTTTGCAATATCTTATCCATCCCCGTGGGTCCTAGAGAGGTCGAAAGAAAGGTTGCTATGGATTTTACAACCCCGATGTTTGCAAGAATGCATTGGTTCCCCTTTGTCCTGCATGTCTTGTCCTCATCAGTTATTTGAAATGTCTGACCTAACTCATCAGTTAGAAGATCTGACATCGACTGGGGTAATTTTTTCCAGGCCACTTTTCCGCCAAAACCTTGGACCTACTTTTCCAGTATCATCTCATAGAATCTACTACATTCATATCCCTCATTAATCCTAAACCCGTTTCTCTCGTAGAACTTCAAACCTCTTGAGTTTTCCCTGTATACATACAAAACTATTCTTCTTACAACCTTGTCATACTGTTTCTTGCATTCATCCAGCAATAAAGCACCAATCCCTAAAGACCTATGTTCCTTCTCCACATGTAGCTCAAACACATATGTTGTGTCCCTGGAAAACCGGAATGTGATAAACCCTACAGGAACTTCCCCAACGAAGCAGAAGATGTAGTTGTTGTTTTTGTTTTTCAAAGACTTGGCTTTTGAGAACTTCATCAAAGGACTTCTACAGTATCGGCCCAGATTGCTGACAACAAGATTCACGGCCCACTTCAGAAGATCTTTGCTGAGCCTTTCTATTTTCAGGACTCTTCTCTCCATTGAAATATTTTGCTAAGGCTTTCTTCCCTGCTCAAATCCATGGAAAGTCTGAAAATCACCGTAAAGGAACTGCTTAGAAAGACAGAGTCCCAAATAGATAAGATAGCCTTCCTGCATGCAAATCCAACCCAGGCTAGAGAAATAAAGAGGACAATTGACACTTTGGACAATCCTCAGGAGCTTCTTAGAAGATGTATTGCAAGGATGGATAAACTGAATTCACTGATGAATCCAATGAAACACACCATTTCTACTATTCCATCCATAGAAGAGCAACTGAAGTACTTATATGAAAGGAAAAAAGCATTTGATGAAAACAAAGTCTATACTCTTCTTGCCAAAAACAAAGTCAATGTAATGCTTTCTAACAAAAAAGCAGCATTCAAGAGCAAGGGAAAAACATTGAGCTATGAATTCAAAGAAAAGCTTACAGGATTCCTAACAAGGAGAGGTTGTGCCTCGTGGAGTGACGAGAAAATAGACGACTTCATCAGTTCGATGATGAAATAACTTCTCATAAACCGTCTTATTGAGTTCTAAGCCTATTTATTTATCTTTCTTGTTTCAGCTACGTATTTGGATCTGCATTGGATAGGATTCCTTGTCATCACATGCGTGCTTACGCCCCGCCAATCCCCCTCTCCATATATCTCCACTCCCTCAAAGAGTCTTTCCTTCTCATCTTTAGTCCATTTTCCTTTTTGGACATTCTTGTTGAGGAAATAAAACCTCATAGCACATTCCTTTCCTGTTCTTGTACCAACTATTTTCGACACATATCTCCACTTCGAGAGCCCGTACTTCTCTACGCCTTTCTCTAGGAGCCTATCCTCCTCCAAACTCCACATCTTCGGTGTAGATATGCTATTCAACCGAAGATACTCTGCAAACACTTTTAATGGCTTACATCCCATTTCCTTGGCTATTTGAATCCAGTCCTTCCCCTCGTCACTCATATGTTTAACCGTATCCATGTCACTCTTGCAAAGCTTCTTATCAAAATCCTCTACTTTGTTAATCCATCTGTTGAAGCATTCATTCCTTGGAATGTTGAATCTTATAGATATCTCTTTCCAGAAAGGATCGTTGAGGTCAAACCTCATGCAGTTCTTTGTTGCCTTCTGGAAGTCCTCATCCAGCTTCATGTCCGCATCAACGAATAAAGAACCAGTCCCCTTTATCTTCGGTTTGATAACCGTACTTCTGTACGAGCATTGCTTCTTTATGTCTCTCAGCCTCTTCAAGATCTTTTCTATCTCTATGTAGTCCATATACAGCTTTTCTAACCTCTTGTCTAAAGCCCCCTTTTCTAGCATTGGGCTGCATCATTCATTCAATTTTCACTTCAACTGCCTAGGAATCCTGCTAAGCCCACATCCAGCTCCGTATACAACGTCCCCTTCACCACTCTTCCTAATCTCATATTCAAACCCAAAGAATTGCCTCAGCAAATCTAAAATAATCTTTACATCCGAATCAACCTTTCCAACCCATAGACTTCCTATACTTGGGGATGACAAAGACATCAAGGAGAGAGCAAGGTAAAGAAGCTTCTTATCAAACACTCCCCCATGTCTAATGCTTCGAAGAAGATCTTTGCAAGCAATCGTCGCCGTTTCTTTTGGTGTCAGTCCTTCCCCACTCATGACTGAATAGTAAATTCCGTTCTTCGATTCCGCGAAAACAGCACATTGGAACCCAGGAGAGGGCCCCGAGTCTAATCTGTTCGACATGTTCGAAAAAACCTTTGTGTTCGAGACATCCCCCATAAGCTCCTTGATCCTTTCCGTCATCTCCTTGGTGGGAATAGAGCTCACTCGACTACTCAATACCAATCCTCGGATCTTGACAATCTTCTCTAACCTCTCCAATCTAACGGTCGAAATCTTCCCAGGGCTATCTACAGTAAACACAACCTCTCCCTTTCCCACAGGCCCAAAGCCTCGCTTCTTAACGACAACCTCACATTCCTTGACTCCAAATCTCTTCAACACATCAAAGTGAGCAATTCTAATCAAATCGGTACAGAGCTTTCCGTTTGTTATCCCCTTGAACTTTATCTTCAAGGGCTCGATTACAAAAGGACATAGAACAAGAATCGGCTCTATGTACAGAGAAATCTCCTCCTCACATTGGATAGCAACTTCTCCTCCTTTCAATGATCCAGGTGTGAAGGCCATATATCCTTCAGACAGAGAATAAGCTGTTCCATGAGATATCTTCTGCAATAGCTTAGCAAAGGACTTCGCCATCTTCTGCCTTCTCTTCACCAACACCTTAACCTTGCTCTTAGACAGTAGGCTATATACAAGAATAAGCTCTAGACTCTTCTCGCAATCAAAAATCATCTCATTCACACAGTTCATCTAGAGGGTTGGAAGGGTCACAAAAAAGAATCTCGGCAGAGCTAAAACTCTCCAAGGAACTTCTCCGTGATTTCACGAAGAAATCCTCTTCTATCTTCAGATCTAAAATATCCAGACCCTATTACAACATAGTCAACCCCAACAACCTTCTCAATATTGGCCATTCCTATTCCTCCATCAATCCCAATTATCTTCCCGTGTTTTTGAATATCTCTTATCTTTGCTAAACAACTTTCCTGGAACTTCTGCCCTCCAAACCCTGGCCTAACACTCATTACAAGGATAAAGTCTGCATCCTCCATCTCAATCTCTTCCATTCTCGTCTCGGGATTGATTGCAATCCCAAATAATACATTCCTCTGCTTCAAATATTCCCTAACGCCTACTTTATTACTTATCTCATGATGAATTGTCACCAGAAACACCCTCTCTAGGTCTATCTGCATAACAATGTCCAGTGGGGACTCAACCATCATGTGTATGTCAAACACAAAATCATGTTCAAGAATCCTATTGATTATACAAGGTCCAAAAGTGATGTTCTTGACAAAGGTTGTATCCATGACGTCCAAATGAATGTTTGTAGCTCCATTCGCCTTTAGTTCTCTTAGCTCTTCCTCCAGCTTAGCAAAGTTACAGTCTAATATGCTTATGCCCACTCTCCTTTTTAACATCTTGGTAAGGGTCTGAAAGTAACCTAAATCCAATCAAATTTATTTATATATCAAAAGGTTGGGTCGCTGTCCTCACATGGAATCGGCTCGGAAAGAAACTTGTAAACACCAATCCTTCTTATCTTCATCTCATGGAGGTCCTGTGCTAAGCTATTGCAGCAGCAAAGACTCTTTATCGCACTTGTCTCAAAGCTCTCCTTGTATTGAAGCTTGTCCTGAACATATCTTCGTATTCCATACACACTGAATGGAACTAGAAAGAACCCGAACATGGAGAATCTTTTGTTCTTGAATATTCTTGCATATATTATCGAGGATAAGTAGCATGGACACAGGGTAGATGCTAAGCAGTATCTAGGAGAGAGTATCGGACATAGGAATGGAAGATCATAGTCCATTGGTAAAACAGGAAAGTTAAAATATATTCTTATGCAACTCTCCTATTCAAATAGGAGACAGCCCAATCAATCATAGGCTTCATTAAGGAGTAAGTCGAGGATTCCCAGGAATGTCATCCTACCCAGAACTTCCCATACACCGGCTTTCCACATACTCCACATTCGTCACCGTTTTGATATTTTCTTATTGCGCACAGGGAGCAGAAGCTATGCCCACATTCGGTAACTACTCTTTCTTTATACAGCTTCCTGCATATCCCACACAAAAGTCCTGTATCAGAAACAACAGGGCTCTCGGAGTATCCCATAGACCTGTCATGAGAGTATTTACAAGAATCTCCATATCCACAATATCCTGTTTCTCTAAAGGACTTGCAAATAATTTTATGTGTATCGACTACTTCATTGTCCTCTAGCATCCAGTAGTAAGGATGGACTAGAGAATTTTCTATATTTGTATCTTTTTCATTTCAGGTCTTCAAGCCTAATCGAATTCACCTATGGGAGGTTGATTTTGTTGTGGACCAGACAACCTTTTCCACCATTCGTATATAGAACCTGGGATACTCTTTACATTTTCCGGTATATAGGGTGCAACCCTGTTCTTGATGGCGTTTTTGAGGTTAGGAATATACTCTTGCATTACCTTCCTTGTGTAATCTGAAATAAAGGCTCTGATTTGTTCCTTTGTCACGGCAAGAATCTTATCCTTTACCTTGATCATCCGTGGCTTAATCCATATGACTATCCGCTCAGTAAGCCACTTAACAAACAAATTCTTCCATTTATTCACGATGGGATACATAGCAGGAAAGGATATGGCACATATGAGTAAAAAAGCCATGAATACCGAAAACCTTCTATGCTTGAACACAGACTTCTTCACAACCCTTCCCTCAACAGCCAATTCACATATCGCCAGTATAACACCTACCACATACGCAATCTCAGAGTAAGGCCCCTCCACACCCCCATCAGAGAAATCTGTCACAGCAGCCACTCCGATAATTAGAATAATTACAGTCGAAAATATCATCTTGGACCAATAGCTTTGTGTGGTGGAATAGTCCAATACCTCATTAACCTTCGATAGAAGATACCCCATAGATAAAACAATCACGCATCTGTCCATTCTTCTCTTGTCAGGATCAAAGGTGGTAACAACCTCTTTAAAATATAATGTTAGAATGCACATGGTCACTAACTCTACTATATTTCTGACATTAAACATCCCATTTAGAAATGACATTCTCTCCTGGATACTGGTAAAAATTCTCCAAATACAGGATCCTACATGATAAAGAAAATTTATGAACATAAGAAGCTTGATAATATGATTGATCACCTTCCCATTTATGTCTCCAAACTGTACAGTTATCATAAAGAACAAGGATACCAACGTTAATAGCTCTGCAAATATCCCCTTATCTTTTATAATCGTGACTTTGCCCTCCCCCATCTTCTTTATGCTCTATCCAAAATTTCTAATTAAATACTGGCAGGCAAATGAGAAACCTTCCTGCTCCCTTAATCTAGGGCAGGAGAATAATCTTTCAAAGGAAAATTAAGTAATGATGTTTATTCAAGACGAAACTGCTCTGTTAGACAAGTTAAGTGCCTCTGCCTGTTCTGCAAGCTCTCTAGCCCTTTGTTCTTCAATTTTCCTCTTGACAATGCAATCCTTCATGTGGAACCTATGCTTGAACAAATGCCCTTTTGCTTGCTTGTAAAACACACGGAAGTCTTCCTTAGTAATCTCTCCGCTGGCTCTCATCTCCTTTAGCATCTTCCTCATTGCACGAATCTTCTTCATCCATAGCTCCTTCTTTGGCATCCTTGCATTTGTAGTACCGAAACGTTTTCCAGGTCCCATATGCCTTCCCTTCCTTTTTGCTCTCAGCCTCTCTCGGAACCTTCCTCTGCTGGTATGCTTGTCTTGCTTCATAATAATCACGTTGTCCTTGATAAGCTGCCTAATCTGCTCTCGAGAAGTTGCACTGTTGAGTCTTTCAATCTCGTTGTTGTCCAGCCAAAGCTTATTCTTCCCACAGTTTAAAATCTCCGATGCTAAGCGTCTAATTCTCTTCTCATTCGACCTTCAAATTAAAAATGGGTCACCTCACTTACATTTTCAGGGTGCAAATTTTTTGGACTTTTGTGAATCTCTATCTCCAAAGGGTATGGGCATCCCAGGTTAAACATAAAGCTTGTTGCTTGGGTCCTCTAAGCCTCGCACCCGCACTGCCAAATATTATCGACAGTTTTGCAGTCAACAACAGCCTTCCCTAGCCTTTCGTTAACTACATTATGAACTTCGCATAACCATGCCTTGAATTCCTCGTTACTTCCGACCCTTGGAGGATGGTCCCGAAGTAACTTTTGAAAGTGTTTAGTACAATCTCCACATGGAAACACTGATGATAATAAATGGATGAAGGTTAGTGTGTCCTTCTTCTGTTGGAAGGTTGGAAATGCAGGGTATCTAGACCCCATTGTATGCAACAGTGTCCATGTAGATCTTCCAAGCCTTTCCCTTATCTCTTTTTTGCTCATCTTTCTTGTCTGGAAGTTTTCGACACCATCCATGGTGGTATCCCGAAGGAACGCGGTGGAAATCTTCTCCTCCCTACTCCTTACTATGAGCCCGTAACACCTATATAAAACCCATGCTGCTACTAATATTATCAGAATTCTTCCGTAGCTCTGCTCCTTCTTCATGTTTATGTCCTCGCCTTTCTATTTATGGGACCATATGTTTCATACTTATCAGAAGTTCTTGAAGGAAAAGATCTCTGATGGGATTGTCAAAAGAATAAATATGACACGCGAGAAGACCCCAGGTATGAAAACACTTCCAAAATTCAAGCCGTTTGTGCAGGCATGCTCTGACTGTGGAGAGACACAGAACATAATTGAAGATTACAAAAATGGATATCACGTATGTGGAAGATGTGGGTGTATTGTAGGGAACAGAATCATAGACGAAGGGAGCGAATGGAGATCATTTGGGGACAGTAATAAGGTGGATCCATGCCGTATTGGAAGTGCAAGCAATCCATATCTTGAATCCGAACAGTTAGATACGATGATAAGCACCGGGGGTGGAGTAAACTCTTATATGCTATCGAAGATCCAAATGAAGAACAGCATGAGGGGCCCTGAAAGAGCTTTGAAGCATGGTATGAACCTCATCACTGCATTTTGTGAAAGGTCGAACCTATCAAGGACGATCATTGATAGAGCACATTACATCTTTAAGAATATAGAGGAAAGAAAGCTTCTGAAAGGCAAGAATGTGGAGGGGATTGTTGCAGCCTGCATGTACATAGCATGCAGGCAAGAGGAATGCCCCAGAACATTTAAAGAGATAAGTGTGATGACTGCTGTGCAGAAAAGAGAGATAGGCAGGTGCTTCAAGCTGATATCTCCTCATCTGGAGAGAATGGCAACCATGTCTACTGAGAATATCATAGCAAGGTTCTGCTCTGATCTTAACCTAAGCATCAAAATCCAAAAGATTGCTACAGAAATAGCGAAGGCTGCACATGAGTTGGGATGCCTTGCCGGAAAGAGTCCGGATTCCATAGCTGCTGCAGTCATATACATGGTGACTAATCTGTTCCCTGAGGAAAAAAAGATCCAAAAAGATATCCAGTTCGTCACTAACGTCACAGAAGTCACAATAAAAAACACATACAAGGAACTTGTGGCCTTCAAATACGATATAATTCCTGAGAACATGGTCAATAGAGAGAGCATAGATAAGCTCCCAGGCTATTAATATGTAAGGATTGTAATTCATTAAGCGTGAAGAGATACAATAAAAGCATTAAAGATTTTTTACTTCTTTCTTGAAACACCCATAGACTTCCCACGTCTGCCATTTGACTTGGTCCTTTGTCCACGTACCTTGAGCCCGACATCAAGCCTGCATGCTCTAATGAGCTTGTTCTTCTTTCCTCTTTCAATCATCATTCTCAGATCTGCATCAAGTTTTGTGCCTATAAGATGAGATGTCGTCCCATCAATAACATCTTTTTGATGATTCATGTAGGACTCCGGAATCCCGACGCTTGCAGGGTCAAGAATTGCATCGCCAATCCTTTTCATATCTTCTTCACTCATCTCTCCAGCTCGCTTTTTCAAGTCAATCCCAAGGCGCTTGCATATAGCCGTCGAGATTCTTATTCCCACACCTCGAATCCCTGTAAGAGCAAAAGCAATCCTCTTCGTACCATCAATGTTGGTGTTATGAATACGAATAATGTACTGAACTTCAGCCGGGTCGTAGGTATAGTTCATTTAAGGGATCAAATTTTTCATTGCTCAAAAAACGCATCATGGCATACAAGACAGAAAAAGTAAGATCAGACAGTAAGAAGTAAAAGCCAAAAGTATACTTTATTCCTCCAGAATCATCTTCGTCAACTTCTCAATCCTTATCCCGGCACGCTTGTGAGAGCCTAGCCTCACCTTCAATATCTTCTGTGCCTTGTTGTTGTTCTTGGCTTCGATAAGCGAAACAACTTTCTTTTCAAGCGGAGAGAGCCCTCCTATCTCCTCAGCAACAGAAGCTGCAAGCATACGGGCCTTCCTGAATTCCTCGCTCAGCTTCTTAGGCTTTCTCTTCACGTCCGGCCTCTTAACTGGATAACGTACTCGGACTTTCTTATAAGCGTTCTTCATTGCGGGGTTGGGAAAAATTTTAATTCTACAGGGATGCAGTCCTTACAAACCAATGCTTATTGAGAGGTTCAAAGAAATAAGAAATAAGATACACGAGGATATCCACGCGGTCTCTGAGGGAGACATAAGGTTCATGAAAGATGCTTTATGCCAGCAAAGCATGACATATGGAAGGATTAAGACATATTCTGCCGAGGATAGCAAGGTTCTGGCGCTTTTTACACTGAAGTATAATGTAGCTGTTCTTCTGGACTTTATTTCCAGAAATGGAGTGGAGCTTAACAATGATACATGCATGGCATTATGTAATGTGTTGTTTGAAGGGATTCCCCAGGTATCTCCTGAATGCTCTCTAGAGATTGAAGACATAAAGTCACGGACCGACGAAGTGATTGTTGACATCCTGTGTAATATCAAGGAAGGGCTGCATGCCGAGAAGATCAAAGCATACCTAAGTGAGCAAGAAATCCCTGACGGTGTTAGTGTTAACCTTGCGGTTGTGTTTACTGCGCCGACATGGAAGTCATATGATCTTCGGGTGATCAATGAGCTAGTTCTCGGGCCTGTTCTATTGGAGCTACTCCGAAGTTTCAAAGAGTCTCTTCGGCCTCAAATAAGAGAAAGGATACTGAACTCTTGCAAGAGGAGGCTTGAGAAGGAAGGGGACAGATCGGTTGTATATCAGATATTCTATGAGCTCAACTCGACCAAGGATATTGAGCTACTTGAGATTGAAGAGGATGAGAAGGAAGAAGCATATGTTGGATTTATATATTCACTGATGGTTGATGAGGAAAGCTGCCTGAAGGGATATGAAGTTTTATCTAAAGCAAACCTCTTCAACGATTTGAGAAAAGCTCTAGAAATGATAAATGTCCTGAATCAAGCAGAGTATAAGAGAATCAGGCCCGAAGATGAAAGGCTCATTTACCACCTTATGCAGGTTATTGAGAAGCTGATGTCGACCGAGGAACAAGGGCTCGGGTTTGTAAGGCTGTATTTCATGAGGTTTATCGAGCTGTTTCTAAACACTCTTGCAGGACAAATATCATTAAGGATCAAGGGATGCATATATGAAATTCTCTCCTCGTTCATGAGAGATGAGGATTCAAGAGAAACCATCTGCGAATTTATGAGAGGAGTAGGGATATTCAACAAGGAGGCAGTCCATTCTGATTTTGAAAGGGAGCTTGGAACTAAGAACTTTGCTATGACGCCAAGTTTCCTCAAGTTCTGCACATTTCTTGAAAATGAAGAGTGTATCAGGTTTGCCATGCATGCATTCAAAAGCGAAGACCCGTTAACTGTTACCAGATGCTTTGATGTGATTGAAAGGTTTGCGGAGAGGAGGGACATGGAAAGCAAGATTAGTACTGAATTCATTATTTCACAGCTCTCTTTAATGTCCCAGCACATCCGGGTAGCAATGCTGAACAACTCACGAGTTACTAACAGAGTTGTGGAGTTTCAGCTCAGTACGAGAATTGTGATTGGAGATGTATCGATAATCAATGTGATTATGAACACTCCAAACTCAAGGTTCTTTGAGTATGTAAGACTGTTTGAAGACTTCTCATTCTTTATGAACGAAAACTTTCTGGAAAGGCTCTCTGAGAACGAGGAAGAAGGATTCAAGTATCTTTACGAAGTAACAAAAAAGAACCATGAGGCATGCAAGTTCGTAATCAATAACGAGGACTGGTTCAATGCCTATGTCAAGGACAATCCATGCGTGCAAGAAATGGCTGTTAGAATATATGAGAACCTAGTTGATTACGACATTGAAAATGTAGATGTTAGCTTTGACAGGGGGTTTATTCTCCCGGACATATCCCATCCATCTATCTTCAGAATCCTCAGTAAGCTAATCCTCTATTCTGTTTACACAAAGAAGAGCCCGTATTCAAGATACATCACGGACAAGGACTATGTTTTGGATAACACAAACATTAATGAATATTGCCTTTATATCAAATGCAGAATAGTTGTAGGAGATAATGTTGAAGACAGGATCAAATATCTTATGAAGCAGTACACAGGAATAGAGGATCTACTTGGATATTACGAAGTTGCCACTGGGGTGTCTCTGAACATCTCTTCCTCAAAGAACCTTCTAGTAAATATTGGAAAGAAAGACACAGGGATGTTCATTAATATGTTCAGCAGTGCCAGCAACTTTGAGAAGTTTCTTCTGTTCTTCTTTATTGGAGACATCAATGCAGAAAACAGCAAGGCAATCGAGGGGATAGTCAAGGAAGAAATCACGAGAATAATGGTATCCAAGTCCTCAAATCCATCAGAAAGAATGATTCTAAGGCAGTGCTTAGTAACACTTCTGTCTCTCAACAACATAGACTCTGTTGTCAGGCTGGTAGGAGAATATGATGACACCGACCTACTTCTAAAGGTTAACATAAGAAACCTTCTATGTGGAGGGTCCTACTTCAATAGCTCATTAATAATGAAGGGCTCATTGGAGCTGCAGGTCTGTGCTGTCTTCCTGCTCTACTATAAGTCTATCTGGGACTTGGCTACCCTTAGGGATTGGATCCTATATCTTAGGAGGGAATGCAAGGATAATGCCGACCTGGAGTATTTGATAAGTGACATCAAGAATAAGAACATAAGGATTGAACTCGAGTAATAAAGTGCCCTGGAATACACCTAACATGAACTTTTGCGCATACATCCTAACAAAGATAAGAAGGAGGCCAAAGCCGTTTATTTGAAAAGGGTATGGCTTCCGGTAGCAAGCCTATAAGTCAATCTAATGCTTGGCCATGCTTTCCTGCTTCTTCATCTCCCTCTGCTTCTGACGTTCTCTCAGGAAGTTCCTCTTCTTTGTTTTCAAGATCTTGATCTTGCTAAGGAGAGCTTTCCTTTCAGCTTGCTTCTGTTGTTTTATTCTCAGCCTTTGTTTGAAGGAGAGAACCGGGCTGGGACTCTTTTCCTTTTTTTCCTTCCATGCTTTCAAGTAAGTCTTGCTCATTGGTACGGTTCCTGGAAAAATATTTTTATCGTTATGGCACAAACCAAAATAGTTGTGTAGCCAAGGAAACCCTTAATAAGAAATGGACAACACTCTATACACAGCCTTTATAGGAAGAGTTGTCAAGGTGAAGATATGTGACAGCTCGGAATTCAGAGGAACATCTGTTGCGGTAGATGCATATCTCAACATATCCTTAGAGTCTGTGTCTTATATCCAGAGTGGCCAAGAACCTAGGCATTATTCCTCTCTGTTTATCAAAGGATCATACATTGATCACATAGCATTGGATGCATGATATGTTTAGAAGCGATATAGGTTCTGCATTTGTGCTTAGACAAAAAAGTGAGAATTATAAGGGAGATTTGTTTCTTTTAATCTCGTAGGCTATCTTTCTGTTCATGGTCTGGATGTTGTATCGTATGGATTCAATATCATTCATGATTCTCAGGCTTTCCCTGCGATATTCCGTGAGAAGCAGTCCTAGATATTCGATTTTCATCATTAGGTTCTCATTTTTGCTATCTGCAACCTCATGGCGAAGAAGATGCTTTTTAAGGGGATCACTACGTGTGTAGTCTTTTCCACACAGATGGCATTCAAAAGGCCTTTCCCCGGTATGCCTCCGTGCATGTGCAAGAAGGGCGTGCTTACTAACCTGGGCCTCTCCATATCTTTGGCAACCCCTCCACAAACACTTTGCCTCATCGTTCTTCTCTATATGAGAGAGTAGATGGTCTCTTACGTTGTCTTCAATATCTTTCTGGCATCCCTCCCATTCGCACTTCATTGTTAGGAGGGCTAATGAAAGCAAAACCTCTTTCCTCAAAATAAAACAACACTTTATTTCATCACTCCATAACTTACATTCTATACAGCTCATTGTACTTTTTGTAGGCTTGTATCTCAGAATCATATTCACCCATACGTACTCTCTCCTTGGATTCCCGGATTCTTTGTCTTAGCAGCCTGATTCTTGTTCTGTCAAATATAATACCCCCAATAGTCCCATTTGTGGCATTTGGCCCGTCCTTAGATGTCCCTCCCTGTTTATTCAGAACTTTCCTCCCGATTCTCTTTCTTGCCCTCCTGGAGCTACTCTTGATCAGTAAACAAGATGTTTGGAATAAGTTAGACTCCACGTTCTCCAAGTCCCTTTCCAGCTCATTTCTTTTGCAATAAAGACTGCATAAAACTTCTAGTAGATAAAGCTCTTTCCACATTCTTTCTACTTTCTCCTTGGAAAGCTCCTCACTTCTTCTGCTTCTTCTGTTGGGCTTGATGATTCTTTTTCTAAAGCATACATAGGCAAGCGGACTAAAGTTCTCGTTCCTGATTAATACTCTGGATGATAACATCTTAATAAGCCCTTCCTTACCTTCCACAAGTCTTTGTTCCCGAGATAAAGTACACAACAGCTTGTAAAATTCCTCTTCGCTTATTCCGCGCTCTCTGCATATTTTTTTGTCTTCATCACTTAGCAGATACTTATTCTCTGCATCTCCGCTCCATTCTACATACCTACGCCTAGGGGTATATCTGCCATATGCTTCCCGTGCAGGATTGTACACCTCAACTATAACCGGAATAGGAATACTTCCCTTTTCTCCCTCCATTATCTTCTTCAGATGAAGCTCCTTCTCTTCGTCCGCCTCCATTCCTGTATCAAGCGATGGAGGAATGTATTCCTCTAGGGATGATGCTTCGGAAACACCGGGCTTGTATATAGAATATGGTTGACTGTTGTCTATTTTCACGTTTCTCTTTCTTTTGTACGCCATGGATAAATTTTCAAAGGTTGTGTTTAAACCACAAACAAAGTTGTGTTCTATTTGGCGAAATACACTACCAATAGACTTTGAGGCCCTTTAATGCAAAAAGCAATAGAACTGGTTACATCGGAGATAAGAAGCACACACGACTCAGAAGCCATAGAGAGGTGGTATCTTTCGTACCTTGAAAGGAAAGCATGTCCAGAAAGTATGTTTGGAGATGTTCTGTCCATTACCATGCCTGATATCGAGAGCTCAGACATATTAAAATCCACAGCTATGCTTTTTGAAGCATCACAAAAGGCAACCGACGAGATGTCCTTAAGAAGTATAAGCCATTCATATGAAAATTCGATGGAAATAATCTCAATCTTCACCATATACAACTCGATTTTCCCAATAATCGAAAGACACATCAAAGATAAGATTTTAGGAAGCAAGGTTGTGGATGTTTATAACGATGCAAGTATGCATCTAAATGGGCCCAGGGAGGGGACTCAAGAGATTCTAGAAGGAAGAAGGAGGTTTTTCTTCGACTTCTATATTCCTGTCAAAATATACCTTGTGTGTACAGGAAAGAGTCATGAGATAAAAGATAAGGAGAAGAAGTTTGTTATGATGTATTTGGCCAAAAAGAGGGGGGATGGATGGTGTGAGGCACATACAAACCAGTTTTACGAGGAAATGTCAAATGGAGAGGAGAAGGTCCGTAAAGCATTGGAGTTTCTTTTCAGCAAGGCATACTAGGCTTGCAAACTTGGAGACAGTACAGATATTGAAAATTCGGATGATTTTTTGCCCCATGACCATGGAGGTTAATAGCAAGGATGAGGAAAGTCTTACCTCCTTTAAAAGGAATCTCAGGAAGATGATTCTGCTAGAGGAAGAGGGTAGAAGGAGAAGAGAAAGCCAGAGCACCCGGAAGCTGGTTTCTATAAGGGTTGGAAAGATTGAGGGAATAATGAAGGAACCTGGGAGAAAAATTGTGAAAGAAAAAAGAAGGGTATTTGAAGGACCAAAGATGGAATATGAGCAAGAGGGAAAAGTAAAAGAAAGAATAAAGGGCTTTGACAGCCGAGGGATGGCGATGGAGGAAAAGGCCCTAGAAGAAGAAGGTACCAAGGACTTTGTTTGTTTGGAAGAAAAGGGAAGTAATATACAAGAGGAAATATTAGAGGAACGTGTGACAGAAAATAAGAGCATCAAAGATGAGAGGTCAAGGATTGTGGAGGAATGTAAGTCAAGTGTCGAGAAGGAGTTTTGTGAGGTTGGGCCCAAATATAAGGATGAATGTGTGGATGAGGAGTGTTTCAAAGAGATTTCTGTTGAGGACATCAAAAAGAGCCTTTTGGCAGAGCTGGATGAAGACAAGGAAAGTGATATGGATATCATAAACACAGTGGTGAAGTCTGAAAACCCGATGCAACCTGCACAAGAGGTGATATACGTTGATAATGAAAGTACTCCTCAGGAGGTAGAGAAGAGTCCATACGGCGTAGGATGTAATATATATTCTTATGATACCCATTACAAAATCTCTGATCTGTCCAAAGGAAATCTTGGGATTCTGTCACCTTCCGATGAAAAGGGCCCTTGCACTCATACAAGTAGTACCTCGGATCATGCAAAAGAACTCAGGGATGGGCATTCAGAAGCCGAGATTGTGACCTATCAGGATCCCGAAGAGGAGAGGAACGAGAGGGGATGGTTTTCCTCTATATTTGGATCTATTTTTTCGATCTGCTGTATTAAGTAGAAATAAAGAGTTGTAATGGTTTTATCTGAAGATTATATAAGTTCCTATATGTAAGCTCTAAGCAATAAAATTTATAAGTGAAAATTGTAGCCCTGAAATGGTTGATGGAAGGAAGGTGCTGTTTGCAAGGTCTTCGAAATCAAACAATCTGAGCATGGGGATTGTGGGACTTCCAAATGTAGGCAAGTCTACCCTGTTCAACTTTCTTACCAGAAACAACGTTCCTGCAGAAAACTATCCGTTTTGTACAATTGACCCCTCTGAGGGACGTGTGGAGATCCAAGACGAGAGAGTGGAGGCCCTGGCAGAGAAGTATATGCCCCATAATGTCGTAAGAGCATACTTGAGTGTGACGGATATAGCAGGGCTGGTGAAGGGAGCAAGTACCGGTGTTGGACTTGGGAATCATTTTTTGGACAATATCAGAAATGTGGACGGGATCTTCCATGTTGTAAGGTGCTTTGAGGATCCGGAAGTAGCACATTTTGAAGATGGGGTAGATCCGATAAGGGATATAGAAATAGTCAACGAAGAACTAAGGCTTAAGGATTATGAGACGTTGGTTCGGCATGAAGAGAAGATGTCGAAGGATATGAAGTCAAAGCCTTCTGACAAGAAGTTGAAAGACCAGGTTGCACTAGTCAAAAGACTTGTAGAGATACTAAAAAATGATTGGGTAAATAAGCATGAGTTTAATGAGGAGGAGATTGAATACATCAGTACTCTGAATCTACTTACAGTGAAGAATGTGGTGTACCTTGCCAACATCAGTGAGAAGGATTACGAGATGCGTCGTGCAAACAAGCATTTGCGAGCTGTTATGAAATACTCTGATGATGTAATTGTATTCAGTGCTGCATATGAGAGCAACCATGAATCCAAAGTGTTTTTAGATAAGCTTGTCAAGAAAGGTTATGAGTCTTTAGACCTCATCAACTTCTTCACTGTGGGAAAGGATGAGGTTAGGAGTTGGACAATAAGAAGAGGGATAAATGCACCTTCGGCAGGAGCAGTGATTCATTCCGACTTTAAGAAGTACTTCGTAATGGCCGAGGTCATGTCTTTTGAAGATTTCAAGGCTTATGGAAGTGAGGCTGAAGTGAAGAGGGCCGGGAAATATCACCAAAGGGGAAAGACTTATGTCGTTAATGATGGGGACATAATCCTCTTCAAAGTAAATCCGCCTAAGTCCGTGGGGAAGAAGAAATGAATATCTCCTGACGATTAAATAGAATTTATTTAGGTTTCTATGTGTATACACAATTAGAAGAAATAGAATTCAAAGTCATCGACTTCTTTTGTCTTTTCTTGCACCTGTTCTTCAGGTTTATGAGCTTCCTTCCCGTCTATCTTCTTGAGAATGTCCCGAAGCCTTTCTATGAGTTCATTCTTCTTTCCGGTGTGATTCAGTCCAAATTCCTTCATAAGGCTCTTGAGCTGCTGGACTGTGACATTGTTGAAATCAAGCTCATTGATCGAGTTCCTGAAGTTCTGGACAACTTCCTTGAACTCATCTGTGACTCCCTTGTTTGAATTAAGGAACAACGGGAATATAGAATTTCCATTGCTCCTTTCCGGGGAGCTCCTCCTCATTGCTCCAAGATACACTTTCTGGCTGTCATCTACCCCTTGAATAAAATCTAGACTTGAGTATTTTGATGGATGGACAATCCCAGGATGTATTCCTTGATTGCTTTTTATGTATTGCCACAAAAGAGGATTGCTTTTCCTCTTCTTCCTATTCATCCACACATTACCCTGAACAGGTGTATCCATATATCTTTGCTGGAAATGGGTCCTAAAAGTAGGGCCTCCTGGAAATAGCGAGGCCGTCATTCTTCTATCATAGTCCATTCCTTCTGAGCTTCCAGATACTTTTTGGTTATTTACATGAGAAGCTTGGTCTTGATTAAATTCACGATCCATAAACACTTGGGACGAGGGAAATCCGCCATTAACATATGGGTGGCTTCTTGGCCCTTCTGGAATATGCATTCTGGGGATCTCACTGGATGTATAAGGGTTTGCTCTTCTTTCATAAAAAGAATGTCGTTCACTACCAGGCAATCCCTCGTGGTAAGGATCTACACCCATTCTCATTTGAAAATGCTCGTTACGAAATCTCTGATTTAGTTCATTGATGCTTTGGCCTTCTTGATACAAAGGGTGTGCTGAGTCTCCATGAGGCCTTCCTTCCTGGATACTTTTATTCAAAGATTCATGCCTACCATATTCTTCTTTGGCCTTAGAAAAGTCCTGTTGAAAACCCCATGAAGAATGGGAGCCAAGAGGTATGGAGTTGCTGAACATATCTTCTCTGAAAAGTCTTCTATTTACTTCTGAAAGGCTGTTATCCTGAGGGCCACCGGTCTCGGCTTTGAATTCCTGGAGAAAGGACGAAAGCTCTGAGATATTCTGCTCGTTTCTATTCTTTCTATTGGGGTACGAAGACTCTTTGTCGGTGGAAGGAGATCCAATACCCTCAATGCCGCTTAATTCACTAAAATTATAAGATTCTATGCCCTTTACATTTTGAACATTACCTGAATTCATACCACTGTTACAAACCTCATTTGAAGAAAAACCTTTTGTTCTAGAAAACGGCTTGTTGAACTCAAGAAAGCTGGCCATGCTACTGGGAGAGTTGTTGGCAACATCTCCCTGCAGGTATTCATTAGATGCAGAATTTTGTAGTCTTTGAAATTCATTTAGGGATAGTTGATCTCCTTGGTTTATAAATTGATGATACCCATATTTGTTTTTGTTTCCAAAATCATTTTGAGACTGATTGAAGTTTAGAAAAGACTCTACATCCCTCTTCCGAGGCCGCCCTCTCGATGGAATCTCTATAGGCTTGCCATTGTGGTCGTCTTCCATCTTGTCTCCTTTTTCTATACATCGTTTTCTTTTAAATGTTTTAGGTCTTCTGTTTCATTTCCTACAAATAGGATCTTGAGACTTCATTTGTAACCAGTAAGGCACAGCCTCATCCCCAAGCCTTCACCTCCAAGGGGGGAGAGTACAAGGTCAAAAAAGCTGGTTTGTTTATGAATAGTAATGTTTGGAGAAGAGGAAAAGGTTTATATGCTTCTTGAGTTAGAAAAAATCAAAGAGGTAAGCATTCCGCATCTGTATGTGTTTCCCACGGGTTCTCTGGAATTCACATGTGCAATGTTCAAGGGCTCTGGGTATACAACCTTCAAGATAGTGAAGTACAAAATTTATGAAAAGTGGAAGGTTCTACTAGATGAAGAATGTAATAAAGAGCCAAGCGCAATACCCAGTGCATGTGATGCATATACAACACTCCAAGAGATTGTAAAAGTACTAAGAAGTTATTCCAATGCTAAGATATTCGAAAAGCCTAAAGGCGTCTTTCCATTTATCTCTAAGGGCCCCATCGATAGAAAAAGAAACATCTCAGCACTTCTGCTTTTCATCGAAAACAAGTGTCTCAAAAAGAATAGCAACGGGCAGAAGTCTGCTATTCAATTAAAGGAAGAGGTTCAATAGATAATAAGGATGTTTAATCATGCCAACCCTTTCTCCTTCAGAAGTGACTCCTCAACTCTTTTCCTAAGCCTCAGCTTGAATCTGTCAAAATCATTAGTTGTGTCTTCCGTGAAAGTGCTTTCTGGAATGAGATCTCCTATCTCCTCTGCACTAAGGCCCTTGATGTCGAATGATTCCTCCTCAAGGTGGAGGTTGGATATAGAACACATCTCTCTCTCTCCATCTTTTCTTTGAATAAGCACAAAGGTTGCATCGATGACTCCAACAATTATACCATATGTATGCCTTTTTTCTTTCAATGCAGGTGTCACAATCCTTCCCAGTTTTATTGTTCTCTAAAGTTAGCCAGAGATATATCCACTTACCATTTTTAGGGCAAAATTTTGTAGTGATTTAACCGAGGGAAGGCCACGGGCTACATCCCCTGCAACTCACATGAAGATAACAGACTTGCAGAACGAGGTAAACCACCTCCTGTTTCTCTACTTCACGTCAATAGGTGTTATCCAGAGGGATGCAGGACTAAGTGACGTTTATGAAAAGATGGAGGAGCTTAAGAAGGAGATTGAAGACTGTAGGAAAAGGATAATCCGGCTCATAGACTCTGAAGAAGCAGATGTTGAACTATGTAGCGACTATAGAGAAATAATTTCCGAAGGAAAGGAGTTTGTAAAGGATGGGGTGAGCTTTCTCGATAAACTTCTGAGGAGGGACAGTGGTTCGGGTAACTGTTAACACAGGGGATTTTGGGCTGCCCTTAAAATGGTTATTAAAATTTCTACTGGAGATGACGAAAGTATTGAATTTGATGCCGAGAATCCTCCTCTTGGCTCGAAGTTTGATGAACTATTAAAGGTTCTAGAGGATGGTAAGGTCCCTGTATCCGTACAATACAAAATAACGCATGGATATAGAAGACATCCAGAGCTTGCTATGAAAATACTCGATCAATTGAGTAGAATGGATGACAAGGATTATAACACTTTGTTGCTTCTCCTTGCATGCAAGCTCCAGGCTGGAATGGATGGGATTGATGTGGTACAAAGGATGGAGCTCTTTGAGTCTCCTGTATTTGATATTCTTAAAGGATTTGCTTCTCTAAGGAAGAAAAGCTATGATGGTGCGCTGTTTCTGTTTGGAAAGGCAAGGTTTTCTCTTGGGATCCAGATATGCAATTATTATCTCGGAAGTATTGGGGAGGCCAAAAGGTTCGATGACAAAGTTTTGAAGGGATATTGCCTTCTAAGGGAAGCCAAAGGTAATGAAGATCTCGACGAAGTTAGGCGATTGTTTAGGGATGCAGGCAAGAAAGACCTTTTGTTTGGACTTGGGTTTGGGGATGAATATGAAGACAAGGAGAATATTGATGTGAAGATGAGACTAGTGGGAGAACTCGTCGACAGAGAAGAATTTTCAAAAGCACAAGAAATGATGGAAACCATGCCGAAGTGCGCTGAGGTTCTATATTTAAGAGGAAAGATAGAACACAAGAAAGGGGATCTTGAGAATGCGAAGAAATATTACATGGAAAGTCTTGGGTATGATAGAAGCTTTTTTAAGAGCGAGTACAATCTTCAGAGAATAGTTCAGGATAAGATAGGGGGAGGTTACTATCCATGCAGTGAGTTCTGCGACTTCAAGGCCTACCTCAGCCTCAAGAATGAAACAAGTGACATGAATCTGGACGGGTGCAGCGAGGACTTTCGAAATGTAATACTAGCCGTGGTTGGGGATGGGATGAGAAGAACAGACACTCTGGTAAGAAGGTACATGAAGCTTATAGGAAATCCATGGATCGAGAATTTTGTGGTTATGAACAATATCGGATATTCCCTATGTAGGAATGTAAGACCTTTTGAAGAATACGAGGAAAAGCTAGAAGGGAACGATAGGTTTCTTATTGGATCTATCGGGATAGACAGAGAAGATCGAAGATGTTTGATTGATGGAAAGATGATTGAGGACAGAGTAAAGGAAGCAGAGAAGTACCTTCTCAGGGCATTAGACGAGTGTCCCGATGAATACAAGGAGGTGATAAGATATAACCTTGGATATGTAATGGAAGACAGAGAGTTACTAACGGAGCTATCATTAAAAGAAGCAAGGCAACTCCTGTCAGTTGAAGGAGAAGGGATATCTTCCATCCCCAACGAACTTGAACTGGTAGGCTTCTACCACATGAAAAGAAAAGAATTCAAGCTAGCAAAAAAGATATTCCAGAAGCTTGACACATTGTACAGCAGCATTGGACTTGGGAATATATATATTAGAGGCTTCTGCAAGGACAAGGACAGTTCTGCATTGGGAAAAGCCATGAAAGCGTTTTCAAGGGGGCTTAAGTCTTATTATTGTGGAAATGGGGTTGGAATATGTCTTGCACTGAAAGGAAGGCTAGAAGAGGCTATCAATATTTTTAATAATGTGGCGATTGACTGGGCAGGAGGATATGTAAATCTTGGGAATGCCTTGATTCTTTGTAAAAGATACAAGGAGGCCATGGATGTTTTTTCGAAGATTTCCTTGATGAGGTATTCTCGTGAAATGCTTGAAAAACTTTGCAAGGTTGTTCATGAGATTGACGGATATAGATTGTGCATGGATGCCGGAATACCTGGTGCCAAAGAAAAGTTGTTTGAGCTCCTGGTTGAGCAGAACCGTTTAGAAGAGGCGGAGAAGCTGAGGGTCTTAGACCAAAGGCTTATGAAAATGTATGATGAAAAGAAAGAAGAGGAAAGGAGAAGGAAGGCTGAGTTAAAGAGGAAAGCCGAGGAAATGAGGGAATATAGGAAGAGAAGAAGATAAGCCCGATTAAATCTCTAAATGTTGACTTATTCCTCTTTTTAGATAGATTTAATGTCCCTTGTACAATGGATGATTTTGAAAGCATAGGAGTTAGGAGGTTTTTTAACGGGCATATTGAGAATGCGGAATGTGTATTGAAGCAAGAGGCATTTGACTTTGTGGTTCAGGAGATAACGGATTCCCGGGTCTGTGGAGTATATCCTATTGTTGATTACAAGAAGTTTCTAGATGGAAAGGAAGTAGCGGGATATGCCGAAGGGCTCAGGAGCGAAGAAAAAGAGTATCGCTCCATGATACACAAGAAACTGAAGTATTACCCGTTTGTAAAGGCAAAGACTGTTAATGGAGAGATACGCCTTGAGAATAGTGACGTAAGTGTTTATTCGTTTGTTCTACAGAAAGTTATGTTCAACACGATTGATGCTGGAAGATGGATCTGTAGGAGACTTGGAGTGCCCGAGAATGCATTTCAGTTTGCAGGGAACAAAGACAAAAGAGCTGTGACATTCCAAGAAGTCACTATTAGATGCTCATTCATGAGTCTCTACAAGCTTGCCGTGGAGCTGAATGAAGAAGCAAATTGTTTTGAATGGGAGGATTTTATTGTAGAAGGATACACTAGAGAGAGGATTGAGAATGAAAATAAAATGATAGAAAAAGAGATTCTCATGACTGTGGGGATCAGTTTTGAAGAGTGGAAGAAGGGACTTAAGGGCAAAGAAGACGAGGTGAAAGAAAGGTGTGAGAAAAACAGGAGGGAGGATCCAATGGGGTGGGAAAAGGTAAGGTCTTCAATAAAGATTTTTGATATCAAGAAATCAGCTGCAAAGAATCTGGGGGATTTGAAAGGAAACAGATTCAGTATAGCATTGAAAGGGTTTAGAGACCAGGGACTAGTAAAAAACTTGGAAAGAGGATTTCTAAATTACTTTGGACAGCAGAGATTTGGTAACAAGCTAAGAAACCATGAAATAGGATATGATATTCTGACAAGAAGATATGAAGAAGCTATAGACAAGATTATGAAGGGAGGAAAGTGCCATGAGCTCTACATAAGTGGAAAGTATGAAGAGGCGATGGGCCTTGGAGATAGTGTGGAGAAGTACATTCTGAAATGCAAATCCAAGGGAATGAAAGAAAAGGATATGGTTTATGGTCTGCGCAGAGAACTACGGATGTTGTATTTACATTCTTATCAAAGTCTAAAGTTCAATGAAGCAATAAACAGCCGAATGGAGCTTGGAACAGATGTTGTTGAAGGAGATATGGTCTATGTGAATGGAGACATAAAATCTGTGAAGGACCCTCTTGAGTTCAGCATATTCGATGTGGTTCTACCGCTAGAGAAATTTGACAACAAAATGTTGAAAGGAGGATACAGAAAGGTGGTAGAAAAGGCTGATGATGTCGTGATAAGCGATGCTAAGGATGGGATTGTAGTCAGATTTTCTCTTAACAGCTCGTGCTATGCCACAATGGCTTTGAGGGAAGTGATTGGAAATTCTGTGCTGAATAGAATAAGGATATAACATTTATTTATATATGATCCTCTTCTGATTCCTTCATAGTTTTCATTCTTTTTAAAATAATCAATTTCTTTACATACCAAGCATTACGGATAAAGAGTGGTTTATGTCTATCGTGGATTCTTCCCCAGTAATCATTAAACAATCTTTGAGTCCTGCTGGAGCTAAATAACCTCTTAAAGTTCCCGAGCTTCTCTTCTATCTCTGTACTGTTAAACCATGTAGCTTTTGATATTAGGGTTTTGAGATATGATTGGAGCCTCTCCTCTTTACCATAAAGGTCTTCCGGCTTTATATATTTGATTTCTTCTGGGAGAGTACTGTATGGTTCGCGTAGAATTTCGTTAAGATTCCTTATGGCTCTTAGCACATCAAAGTCTTTTTTGTAATTCATAATATAAATGTAAAGAAATACAGATATCTCCACTTCGGGAATATGAATGGTTTTGGTAAGGTCAAGCATGTAAAAGAAAGCCTTGAACTTTTCCTCAAGGTCTTCTGTAATCTCTAGCACAAAGATATCGCAAATCCTCTGAAGGTATTTGAAGAACATCTCATAGTCCCTTCTTAGATCCTCCCTGAAGCAAGCCTTGTTATTTTCAGCCTTCTCATCAAGGACCCCGGTCTCGCCATAGAATATCACAAGACGCCCATGACTGCGATTTTTTTGGAGCCTTACGTTTCTTTCTCCAAGAAACCTAAGTATTCTATACACAGGAATCAAGCCTGTACCTTCAAAACGTACAGGAGGAATGTTTAGGTTTGTTATGCCCAAATGGGTAAGCTTTATCCTTCTCCTCTCCTCATAAGGATATGTCATCATGGATTTGTAATAGTCCATATAGAGATATGTCTTGCCTTCTGCCTCCATTTCTATCCTTTTCGAGTAATATGTCAGTGCTCTAAGAGTTGGAGATACTAGTAGGAACCTCGGAAGGGTTTTCTTGGGGCCTTCTTTGATGGAATTGGCAAAGATATTGAAATACTTCAGGGATTTGATACACAGATGCTCCCTAATATCATTGAACAATATATAGAAGCCTAGCAATTCCATGTAATCAGGACCGTACTTTTTGAACAGGAGCTTTTTAAGCTTTGTATCGTTAGTCGAGCTGTCTAGAAGGATTGGCCTCTCTTCGTTTGAAAACTCTATTGTGTTCTTTGTGATGTGACCTTCCGAGCAGACGTAATCATTCCCGATAATCTCTAGAGGAGAGCCGCATGTTTCACAAAAGATCATCCCGAGCTCGCTGGGGTATTTTTATCTATGCCCTATTTCCCCCATGGAAAGGAGCGTCAAGATCAAGGGAGGATCTTTTAAGACCATGGGGTTGGACTACCGGCTTCTTCGGAACATTTCCTACGAAAACCCAACGCCAATTCAAAGAAAGACGATTCCACTGGTTCTTGAGAGAAGAAGTCTAATGGGAGTTGGAAGGACAGGGAGTGGAAAGACGCTATGTTATTTGATTCCAGCAGTGCAGCGAGCTATTGAAGGAGAAAGAACACTAGTAATTGTCCCCACAAAAGAGCTTACCACACAGGTTCGAAGAGTGCTGAAGAAGCTATCAAGAGGGATGGAAGATGTATGGAAATTCATTGAAATAAGTACTCCAGGGAATATCCAGAGCACAAATGCCGACCTTCTGGTAGTGGATGAGATAGATAGGATTCTTGAGGAGCCAAGCCTTAGGTCTGTGTTTGACAAGGTAAGTGAAGAGTTGACATGCCAGAAGATATTCTTCAGTGCAACACTTCCGGACCATCCATTGAATATGAAAGTAGTTGAGATTGAAGCGAAGATTAATGAAACCGTCGAGCATTTTTTCTTTTATGTTCCAAGCGAGAGCAAAGAGGCGGCTCTCCTCCAAATATTGGACAAGTCAAAAAAGACGATTGTGTTTGTTGCAACGAAGTATGCTGTCGAGCTTCTTCTCGAGATTCTTAACAAAAACAACTTTGAGTCACATGGAATTTATTCTTCAATGGATGATGAGGCAAGAAGATCTAATTTCAGAGATTTCAATGCCTCCAAGACTGGGATCCTTGTTGTAACCGATGTTGCAGCACGGGGATTAGATATTCCATGCCTTGATACAGTTGTGAATTATGACCTGTGCGATGAAAGGACATTCCTGCACAGGGTTGGGCGGGTCCGAGGAATGGGTGTTCAATACAGTTTTGTTACATACACAGATGTATTTCATTTTTTTAATATTCAGGAGACGTATCTTCCGAATGTAGAGATAGGAACGATTCCTCAAGAATATCTGGATGTCTATGACTTCAAAGAATTTGAGCACCTAAGGTCGGTTGCAAACAGAGGGCATCAAAAATGCCTTGAATTTAGAAGGAAGGTCAGTGTCCCTGCAGAGTATAAGGACAGGATAAAACTATTCAAGACACACTCCATGTTTGAGCACAGAGAAACACTTCTTGACAAGTTGAAGAAGATGAACAACGGGAAGACTACATGCGAAAGAGAAAAAGAAAAGCCTGAGAACAAGGAATACAGAGATCAAGGGTTTATACCCTATACTCGTAAGGATTCTAGAATCCATTCGTCTGCATTTGGGGTAGCAAAGGATGATTATATCAGGGAAAGAAAGGAAAAGTTTTCTTTCTCTGTGATGAGAAGAAAAACAATGAAGAAAAAAACAATGCAAACAAATAAAAAATAAACGAACTTTATTGATGATTAAGCCGTAGTATTTTTTGATTCTAAGAGCCCTAAGGAGATGGGGCAGAGAATCGTGGTTCCGAGGCTCTTAAAGCAGGCCTTATAGCTCAATGGTTAGAGTGTCGGCCTACGGAGCCGAAGGTTGAGGGTTCGAGTCCCTCTGAGGTCGTGTATATTTTATCGCTCTTTCTCAGAGCATTTCCCATGTTTCTTTTCCTTGGCTTTTTCTTTGCTGCCAGTGAACCTAAGGCCTTGTTTCTGTACTTATTCTGTACTTCATCTTCTAGTGACTCCCACATCTCCGCAAACATACGTACATTTTCTTCAGGTGATACTGTCATGTCGCCACATATATCAAAGATTTCATTCACAAAGGAAAGATAGCCAGAGTATTCCCATCGATATGTAGGCCCGGCTTTGATGTATTTTTTCAGTTTCTTTAAATTATCTTTATCATAGGGTATGGGACTTTCCTCCGATGCTACTGCCAACTCACTAGCATCTTCCAAAGACTTGTTGCATTTTTCTACATACGTACTCTTCTCTTCATCTTGCATTTCATTCCATGTCTTCACAAGAGCTTTTGCGAGGTCCACATGGCTTGTATACTCGTGCTTGTTGTTTCGAAAAAACTCTCTAGCAAAAACTGAGTAGGGAGATCTCTGCTTTGTAGGCATTTCATATAAAGTCTTGGCCTCTCTTTCCATGCTCATTTTGGGGGCATATAACACCAAAAAATACTTCGTGAAAAGTACAAATAACAAAGCCTAGTAAATAGAGCCCATTTAATGCCTATCTTCCAACCAGACCCGCTTTCATATTCTTTTCTTCAGCGATCTTGTTATACACCGCCTTCTCATCATCGCTAAGCTCTTTCCATCGCTTTGCAACAGCAGATGTAGTCTCCATCATTGTAAAGTTAGGATTCTCCTCAGAAACAGCTTTGCGTATAACTTTGAAGAACTCGTTATATCCAGTTACTTTTTTAACACCCTTTTTCTTCTTTCCTGCCGCTTCCTCATCAGCTGCAACCTTCTCAAGATAGTCATGATACTCTGCGCTTTTCTTATACTCCTCAACCTTCGCTTGGTACAGTTCTCTCTCCTTGTTTGATATTTTATTGTATTCTTCTCTTTCCTCATCAGTTAGTTTCTTCCACATCTCAGAAATCGATCTTCCTTGTTCCGCAACCGGTAGTTTACTCAACTCCTCATTCTTTTTCCTTTGTTCCTGTCCAAAAATAAAATACCCAGACATGGGCTTCTTTGGTGCATTTGGATCCTTGCGCCTTTTTACCATTGCTTTACTTCTTGGCTTTTTGTTCTTCTCAGTTACCATTATAATGATGGGGGTAGAAGAAATGGCTTATAAAAATTTAATAGAGGCAAAGCACATGCCATGGGAGCACATTAGTTATAATCCTGCTACACATAACTTGTTTAATAGATCCACCCATTCAGTAGCTACAGTATGTCATTCTCGGGCTTGAGTTTCTCCTTAACAATCTCAAGCAATTTCCTTACCTCTGTAATCATTGCATGTGTTGTGATATATTCCTCTATGGTTTTATGAGCCTCATTGAAGTCTCTTTCAAGTGCATCGCATATTTCCCTTTCATCTCCATCAACATCAAGATCTAAAGGTGATCCTTCAATGGCGTAACAGAGAAAGGCGCAAAAGTTGTATATGTTTTCCTTAAAACTCAAAAACACTTTGGCAGCTAGTCCGTACTTCCCAAGTTCTATGTACACATCTGCAATATCTCTCATCACTTTCCTCTTATGATGCTTCCAATTGCTTCCACAGTAGCATTCAGCAACTTTCTGTAGACATTCTAGGCATCCATTAAGATCCCCCTCTTTCTTCAATATCTCAGATGCCCTTTGAAAGCTTATAGCTGCTAGACTCTCCCGTCCACATTGCTTAGAATACATCCCAGATCTCTTGTATGCTGCAATCGACTTCTTAGGATGTTCGTCTTCACATATCTGTGCTATCTTTTCATACACTTGCGATGCCTGGTACCTTCCATACTCTCCCTCCTCCATCTCATAGGTTTTTGCCGCCTCCTCATAATACCTTACCCTTTCAGACAAATCCTCTTCCATGTTCCCCACCTCCATAAATATCTCTGCAGATGCATCGTAGTCTGGTGATGAAAACAAACTGAGTGGAAACGTTCCTTTTGTCCTCAATTTCTCTGCCTCCTTAAGCTTCCTGTTTTTGGATTCAGCATCCATGGGCCCTTGATTCATAATGTTTTTAAGTACTTCCACTTGTTTTGATCCTGAAAGGTATCTTGTCCAAAGCTTTATTTAAATAAACATCTATCTATCCGTGAAGTCTCAATGCGAGGAAAATGGCTTCCTGCTGAGATTGTATACTAATATACCCATAATACTTATACCCAGCCCAGCATAGTTCAGATTGCTTAGGATGATATCTTTTGTTATTATTGCATAGAAAATGATAATTAGTTCCTTAACAATCCCTGCAACACTCAGAAACACAACGCCCGTTTCCGAGACAAGTGAAAACTCTGCACATAGCAGCATAAACGACAGGGTTCCGCATAGTAAGATGTACCCAAAGTTCCTTAAGGCAGCATCAAATGTATTGAAGAACCTTGAAGTTACTATCTCCATAAGACCCTCGACATGCAAGGAGATAAGAAGAAGAAGGAATGATATGGGAAGGCAAAGATCCCTCATGGTAACAAAGACTCCTTCTTTTCTGACCTCTTGGTTTCTAATAAGGTATTGAACAAATGCCCACCTGAACCCAGCCATTAGAGAGGCAAGCGAGATTGTTCCAAAGCCAATGATGTCGAAGCTTGTGTTCTTTATCGACGTGAGAAACACACCCACGCCTATGGTAAATATCGTCAGGAAAAACGTTATCGATGGATTCTCAATTCCAAGTGCAAATCCAAACAAGAGGATGAACACCGGGGAAGAGGATTTCACCATTGTGTAAAATGCAAGGGTTGTAAACCTCAAGGATATCGACGAAAGCCCTATGTCTGTTGCGCCTGCAAGTGCACATGGGAAGGACGGTCCAAAGTAGTTGGGCTTTGGGGCTTTCTCCCTCTGCAGCCTTAAGGCCGTGGATGCCCCAAGGAAATGAATCAAGTTTTGCAGGGATGCTTTGAACAAAGGAAAGCTGAAATTATATGTCTTTCTGGAAAGCAGAAACGAAGTCAGATATCCTAAACTTAGCGACAGGATATAGTACATAAGTACCAACCCCAGCACCCTGATTCTGTTCATGTCTTCTTGAATGTATTTTGTTTTGGACAGGTTTTTCTTCACAATGTTTCAAGCCATTGTTCAATCGCATTGTCTCATCTGGAACGAATAATTTCTGTTTTCTATAAATATGTTTTTTTCCACGAGCCCTACCTCTCAAGCCAATCGGCTTTGATCAAGTGTAGTATCTGTTCTTGCCAGTGTAAGAACTGGCATTATCCGCAAGGATAAATTCTTGAATTTTTGGATGTCAGATTGAGGTAGTTGGGCTTGAGCGCTTGCGTTTCGGCTTCTCTGCCGAGGATCTGTAGGTTTCTTGGGCTGTAGAGCCTAATGAGGATCCATTTTCTTTTAAAGTTTGTTATTCTATTTCTTTTCAGTCAAAGATCCCTTGAGCTCTGAGTATGAGATATGCGGAAGTTATTATAGGACCGCCTGGGAGTGGAAAATCCACCTATGTCATGAGCAAGAAGGCATGGCTTTCACATAGAAACCCGTATATAATAAACCTTGACCCAGGGAACTGCAATGACAAGGAGTTTGATTATTCGATATGCTCCATTTCACCATCCTTAATGTATCAGGAAAGACACAACGTCGGGCCTAATATGTCTACAAAGTGTATTTTGGAAGAATTCTATACAAGAATCGACGAATTCTTTCAAGAAAACATTGAGGGCACGGATCATTACATTTTGCTTGACTTTCCAGGACAGGTGGAATTCTTCATATCCAGTGACATTCCCAATAGTATAATTGGATATCTTAAGAGTAATGGATATTCTGTGGTCGTTGTCAATCTTGTTGATCTTGTTTTCTTTTCGAACGACCATTCATTGATTTCATCGTATTTTATTTCCACACTATGTTTGTGTCTTCTTGAGTCAGCCCAGATTAATGTGATCAGTAAATGTGACAACTGGAAAAAGCTTGGATTGAAATATTCTCTGGAAGATATTGCATCATTGGAGTGCTTAGAGGAGATGGAAAAGAAAAAGAAGATACATGAGGAAATGGCTTCATTTGTTCTGAACCAAGGGTTGTTGGCCTATGAAGTCCTGGATTATGACAATCCCGACTCTGTCCTGAACCTTCAGGTCGCCATAGACAAAGCAAGCGGATTGTTTTTCGAGGACGATTACTTTGCCACAGAAAAAATAACAAGGATTTCTTCAAAAGATGATGTGTTTTCAAGATACAGACCAGAGTAAAATTACAATAATATCCCTTCATCTCGGAATATTTGAAAACACGAGAGTGATACCCTTCTCCAAAGCTACGGAGTAAGGATGATTCCTAACTCTGCCATTTGGAGGTATAAAAAGAGCTCCAAGGAAACATGGCCTTGATGGGATCGTGTGCCATGGAGTCATACATTTTCAACTAAAACCTCTTATCAAAGCCGTCTACACAGAAGCTTAATTGATCAACAAACGAATTTTTTTCCCGTGCACTTATTTGCTAGGTAAAAGGAGAGGAAAGCTTTTATTGGTGGTGGGTAAGAAGATATAATATTCACTAGGAAGTTACGCATGGAGGGTGTGGAATGTGGCGCCGATTTCCAAGCTGGAAAAAAGCAGGACGGCACCAGTTTGTCTGTAACAGTGCCTAGAAAGATAACAAAGGATTCCAGATTTTGTAAGATTTGCTACTCATTAACAAACCCAATAAACATGAAGGATGATTTGATCTCCCCTTGTAACTGTAAGGGATCTATAGGCCTTGTCCACGGTGTATGTCTGAAGATGTGGAGGTACAGGGGCAAAAGAATCAAAGACATAAGAAAATGTGAACAGTGCTCTTCATTCTACAAGCTGGACAATGAAATAGTTCCCCATAGGATTGTTGTTTCACTCGCAACAGTTATCATCTTGCTTCTAATATATCTAGTATCAACCATTTTGTTTAAGTCGTTGATCGATGCATTTATCATAATAATAAGGGATTTTTTCTTTGCAGATGTCCATACGTTGGTAGATCTTGAGATGGGAAGGGGACTTGAATATGTCTTTCTCCAAAAGCAGTCTCCTCTGGAATATAAGTTTATAGAGACGAATGGATTTGTATATCTTTTTATTATGGTTCTACTCTACCAAGTCTTTTCAAAGATAAGCTTCTTTTCTATATTCAATTACATGTTCACATTCTGGAGACTGAACCAGTTTGATTTTGCACTAGATAAGGTTCTGTTTGGGTTCATGTCTATGTATTATATGAGGAAGGCGTATAATGATATCTACAGCAGAGTTGACTCTGGACTCATATTCTTTCTAAATTATAAATAGCAGAATAAATACTTTCAAGTGTTTATCCCGAGTCAGATGTTATTTAAGATATTGACTTTTATGCCGTCTAGGGCATACTTTGAATCCCCGATGTTTGTGTTGATTGAGACTTTATACTTTGCTCTTCTCCCGGTGGTAACTGTAGCTTCTCACATATTCATAAACGACTTGACAAGGCATGGCCACATACCAGAAGGAATGACAAAGAACAACTACCAGTATTTCTACGCATATGGTGTGATTCTATCACTCTTGTTGCCAGTCAAGAACATTTACCCTTTTCACCTTGGACGTAGGTTCATAGAAACTAAGGTTCTTAAATATTCCGACAGAAGCAAGATGAATCTTCTTCAGTTCATCCATGGGCTGGTGTATTATACATTTGTCTGCATGCATCTTAGAGACAAGGCTATTTCCAACAAAGGTGTCTTTATGCTTCTCAATGCTCTTCAGTCAGTTTCTCATTACTTTGTCTTTATTCGGAAGACAGCTGGATATTCCCATTATGTCGTTGAGGTGGTGATATATGCATTCATTTATTGCGAGGTAGGGACGATTCAGATGCTTTTCAACCTTTTATATGTTTTGTCCTTTGTACTCTCGACTATCAGAAACAGAAGGATCTTACGAGAGAAGCCCAGGGAGAATATTTTCTAAAAGAATCCATCCCTGCAATGGATTTTAACCTTCTTGATGAAAGACTAGAGGGGAAAACCGAAGTAGGCCTGCTATCCACTGAGGAATATAAGTATATGGTAAAGGATGTTTATGATCATATAAAAACAAAGCATCCACAAGTAGACACTTTTTTACTTAATGGAGAAGGTATGCTCTGTCCTTTGAAAACTAAAACTTTTCAGTTTTTTATCCTTCTTGGGGTGTGCTGCCCTCTTCATTCTTTCGAAGACTTTATAAGTATATCATCTCATATGTCTCAAGAAGACACAAGCCTTCTGAAGGGGGAGAAGAGGAATGTAATATATGATTCAACATATGGAAGGCGCTCATCAGAGAACGAGATGTCAGGAGACATTCTTGTGGTAACAAAGAACCAGATGTTTTATGAATACTATTTCTACAAATACAATGCGGAATCTTTCTATAATCTAGAAAGGCGAGATAGAATGGAGTATCTTTCATCTAAGTGCAACAAAGGAAGGAGGATTCGAGACCTTCAGATATTTGCAATAATATTTACGTCAAGGGCCTACGAGGAGTTGGCAAGGTCTATCCGGAGGGCACTTGTTTCTAGACGCAAAAACGCATATCTCCTATTTCTAAAAGACCTTTCCTATGAAAGGATGATAACCATAGAGGGGACTGAGTGCATTGTGGTGGTGGATTGCCCTTTCTTTGAATGCACACTTGATCTACACATTCCTGTTGTAACCCCCTTTGAAGTCGAATACGCATTTTCTGGAGAGTGGAAAAGATTCGACAAGAACTCGTTTTCTGTCAGTTTGGAATCCAAGAGCGACTGCACAGAGGTTGATCATATCGGAAAAGCAGGAAGGATTCTACTGAGATCAGAAGGGCAAAATGTCCCTTACTGTTATGGAGAAGAGAACATGGATATTCATAGTGGGGATAGTGGAATTCCATGCAAATATGACAATGAGGGAACGTAAGGCATGACCTTTTCATGGACTATATCCTTCATTGAACAATAGAAGTAGACCTCGACACAGGTGCAGAGGCATAGAACCATATATCAGCAGCATCCCTCGATCCTGCGGTCTCCATGGATATGGATACGTTCTTGTAATGCAGCTTAAAACAAGAGCTTCATTATTTTTTAATCAAAGACTTGATCAAACGGAGAATACTTACAATCATCATTGATGGGACAGATTCCTTGTTTCCCTTCTTCTTTGAAGCCTTCTTAGGATTGGCCATGAACACTAGATATTTGACGCCAAAATATATCAGGTCGATTGCCAACAATCCGACAGATATGGACATTAGAATTACATAAAGGTTGTTTTTAAAGTTGTTTTTGCCCCCAATGTAGATGTATGAGTTTGCAAGTACAAAATCATATGCAGACTTCTTATTTTTTAGAATGTTGTAAGCCTCTGTCAGGAGTGCAACAGCGTCCTCCCTTTTCTCAATCCCTGGAATAGGGCTTGGATGCTTCATCATCTTTTGATACAGCTTCTTTATACTGGCAATGGATGCATTCTCGGAGACGCCAAAAACCTCATAGTATGTACTGTACTTGGTATTCTTATGAAGCCTATTGATTGCCATGATTATCGAGTTCAGATCTTCTGGAATTGCCACTACAAATGCTACAAAGATAGGAAGATACTTCATCAGGGTGCAAACAAAAATCAAGGAATTTGTTCCAAGCCCTCAAAAATGGGCGGAATGATTTATGAAGGAAAAGGAACAGATATGGAGTACGAGGAGGTGTTCGATAGTCTGGTGAAAGACTTAGAAGAAGATGTTCTATCACTGCAGCTCACAAATTTCAGTGATGTAAATCACACTCATGAAACGAATGGGAAATGCTCGATGAGTGTCAGGGATTTGGACGAGTGCACAGAAAGCGTACAGGTAAAAAATATCGAGTATAATAGTCAGAAATACATCTTCATGAGATCGATTAATGATGACGCACAACCTTCATTAATATTCATCAGCGTGGATGGAGATGAAAGAGGACGCAAAAGAGGGATGCTAGTAACGTCTTTTTGTGGTATCCTCAAATTGATTGCTACTTTTGATTATCAGGCTGCCAACAGTGTGGCGGCCAAGATCTTCAAGGTTCTTGAGGAGTACTCCTGTGAGGAGGAGGAGGAGTAAAAGAAGATTCTTAGAGACGATCATGATTAAATCTATGATATTTATGTGTCCTCGGTTCTATTGATTTAAGTTTTTATGAGGATAACGTCATCCGCTCTTTCAATAGATATGTAACGGGAAGCTGTAATGTGAGATTTAATGAATACGCGAAGAGTATCCTTAAAGCAGACATTTTATGTATTCAAGAAGCAGGGGGAAATGAAAGCTTGTTGAGCGAGTTTCATTCACTTAAAGACTACATCACATTCACAAGTGCAAATAGGAGGAACAGTGTAAGCTGGAGTTTTAACAATGGCATCGAAGAGCTATATTGTAGAGGGATTATTCATTCGCCATTTTCAGAGGAAGAAAGATTATTATTACTGATCATGGGAAGTTCAAGATCTTGAACCTATACCTTCCGTTTTTCGATGAAGGCTCCAAGAAGGACGAGTCTGAAGTGATCAGGTTCTATGATATAGTTGGGCATTTATCAGAAAACATGAAGATGCAGCCGTATGTGGAGGTTTCAACGGAATCTGCTCAATTATTGATCATTATCAGTTCTATGATGAACTCTTGTGCATACAACATAAGAAAGGTGGGAAGAAAGAAAAGGAAAAGTAGATTCTACATAGAACGTCTGAATCTTATACATGCTGGAACACAGTGTTCACCATGTGCCCTCACGGCTTAGGCATAGGAATAGACCACGTCCTCATTCCATTTGGACTTTCTCACAGACCTAGAGGCTATAACATACACTCTGAAATCTATGGGTGTGATCACTGCCCAGTATATGGAAATGGACTTTGATATTTAGATGATGAGATAATATTCTAAGCAAGAGAAAAATAATATCCTTGACTTCTTTGGCCATGATGAGAAGATGGTAATTTACCTTTAAATGACTTTTCTTATGTTTGCTCCCACTATGTTCAGATGGTTTCCATTAATCTTCCACAAGGAGCATTTAGATAACAGTACAATGGTCCCCACCTTTAATCCAAACTCATCTACTACAGCCAAGGGACAAGACCCACATATTGATCCACTTTCATCCACAAGTTCTAGACAGGCGGTGTCGGCTCCAAATACACTTAACTTTTTGATAATCCCTGCAAACACATTCTCGATCTTATATTTTTTGCAACATTTTATCTTGTCTATACCTATTTCCACCTGGTTTTCTTTCTTTACCTGGGCCAGTGCATCAAAGTCAAGCTTCATTATGTGGAATGATATAGGAACTTGAGAGGACGTAAGCTCATGGCAATCATCCTTTGTATCTTCCTCAGAATCCGGAGTCTCTTCGAGATTTTCTTGAACAAACGGATCTGGAGGAACTTCATTGGACAATCCCTTTGACGTTGCATTGCTGATGGGAAGATCATTTGTATTCACTGTAGAGCCTATTTGCCTCTCCTCTTTTGCTTGTGTGCTTCTGAGTTCTGAGATGAGCTCATCCATATGCAGGGTAGTGAGAGATATCCAAAGAAAACTTGAAGAAGCTTTAATGTTACTTTAGTAGTGATTGGTCAAAGAGGAATAATCCCATGCCATCGTCCCCACACCTAACGCAGTTGACATATAGATCATTGAATTCTGAAATGGACTTCACCTGCTCAGCAATAAAATCCTCAAAGAATTCGACAATAGATCCATCCCCAGCCTTTGCAGCTATTTCAGAGACGGTCAGTATATTGTTAAGCACGGTTTGTTCAAATTCCTTACTGGCCTTAAGAATGTCGCTTGTCTTCTCATACCTTTTAATGTCTGGGGCTTCTATGGTCCGGAACTCAATATTCAGACTTCTCATATTCATGAAGTTAATGATCCGCTGGGCATGCTCGTTTTCGTCGAGACTACTTTCTTTGAAAAACCTTTCTAGTCCCTTAAGACAGACATTGGGATTCCCAAAGTGAGCGGCACATGCTGCATAGAAATAAAATGCATTGTACTCCAGCAACAGTTGGGAGGAAAGAAGCAACCCTGCTTCTGCCTTCCATTCGTCAGTTAAAGCTTGGTTGGATTCTGGATCCATTATGGAAATAAACAAAGATGTTATTAAGAAGTGTTTCACACCAATTCTAAAACTGATGGTTTGTAGTAGAAATATTTACCGAAAGAGGAACCCTGATGAAGCAGAGATATACTTTTTTAGACATCCGAGCGACGGTCAACGAGCTGCGACCTAGATTGGTAGGGAAATTCATCCAGAACTTTTATACAACGTCGCAGAGAATCATCTACATAAAGTTTAGTAACAAGGACATTCTTCTTGTTGAGCCCGGGGTTAGGATTCACTTGACACAAGAACATGATATGGACATCTCCCACTTCTGTAAGATTCTACGAAGGAAAGCCCGAAGAGACAAGGTTGTTGATATATACCAGTGTGGATTTGATCGTGTTGTTGTTCTGGAGCTTGGAAGACAGAAGATTGTGTTTGAATTCTTCTCTGGAGGAAATATTTTGATTGTAGAAGACGGGAAGATATCGGAAATATTCCGAATTGTCAAGGACCTAGATATTGTCAAAGGGTCTGAATATGTATTTAATAATGTTGATTTTGACCTGAGTATTGACGCCTTTGTTAAGAACGATTTAAAGGACTTCCTTCCTCTAGACCATCTTTTGGTTGATAAAGTCTTAGGTGAGCTGGGCTCAAGAATAAAGGCCAATCCTATGGACATGAAGAAGTCTGCGGAGAATGGAATTCCAATTAAGGAGGATGTGAAAAATGTCTTTGAGGAGTTTATGAAGGAATTTAAAAAGAAAATGGAGGATATTCAAGGATATGGGGGTGTGATTATTGAGAAAGGCAAACCGTCGAACCTCATTCCCTTCAAGATTGATGGAGCGAGGGACTTTTCGACATTTAATGATGCCGCAGAGTTTTTCTTTCAGAACAGGAAGAAGTTTGGGAGGAATGATAGAGAATCAAAGGTGGACAAGGTGAGAAAAAGGCAAGAGAATTATATGAAGGAAATGGAGCAAGAGAGACAGTCTTATAGAAAGAAGGCTGAGTTATTAGAAGAAAATGCGGACTTTGTAAACAAAATACTGGATATTTTCAAGATTGTTAAGAAAAATAAGGTGAGGTGGACTGATTTTGAAAAGTTCCGGGAGCAGGAGAATAAGAAGGGAAACGAGATTTCAAAGGCTATTGTAAAGACTGACTTTATATCCCACACTTGCACGATAGCTTTGGAAGGTGAAGAGATTCAAATTGATTTCGAAACCTCTTTGTTTAGTAATATAAGCAGGTTTTATCAGAAAAATAAAAAACTTGAAGAAAAGATTAAGAAGACCAGAGATAGCCTTGAGGAGGTACTGAAGAAAGTGGCACCTAAAGTAGAAACAAAAAAGGTTACACGTGCTCTGTATTGGTTTGAGAAGTTCCACTTCTTCTTTTCTTCTGATGGAATACTTGTGATAGGAGGAAAGAATGCACAGCAGAATGAAATTCTTGTCAAGAAACATCTAGAACCTACTGACCTATATTTTCATGGAGACATGCATGGAAGCTCGAGTATTATTGTCAAGAAGCCCACCCAAAAGACAATAGAAGAGGCGGCATCGATGGCCTTATGCATGTCGAAGTGTTGGGAAGCTAATGTTGTTTCTCCTGTCTGGTATGTGTATGGGGAGCAGGTTAGTAAGACTGCGCCTTCTGGAGAGTATTTGACGAAAGGGTCTTTTATGATAAAGGGAAAGAAGAATTATGTAGAATGCCACAAGATTGAATATGGATTAGGATTGCTATTCAAGGTTTTGAAAGAGATTGAGGAAGAGATAGAGGATATGAATATTGATGAGAAGGAAAACCACAAGTTTGTGAGTGATCCTGAAGGGATGGAGATAGTCCATTCGATGCCTGTGTGTGGGCCCTGGAGCGTGATATCCACATACAAATACAAGGTCAGGCTTGTTCCTGGCAGAGAAAAGAAAGGCAAGCTAATTCAGGAGATATCGAAAAGGTTTATTGGGCAGGCACCGGATAATGAGAAGAGCTATGTGAGAAGTATATCTGTGGAAGAGTACATAAATGTTATGTTTGGGAATGTCAGGATAGGAAAGTGATATCTAATTAAAGGTTATAAATAATGTTTTTACATGCCCTTGCAAAGCAGAAGAAGGGATATAGTTAGTACGAAGTCCTTTAAAAGCTTTTAAACAAAACACCAAGGGCAAAACATTCATGTTTCTAATGACGCGTGAATACCTATCCTCTGGGACATTTTTATTGTAATTTTTCGTTGTATAAATTTTTTTCTGATGGGTATTGTGAATGGGAGAGCATGAGATAAGAAGGAAACGCTTACTTAGAAGAAAGAAGGAGGTCTCTAGAGAATCGATAAAGGCTGGGGGGTGTAAGATGGAAAAAGAACAGGACCATGGCAAGGTAGTTTTGATTGGAAGATGGTTGGAGAAGTTGAAAGAGCTTGGGCTGAATGGAGAGGAGAACGTTATTACAAGAAAGAAAGATGCTGACGAGGAAGCTAGAGTTTCTGAAAAGGATAGGGAGGAAACAACGGAGGATAAAGGTGGCCTGAATGAGGAGAGGAAGGAAAAGATTCGGCAGTTTGGAGGTGTATCACATTTGGAATTCAAAGGATTAAGTTTAAACTTCCATCTTTATCTTCCGAAATCTCTCCAAAAGCTGTCTCGGATATTCCGAGTCTTAGAGACGATTCAACGTTTTAATAGTGCAAGAAACTTAACAACGATTTTCATAAAGTCTCTAGGATGCATAGAAAATCTTGTCAAACAGCGAGTAGTTGTTGGGGATATTGAGAGAATGTATTACATAGCACCAGATCTTTTCAGGTTCAAAAAAATAAGTATTCATCACGACGGAAAGGAGGTTGATACTTTTGTTATTTATGTTAGTGGAGAAACAAAGGAATTCAATGAGAGGCTTGAGGAATATGTCAAGAAGTGCCATCTAGAGTTTCTCAACGAAAATGGATATGTTTATAATGGAAATAGGTTCCACCCTGAATTTAATTTCGAAGAGGTGCCTCTGCCCCGAAAACCTTTATTTCCTGAGGATATCAAGGAAGAGACCATAGAAAAGGAGGTTTGTGTTCCAACGAAAAGAAATGTAGATATCGTAGAATCAGCCAAGAAGAGGGCATCCACAATACTAGAAAGGATAAGAGAGAAGGAAAGACTAAGAAGGGAGGAATTTATGAATAAGTCCAAGGAAGAGGAGGATAATGTGCTGCTGAGTAACAGAATAAAGATGTTACTTAGGTCTGAGAACAGGCGCGCAATCCCGGTTAACAAGGTGGTAGATTTGTTGAAGATATTTGATGGCGTAAATACAATTAATAGGATTATAAAATGGGATTCCTCCCTGTTTTACATAAGAAACATGAGGGGAGTAGAATACCTTGTTTCAAAGGAGTAGTGGCATGAGCGGATAAATAAACATCTAGATTCCCCTTCTTTGTATTTTTAATGCAAGCTTAGGCACACTAGGGCTGAATGGGTTGTGAAATGTCTTTTAATTACTCCGAAAATCGCGAGCTGGCCAATGTCTTTTTCTTCTACCATATGATTTTAAAGAATGATATACAACTTGGTTAGAGAGCTAAGCCATTCTGGAAAAGGAGCTGAACAAAAGATTCCTATTTTCCATTGGAATTCTCGGCAGATTTATTTCTATGGTGGCCATGCACCCAGATAGGCTTCCAGTGCTGGGTAACCTTCTGCCTTTTGCTTTATTTATTTTTAGAGCAAATATCTTTCTTTCTAGTTTCCTTTGGAGAATCCCTAGGACCTCAAGGCTGCCTGGGTTTTTCATCAGGGTGACAGTTGATGTTTGTTTTTAGGGCATCTCCTAGAATTAATTATATTTAAGCGTATATAGAGAATACAGAATCGATCTGTGAGTCAATTTAAGAGCAGGAAGGAATTTAACTTCATACTCGGCCCAAGCCCTTAGTTGCTACTGGGAAGTATTCAGTCAGTTACTATTCCTACTGAACTCTGCCTTGGGATATATATTTTATATGCATAAATATCCTTATACCAATGTCACCAGAGGAAATTCTTCATATTGCATATGAAGAGTTGGTTGAAGTAGAGCCCATGACATCAATACCAGAGTTATGCTTAATGGACAAAACCTACCCTCCGATGATGCCCTTAGATGTGGTAAGAATCCCCCTGTATGCTGCCTTACTTCTGAAGAAATCGAACATGTGCAAAATAAGACTTCCATCGTACCTACAATTAGAGAGTCTTAAGGCAATAATGGATACAGAAGTGGAAAAAATCGATGAATATTCACACATCCATCCTTATTTTTTTCCTCTTGCAGGCGAGCTTCTGGAGTGCTGCTATAACACTGAGAACATAGAAGAGAGTAAAGTGATGATTGAGAAGATCAGGGAGATAAGGCTTGCAAAAACACTCAAGGGTATCAAATGCTTGGATGGAAGGGCCTTGAACATGAATAATATAACATTATTTGAATTCAACGAAGTCAAGGAACTTATACTTGGGTCTGCAGAGGTTGGACGGAAGATCGAGGGCCTATCCAAAAGCCAATGAGAGAAGGGAGATGCATTACAAACGGACAAAGGATCAGAAACCTGTTTCATGGAAGAAATCGGTTTAGTGCTTTATCTGAGATGAAACAAGTAGGTTATATATAACTACTTTTTCCAGAATCAGAAGTTATGAGATTTCAGAAGTATCTTAAGCGAAATGTATATGCACCATACAAATACAATTATTTGGACTACGAGAACCTAAGAGAAAGATTCAGAAAAGAAGAGTTTACCTCCAATGATGAGGATGAATTCATCATAGAGCTGGATGCCGACATAAAGAGGGTCTTTGGATTTGTTGAGTCTAAGCATTCCGAGTTTGTCCAAAGGCTGAAGGCGGTGGAGAAAAAGCCATCCAAAGAAGCAAAGATCAAAATAAAGGAGATGACTGAGGAGATGCACCATTTTGCAGAGTTTATAAGGATAAACGTTATAGGATTCAAAAAACTTCTAAAAAGGCATGATAAGCATACTAGATACAAGCTTCTTTCTTCCTACAAGCCTATGCTGAAGAGTAGGATTAGGTCTATTGAAGACCTTGACGACTTGATATATAAATCAAGCAAAGTTTCTCTCAAAGCTACAGAGGTAAAGAGGAAAAAATCTGAGAGTAATTGTACGTTTATAAGGAGAACCGATAAGTATTGGGTCCATAAGGAAAACATTGTGCCGGTGAAATTCTATATCACCCAGCACCTTCCAATATATGTCTTTTCAAAGGACAATAAAGAAAAAAGTCCATATAGTTCATGGGACAGGGAGTCGCACGATACTTGCATATCATCTGTATACTTCGACAATGTGACATTTGATCTTTATGGAGAGAGGCTTAAAAAGCTGCATCACTCGGAGGCCATTAGGATAAGATGGTATACTTCTAAAATTCCAGATGTTGTGTTTGTCGAGAGAAAAAGACATGAAGATGGATGGACAGGCGAATCTAGTAAAAAGCTAAGGTTCATGATAAGTGAAAGCCAAGTCCTTAAGTACATTAATGGGGAAAATGTGTGGGATGATGTAAAGAAGTTGAATGGGGATGAGGATGTAAGGGCACTGTACGAAGAAGTTCAAACATCTATTGTCAATAAGGGACTAAGGCCTGTTGTCAGGACGTTTTACAGAAGAAACGCATTCCAAATTCCAAACGACTCCAGTGTTAGAATAAGCCTCGATACAGATCTATGCATGATAAAAGAGTGTAGTGATGCTGAAATAACTAATCCAGCCCATCCCATCAAGAGATGGAGGAGAAATGATGTGAACTGCGAATTTCCTTTCAAAAATATTCCAAAGAACGAAATAATAAGGTTCCCTCATGCAATACTCGAGATCAAAACACAGAGTCTTGATGAGACAAAGCCCAAGTGGATTGAAGAGCTTATTAACGGCCCACTAGTAGAGCATGTACATAAGTTTTCCAAGTACTTGCATGGATGTGCTGCTTTGTATCCATTTATTCAGGACATTCCTTACTGGCTCCCGCAGGTGTCTGTTGATATAAGAAAGGACCCATTCCAACCCGATGTAGACAAGAAATCCTTTGAGGATACGGTTCTGGTTGACATTCCCGCTGATAGTGACCCTAGCAACAGTGAGAAGCTCAGCCCTATAGAGGTCCATGGAAAGAGAATATCCATTCCTGTTCGTGTAGAACCAAAGGTATTCTTCGCCAACGAAAGGACCTTCTTGTCTTGGGTTCAATTTGCAATTTTCCTAGGGGGGATAGGGAGTGCCCTTTTAGGGCTTGGGGATGAAAAGGCCAGTTTTTCAGGGCTAGTTTTGATCTTTGTGGCAGTGATCTTTTCCTTCTACTCTCTATATTTATATCTATGGAGAGCCAGCATGATAAGAAGGAGAGAACCAGGGCCATACGATGACATATATGGACCTGCCGTCCTTGTATGCGTATTCTTGGTTGCAATGGGACTTTCAGTTTTCTTTAAGTTCCCGTTGAAAAGGTTCTGAAGTGAAATAAAGCAAGTTTATTGATACTTTGTTCAGAGACGAAGGCCCTACACTGTCGATGGATGCCACTTACTTTCTTTTAGTGTTTTACACAAAAAAGTCCATACTAGAGCTCTGAAGAAATCTCTTAGAATTATTGAGGCACTCAAGAAGCCATTCAAGAGTAAGCCTTTCTTCAGCCTTAAGGCTTTCCATCATCTCCTTCAGCTTGTTATTATACTCCATTACATTTATGACATCTTCCTCGAGTTTCTTAAGTTTGCCTTCTAATTCTTTGTTAATTTCTTCTATTGATTCCATGAAAGGGTAACCAGGACCAAGTTTATTTATTAGCAAGGCCTGCATAGTAGGAGCTTCGCTTGTCATCAAACATTCTCTTGAAGTATTCCTCCAGAAACAGGCATATCTTCCTAGTGTCGTCTTTACTAGTCTCAACATATTTTTCATAATAAACAACCGCTTCGGTATACATCTTCATGTTCTTGTAAGCATCCCCGATATACAGATACCCGTCAGGATCATTCAGCTCTATAACATTTTTGAAGCATCCAATGGCATCATCCATTCTATTAAGATTCATATAGCATTGCCCTAGGGTTGTCCAGACAACAGGGTCGTTATTCTTACACTCCAGTGCCTTTTTAATGAAGAAAAGGGCATATTCATACATGGTCATTGTTACATAGGCCTGCCCAATACTGTACCAAGCCCTGTAGTCCATAGGACACATTTTCAAGGCAACATTATAAGAGCTTACAGCTTTTTCCATGCTTTTCATCTCAAGGTATTCATGCCCAATAAGCGTATGAACTATGGAAGAGGAAGGATTCAGTTTCACACACAGTCTGAAGTACTCAATGGCCTTTTCATGCTCTTTCTTCATGGAATAATAATTTGCTATGCAACACATAGTTTCAGACCTATACTTGTTTATGTTCAAGGTGTTTTCTGCAAGAAGAATGACCCTACTATCATTTTTTATATACAAAGCATTCGAATATAAATCTATGTAGTCCAGGTCATAATAAAAGGAATTCCTTGTTACCTTCTCAAATATCTCAATGCATCCATCAAAGTCCTTTTGATGATATAGAACAGCCCCGGCCAGATTCGGATACTTCATGTTGACGCAGAGGCCATCAGAAGATTTCATCCACTTACTTCCGCGCCCTTCATCTTCTGATATCATAGCAGGGCTCCAAGCCTTCTTGATCATCTTTGTACAGAATAAATACATAAAGAAGAAGTCACTTAATCCACCAACAATGTTAATCGACTCGATAATCTCTGGAGTTGCAAGCTCTGCAAGATCCGAGTATGCCTCCCAGAACCATGGGTTTATCACAACAACGTCAGACAGGATACGGAAATCCCTCTTTACCTTACCCTCGATGTAGAGCAGAAATTCGTCCTTTTCACATCCACACCAATGAATTTTTACGGGTTTGTTAAGATGAATAAGTAGGTTTATGTTTCTTATAAAGTTGATCCTTTGGGAACAGCATGCACAAAACACAATCTCTTCGAGGTGGAGAAGGCTGGTCTTACAAAGAAGAGAAGCATATGCCTTCCTATATTCCTTTAAATTCTGATATGTCAATGAAAGATATTCCCTTGAAGACAATGTTACTGAGATTTCGTCAGATGTTATCCCGACCTTCGATAGAAAGTCAACTGTTTTATGTAAGTTACGTGTGAAGAACTCGGCCATCATCAAGGCTCAGAGGGCCAAAAATTTGTCGTCTAATAAATAGGCTTGGAATTGCTCCCTGATGGATTTGGAAGAGATGCGAATTTCCCGGAAGAAAGTGATCAATATTGTTTTTGTCGGACATGTTGATGCAGGAAAATCGACGATATGCGGGCAGATCCTTGTGCAAATGGGATTAGTGGATCCAAGAACGTTGGAAAAGTACAAGCAGATGTCCAGAGAGCAGAATAGGGAGAGTTGGTATTTGAGCTGGTGCTTAGATATCAATCCCGAAGAAAGAGAAAGGGGAAAGACAACCGAGGTTGGGACGGCATCTTTTGAGTTACCCCATAGAAGGATAAACATATTGGATGCACCTGGACATAACCAGTTTGTATTTGAGATGATAAATGGTGCTAACCGTGCAGATGTGGGAGTACTGGTGATATCGGCAAGGATAAATGAGTTTGAGGCAGGCTTCGAAAAAGGTGGGCAGACCAGAGAGCATATCTTTCTCCTAAAGGCTGGAAGTGTCCAAAGATTGATTGTATTAGTTAATAAGATGGACGATTCGAGTGTGGAGTGGAGCAAGAAGAGATTTGATGAAATAAAGGATAAGGTTGGATCCTTTGTTAAAAGGATGTTTCCATCACCTGTATTTATTCCCGTCAGTGGGTTTACCGGAGAATATATCAAGGAGAAAGGAACGTGTTCATGGTACGATGGAGACTCTTTTCTCTCTGAGTTGGACAAGATAAGTATTCCAAGAAGGTTTGATGCACCACTAGCTATTACTGTGACGGAGAAGGTGAAGGTTATGGGATCTATGGTTCTATTCGGAAAAATTGAATGTGGAAAAGTAGTACCTGGAATGCCAGTAAAGATTTTGCCGCAGAACACAAGAAATGTCATTTTGTCTATAATGGATGAAGAGGAAGTTGAGATTGAAGAAGGTGAGCCTGGGGATGTGGTGAAATTAAAGTTGAAGGAGGAGGCCGATGATGTGTTAGTTGGGAGCAAGATACTTGATACCGACAGCACGGACTACAAGTCTACTCAGGAATTTACCTGTGGATTAAATATACTTGATAGTGATACGATCATAAGCTCTGGTTACACATGTATCCTTCACGTAGGAATTGTCACTGTCCAATGCAAGATAAAGGAGATAAGGGACATTAACAATAAGAAAATCAGATTTTGCCGCCATGGGAGTAGGGTCCTTGCCAAGATTGTTACCCCGTCACCTATCTGCGTTTTCTACGGTAGCAGAGATGAGGAGGAGAGACAAAGGTTTGCATTGAGGCTGGAAAGTAAAACCATAGCAGTTGGTGTAATAAGAGCCATAAAAGAATAAAATACTTCTACCTAAAATGTCCCAAGGTTTTTAAGGGAAATCTTCACGGGGATTTAGAAAGCCTTTTAATTATAAGAACTTGCCCTGTTTGGGTTGAATCCATATCTGATTTTTCTTGCTTGAGAAGAGCGAACTCTAACTATCTTGGCATGACATGCACAAGACACACAAAATTGCGACTTGTAGCCCATACGAGGGACCTCGAACACTTCATAGATGGTTTTTTCTTTTAGATCGTCAAATGATGCCTGTTCAATAAGAGACTGAATCCTAAACCTTTTGATTGCCTTATCCTTGGGAGTTACACGACCACATTTGTCACACTGAATGGGCTTCACGCTCCCTCTGTTCTTCTTTGACCTTCCATGGTTTCTCCTCTTAACAGTCTACAAAATTAGAGCACTTCTTCCATCACTTACCATTCTTAAGGGCAAAAATTTTCGAAGCAATGAACTCGACACTCATGGGCTTGGATTATTGTGAGTACTTGCTCTCCTGGATGTAGGCTTCAGATCGAAGAAGTAGGAGCTCAGGTGAGCTTTTAATTGTTGTTCTTAAATAAAGATACAGATATACCCCAAACAATAACAGCACCTTGTATTCAGATGAGCCTTCTAGCATACCTATCAAGAATAAAAGGGCATCTTCTATCGCAGAAGCTCCCTGGGACATACAGGTCGGAGTCCAATAGAAACTTTATGGCCATCCTTTTTATCCTAGGCCTCATAAACTTTACACTTGGCATAATGGCAACACTTGTATATAGTAGCCTAATGGAAGTAACTATTCCATACACAAATGATATGAGCACAGATGTTTATCTTCCTAAAGGAAGGACCTATCTTTTTCTGGAAATGAAGGATTTCTATCAGACCAACCTGAGGTATAGTAAAAGCATCAGCTATGACCAGCTTAGAGGAGAGAGGCCAAAGAGTCTCAACTCAGCCAAGCCACTATCCTACGATGATGGTAAGATCATATATCCAGCAGGAATGCTCCCAAATAGCTTTCCTCATGACTCATACAGGATTGATGGGGTCGATATTGAGACTGAAGGAATTTCATGGGAGTCAGAAAGAAATGCAATAAAGCCATCATCTTACACAAGAGATGAAGTTGTTTCTCCTCCACTATGGCCAGATTATGATGAAATTCCTAATCTGAGCCTGGACGAGAGATTCATAAACTGGATTTACATAGCGCCATTTCCCAGTTTTAGAAAGCTTTGGGGAGTGGTGGATGTAGAGACAGAGGGAATGTATACATTAAACATTACTTCCATGTTTCCATATGGAAAGAAATACGTATCATTTGCACAGTCGTCGATAATAGGCCCGAAGAATTACTTTCTATCCATTGGGTTGATGCTTGTTGGGCTGGCGATGATCTTGCTTTCTCTTCATAATCACTGCTTGTAATAATAAAACTTGCGGATCAAGGTATTCTGGCAGTAAATAAATTAGATCGATTTAATAGTTGAGCATATGTACCCGTGTAATCCCCACCAGGCTAAATGCCTTTCATGATGTTCTTGTAGGATACCATTGAATCTCCAACAACATAAAGCCTTGACCTTCCCTTCATTGCTATGTTGTAGTATTCGCACAAGGCTCGGTACTCCGAGTAGGTGATTCCATTTCTTACATAAACTATTATGTAGTTCATTGGGTTCTCAGACTCTCTTACAGTAGAGAAATATTTTCCATCAAGCCTGTTTGTCCACCAATGGCGGAGAACCCTTTTCACTGCAGGCTGATATCCTAGCTTAATGTCAACATCATCATCAAAACGATAGCCATAATATCGCCATATAGGCATGCCAAGTGGATATCTCTTTGTAAATGACTCAACTTCATCTATAAGATCTGGATACCTTTTGACCTCATCATTAGGATTCTTTTTGTTTCTAAGAGAATATATTATGAGCAGCTTACTCCGCTCTATGATCGAAACATCTTTTCTTACAAGATACTCATCAATTTCTTCCCTTCCAACCTTGTTGTTTTTCAAAATATTCATTTCCATCTCACTTAGATCCTTGAGTCTAAGACATGCCTTCATTACGTGGCCATGCTGGGAGAGATGTGCTTCTAATTGTCTAGAAAGCCTGGTATTTTCCTCTAGATCATCGAAAATGAATTCATGAAGCCTCTTCTTTTTAAATTCCGCTTTTTTGATCAGTCCCTTGATGTCTTCTGAAACCTCATATATATCCTTAAACTTTGAGGCATTAAAGAATGAATCGTCTAGTACTGAGTAGCTTTTTTTCCCAATCCTAACAACGCCGTTCTCATAATCTGCATGTTCATGAAGTAAAGACTGGTACCTCCATTCATATAGTAATGGTGTATAAAGATCAAAGGATCTGTCCAGCATTATCAACGTCCCTCCCTGCTCAAGATTAAGTCCTGTGAGCCTAGTGTTCAACACGTCTGAGTCTTCTAGTAAGTACTTGTCTCCTGTTTGGACTCTAATTGTTGGGATACCCCCAAGATTCATAATAAGAGAGAAGATGCCATCTAAAGCTCTTTTTCTCATAGAGGGAGATGTAAAGTCGCTCGTCTTTGCCCTGTGGAATGTATATAGAAAGTCATCTTGTTTAAAGAAGTCCATATATATTTCGTGGACTTCTGAAATGACACAGTATACGTCACTCGTGGCAAGGATTTCCAGCATCAAAGAATCTATTTGATTAGTGAACAAGACTATGTATCTTTCATAGAAAGGGCTTGCTACTTCCTCTATCAGCCACCTTATGTTCTCTGGACGTATTACAACCACACAGGTGATGCCTTGTATCTTCTCTCTCCTCCTATTCATTATATTATCAAACAAGAAATAGTCATTTTCAAGGAATTTTGAGTGAGGAATGACATTACTAAGAATTATCTTTGTATCCTCGTCACACAGAAGAGCCTTAATTCCTTCTCCCATTCCCAATATTTCATCTACCTTTTTACTAAGTAAATCGTCATGCATGGTGTTTCTCATATGTTTGTTGAGCCATTCTATTTCTCTGTTTCAGAATCATTTCCAAAAAGAGGCATGGCATTTGAAAACTTAGATGTAATAGTTTTACATCGTTTATTTTTTAAATAGGAGGCCTACTTCAAGAAGAGTATGGCTTTTAGCCTTCTCCCCTCTCTCTGTATTGAACAAGGAGTTGTATCCGCGCCCAAATAGCCATGAAAACACAGACATCCTTTCAATACCTTTAAGCCAATGCATTGTAGAAACCTTTTCTAGAGAAAGTGTCTCTGTAGTTTTTATGAACCATTGGCCACTGTTTTTTAGTTTAAATGCATAATAAGGCTTAGTACTCGTATTAAAATCTTCACTAAGGTAATACGATGCATTGGTTTCAGAGCCTTTAACAATAGCTGCGTTATGGAGAAACCGGTATATCGGATATCCTAGATCATAGAAATCATGTAGGGACACTACTGTTTCGAGACACTTAGTATCACCTTTGAAACATCCTATCAACCCCATCACATCATTCCTCATATTAACAAGGTTCTCAACATTCTTACGCGGAGTCTTTATCACAACATTGTCTTTGTATGCAAATCTTTTTCTTTCTCTTTCATTCATAAATTTGATATAGACCCCATGTTTCTTCATTATCTTTTGAATATTCTTTCCTCCGTACCCAATGATTCTTTTATGATGCTTCTCATCGATATAGAAAGTCAACTCCTCTGGGAACTCATCTTCAATCATTCCTAAGGCACTCTTAAATGCTTCAGAAGATCCACTTATGGTCATGTGAATCCGGGTACTTTCCGGCTTCTTGTGAATTGTAATTCCACAGCACACATCCCTCATAATCCTTGTGATCTTCCCATTTTTCTTTCCACAAAGAAACTCGACAGTTTCTGTCTCAATATCCATCTCACCCTCGACATATCCTCCATTCTCCTCCACTATTTTCAATAAGGTCCGCTTTTCACCAATAACCATGAATCCACAGCTTACGCTCTTGATCCGGAGTATAAAAGCACCATCATAGTTAGGGTACTTCATGTTTTCTACCACAACTTTCATTATACTATTGTAAAGTAGATTTATCTTGTTCTTTGCTCTTCTAACCTCATACAGATCAAATCCTTTTAAAATCACCTCTGTGTAGTCTTCACATATCTCCCTTGTGGCTATGTACGACTGAGTGTCTGCCAAAATATCTTCAACTTCATCCCCCTTGTATGAAAACAAATGTATAGTCTTTTGTGTGTCAAGTACCAGCCTTTCAACTATTTTTTCAGGCTCCTGGAGGCCAAGAACCACCGTATTGTGGGATATAAGGCATTTGTCAGAATTTATTCTTGAGTGATAGAATATCCTTCCTCCATTCCTAACAACTTCCTTTGTAGGTATATTCATGCTTTTAATTTCGGTGGCTCTCCCAAACGCTTCCTCAATCATCAAAAGTACTTTCATTCTTGCATCAAGGCATGATTTTCTTTTTCCGCAGATAAAAGCCTCAACCTTGCCATCTATCTTGATGCAAATGGAAGTATCTGTGGCGTCCATTATTTCCTTGATTTTTTCCATTATTTCAGCCTTCACAGGATACAGGCAAAGAGGTATCTCTACTCTGTAGCAGTACCTGAAGCATTTGCTAACTAAACCCATTATTTGATGGATGCTGCAGGGACGGCTCACATTCAGAGACACCTGAACTTTGTTCCCTACATCTTTAGATATGGAAGCCCGGCCTATTCCGACAAGAATCTTCTGCAGATCTAAGCATATTCCGTTGTACATAAACGAAACCATTTCTTTTGGTGTGTGCCCTCCCAACGGTATTATGAAAGATAAGAAAATTCCACTAGGCTCCGGAGTAGTAAAACATTCGAGCCCCTTTCTGCGGTGCTCCATGGTTTCTAAGGAGCTGCAGTCTTTTATACATAAGTATATGAAACATACATCATATCAGCCTTCCAAAACATGTATGCAATACTTTATGGGCGCTTATTGGACTTCAGAATAAACAGGGCAAGGGTCCTTTTAGTAATCATGTTCTTCAACTGCAGCAAATAATGTAACTGCAGATAGAAATACCTATCAATGACGCAGCTAGAGGAACTGCAAGGGGAAGGTTAAAGGGTCTTTCTATAGAAGGATGTTTCAACTTAAGAACTACAAGGCCCATGCATGACAGGGAATAAAACAAAGATATCCCGAAAGCTATCTTACTTACCATCCAATTTATGCTCTCTAGTTTGGCAAACACAAAAACAATGAAGGAAAAAGCAGCGAGAGATATTACCTCCAGCTTCTTGCTGAATTTTGCTGGAACAAGAGACTCGATAATTCCTGTTCCGACAATGAGCGAGCATACAAGAGACCCGAAGGTAGGAATAAGTGTAACCATCACTGACAACATTCTGGGAGTAATAGGGATTCCTACCGCTCTGAAGTATTCATCAATAAAAAAGACATTTCCAACGATATCATCGTATGGCACCACACACATCATAGACAGGCTAATGAGTATGTAAATGAAGGTCACAACCCATATGGATCCAACTATAGCCTTTGGAAAGCTTTTTCCCGGATTATGTATTCTGTTTGCAATATAGTTTCCACAGTTCCATCCATCAAATGAAAACTGAGTAAAACATAGGCCCTTAACTATTGAGGTTGCATCTATTTCCACAGTACTATTCCTTTTGTCCAGTATTGCAGGATTTGGAGCATTCCTAGCCACTATGAACGATATGGAAGAAATGACTAAAAGAGAGGCGACAGTAACAACCTTGAGAAAAAACAGTATTCTCATTGTCCATGTGACTAACTTTCCTCCAAAAGACAAGAATATAGTGCATAAACCCAACAGCATGGCGATACAGTAATCTCTTCCAATATCCTCCTCGAAGCATTCATGTATCTTAATAGACATGATTGCACAAGACAGGGGGAGTATTAGTAGTATAGAAACCACAGAATAAATAGTTCCTAAGTGCTTTGTATATGCCCTACTAAGATAATTCAAGTCTCCTCCTGCATATGGGTAGGTTGACCCAAGCTCTGCATAGCATAATCCAAATACCGTTGCAATTATTGCTGAAGCAACTATCAGAAAGATGGAGGAGGCGCATGTTCCTGTTTGTGAGAGGACATAGTGTGCTAGACTGAAAACCCCTATACCGACCATGTTGCATATGGACAGAAACAATAGGTCTAGCATCTCGATTTTTTTTTCCATTTTAGGGTATCTGCCAAAGACTTTAATTTGAAGGATGGAATTGCTGATCCAAAGGCAAAGGTGGGAAAATAGGATACCCCATGGATGTCGAGATAGCTGGGAACAACTTAAAGAACGATGGGATTCCAATAGCTAGGAGAATGAGATCCCTGTTTTATCTACGGAACATACTGGCTCCTGAGTCTGTAAATGCCATTGTAGGAGCATTTGGGTCTAAGTCCATTCTTTTGAAGCATGAGGCAGCATATGTTCTTGGACAGATGTGCATGGAGGAGTCTGTTCATGTGCTTCTGAGTATTCTATCTGATGAGAATGAAGATGAGATTGTTAGGCATGAGGCTGGGGAAGCTTTAGGGAACTTTAAGCCCACCAAGGAAATAGTTGAGGGATTGAAGAAGTATGCCAATCATCCTCTGAAGCCTATTTCTGAAACCTGCTATTTGGCATTGATGAAGCTGAGGAATGGAGTGAACGATGTATCGAAATTTGGGTCGAGAGATCCGGCACCTCCAATGGAAGGAGATTTTGAAGAGGCAAGAAGGATTTTACTAGATAGCAGCGAATGTCTATATAGAAGATACCAAGCAATGTTTTATCTGAGAGATTTGGAAACATCCGATGCCATACATGCTCTTGGGAAAGCCATGGAGGACGAATCCTCGCTATTCAAGCATGAAATATCGTTTGTGTTTGGACAGATGAGGTCTATAGAGTCTATTCCATACCTTATTAAGGGAATGGAGGATGTAAAGGAGCACGGGATGGTTAGACATGAATGTGCAGAGGCATTGGGTGCTATTGGTAATGATAAGTCCCTGGAAGCATTGGTTAAATATCTTTATGACCCTTGCGACATCCTAAGAGAGAGTGTGGAAGTGGCTGGGGGCATTCACAATTATATGACTGGATGCGAGATAGAATACTGCAATGTGAAGTGAGATAATGCAAAGATATACAGAAACCCGACGATGCATCTGACATGGGGTTCTCCCAATTAAAATGATTTAGTAAATGCTTTTGTGAAGATTCATATCATACATGGTTTATTTTCCAGATAGAGTAGAAATGTAACCCTTTAGCAAAGGGACAAGAAAACACCAATTAGCTAATACAGTCATCACATGAAATATTTCGTGATATCCAAAGACTTGAGGATATGGGTTTGGTCTTTCCATCCCATATATAAGCCCTCCAATTATGTATATAGCACCGCCTAATATAAAAAGAGAAAGGTCACTTATCGGAATACTATTCATGATGATACGGAAGAACGGAACGATAGACACGCCATGAAGTATGTAGACCATAAGATCAAAGTGCATATGCAGCTTTTTCATAAGTATAATCTTAAGAATCCCTGCTAGTGATATTGTCCAGGTCATCATTAGAATATATTTTGTATACATTCCTGTTGGAACTAGGTTAAGAATCACGGATGTTTGTGTGCCCGATATAAGAAGGAATATGGAGATGTGATCTAACCTCTGAAAAAGAGACTTTGTCTTTTCGTCCTTCCATGATGTGACATGATATGTACTGCTTACTCCAAATAATACCAATTGAGACATAAGATATATCATTATTCCAAAGTTTCCCTTTCTATGAATGCAGCAAATGGCATACATAAAAGTCTTTGCGATAGTAAGGTAGAAAGCAACCTGGTGGATTCTTCCGCGAAGTATAGGTTTCTGCTCTGACATTTTGTTGGGTATGAACAAACCTAATTTATATGTGTCATTTAAATCAAAACATGCCTACTGTTTGGAGAACAATAGAAGAAGAAGCGACTATATAGCATGGATGAATGTAGGCTTTTGTAGGAAATAAAAAGAAGATAGCAGGCCCCGGGCATGAAGAAACCTCAAGACAGCAAGAAGGATGAGAGTAGAAGGGACAAGAATGTGAAGTCTCCTTTACTGAAAGAAAAGCTTACACCAGAAGAAGTGTGGAAAAATGCAGCTATTCTCTTGGGGACTAAAAAAAAGGAAACTGTCCCGAAATCAACTCAAGGCATAAAAAGCTTTGACTTTGGTGATGTTTGTATAGAAATTGAGAAAGTCAACAGGGAAAGGATTTCGTTACATGGTAGCGGGCATGAAGATGGAGTAAGAAGATTTTATGAGATTGAGACTTCGAACTCCCTTGTGCACATTCCAAACTTTAGAGATTTAGAGAAGAATTATACACCAAGGACACCTGTGGAAACCCCTAGCTTCTTTCCAAAAGTAGCATTGTATGTGTTTGAAAGCCAGGACATATTCAAGAAGCTAGACATAGACACGCTTTTCTTCATCTTTTATTCCCAACTTGGAACTATTCAACAATACTATGCCGCGGTACAACTAAAGACGTATTCGTGGAGATTTCACACAAAATACTTCACATGGTTTCAAAGGCTAGACGAGCCCAAACTGATAACAGCAGATTATGAAAGAGGGGACTTCTTGTTTTTTGATTACGATGTTACATGGTCTTTCATGAAGAAAAGTGACTTTACGTTTGAGTACAAGTACCTTGAATGCTCCGAATGGTAAATCCTTTTGTATGTCTGCATGTTGTAACTACCTTGGTAGAGATAATAAAGGGATTGCTCTATTTTTTGTGATGTTTCAGGATTTTTTTTCTGTATATTCTCCCAATTTCTTCTCTTTGCCTAATACTTTCTGTTTCCTTCCTGAACCACAAAGAGGCTAGGGACTTCTGTGCCGGAATCTTCATCTTAAGAGCAGCATTCATCGATCTATATGCATAGCGGAATATCTCAAGAATCAGTTGCGAATTTCTACAAACAGCTGCCACATCACACTCAGGATCTGTCGGGTCTTCAATGGATAATGTTTTTGTATTATTCTTCACATACCCTACCTTATTCACAGAAATCCTTGCAATCTTGTATGGGAAGCTACATCCATAGTACTGAAAAAAGTCCATGAAAAGGACACCGATATTCTTAAGAGGGGAAACTTGGCCCTCCTGAACAAGCGGATGCAGCTGAAAGAAGCTTAGAAGAAGAAGGAACTGGGAGTAACTATTGAGCCCTCCAGTTGCTGCATCCGACTGATTTCTTATGGTAAGAAAATGCTTTAACAAAATTGCAAATACTCTCATATAAGGATACTCCTTCAACGTATACCTCACAAATTTTGCTGCCTCAACTCCGTTTGGTTGATTCACAGAAATGTCTATTCTAAATCCAAATATCCTATCTCTAAACTTAAGAATAGGAATTTTGCATTTCTTAATGTGGAACAAAGTTTCTTTCTTGATAAAGCTTACACCCATCATAAGGCTTCTTATCTTTGATAAGTATTTGTTAGAATATTCTTTGTCGGTATTGGTACCAAGTTGAATGTTTATATCGATATCACTTGATGGAATAATTAGGCCCGTGGTATGACTTCCAAAGGGCATAACATCGGCATTTGGAAATTCACGGACTATCACCTTCTTAATTCTTTCAAATATGTATGTTCTCGAGTTGATTTCTATTTGTGTAGGTGCTAACTCCTGGTACAGCTGTAATAGCTCAAGATCAAGCTTCTCTAGGTTACCGAGGGAGACCGAAGACTTACTTGTATCAAGTAGTGACCCTAATGAAGACGGGGCATGGTCTTTCGAACCTATTCTTGCCTTACTGTCTCTTGTTGGTTTGATAGACATTTATACAACCCAGTTTATACGAGGATAAAAATTAGATGAATATATTACGAAGATGAGTTTAATAAATCCAGGCTTCATCAAAGAAAGAAACAGGCTGGACATCATCCCCAATCCAGAGCTTGATTTCTCTCTCTGCATTTTCGACAGTGTCCGACCCATGAATAATATTTTTTCCTACTGTAATTCCATAATCTCCTCGAATGGTTCCAATGGAAGCAGCCTGAGGATCTGTTTCCCCGATTAACTTTCTACCCGTTGATACTGCATTTTTTCCAACCCACACCATTGCCAAAACCATTCCAGACATCATACTCTCTACTATTTCATTAAAGAAAGGCTTACTGGACAAATGAGAATAGTGTTGTTCCAAAACATCTCTCTTCGGAATTACACATTTAGAAGCCGCTAGATATAGCCCCTTCTCTTCAAATCTTTGGATTATTCTGGAAATTAGCCTTCGCTTTATTCCATCAGGCTTGATCATTATAAATGTTCTTTCCATTCAAGGGATGTATTTTTTTAGCCTGAAAACCTTTTTGATGGAAGTGCTAGGTCATGGAAATTATTTTATTAGTTTATTACTTTTCTATAGAAAACATGCGATAAAACTTGCGATGTAAGTCTTGATATCTTCATCCTTTTTAAATATCTAATTAAACAAAGTCGTTGAGGTCGCTGTTTGTCAGAAGTTCTCTGAACTTGTCTATGAAATCATCATCAAGGTTCAGTTTTTGATGTCTGTTTGCCTCTTTTGAATTGGAATCCGAACCTTTCCTACTGCTCCTCGCCTGAGTTGACGGATTGGAAATTGGCGTCACGCCAGTGGCTGTTTTTGTAGGCTTTGTATCTATATTTAAAGATTTGTGACTGTTCTCAAATTGTAAGGCACCCCTGGAGAGATCATCTCGGCCATTTCTCTTCAAATAGTCTACATGAGGATTCTCTTTATCCAGGCTTCCGTCAAGGTATCGAGCTCTGTCCTTAGAGCCTACTTTGATATTAGGGGTTCCAAAGCTACTACTATCGTGACCAGTACTTTTAAGAGAATAAGGCAGGGCTTGAGGGTTTTTATAGAGCTCCTCCTTCCTTTCATCCTCGCTATCAGTGGAATCAAGAATAACAGCATCTTGATTTTCAACTACCTTATCTTTTCCCAAACCCAAGAATTTCCCCTTCTTCACTATCTCCTCAGAACTTTCCAGCTTGAATATTTGTTCGGGAGCACGCGAGCATGGCATAAAGACGAATGAGTCTTTATAATATGTTACACAAGCATCATTTCCCCCAATTAATGTAAAGTGCCCTTGATTATCCACCTCGGAGACTACAACATTCTTTATAATATACCCAAACTCGCGTTCATCCATTTTCGAATCACTTTCAACCACATAAAATCTCCGGGGCGAATCTGTTTTCTTTGGAAACCTTATACTTCGTAAGGTGCTACTCGTCTCCACTTCTAATCGTAGTGGAGGAGCGTTATATCCAGAGACTTTATCGCTACCGTCAAGAGCCTCCGTTTCATCAAATCCATCTTTAAGCACCTTATTATTTCTTTCAGCTGTATCTACTTCAGAAGGCTTGTCTTTTTTTGCTTGATGGGCCTCTTTGCCATCCAAGGTCTCTTGCCTTCCTCTGTATTCTTCATGATCTCTTGGCCTGCTCTTTGACACTCGCTCGATTCTTTTCTGAGGTGAAAGCCTTTCATTTCGAAAGGGAGGTTTTTCCAAACCAGGCTTCCTTTTGTTACTTAGAAGGCTATCTTTTTCTTTTTCGCCGTCGCTTTGGTTGTCGCGGTGGCCTGCATGAGATAGATAACCAAACGGATCTATCTTTCTCTTGCGTGGGCGAAAAGTTGGATTGGAAGAAAACCCTATCCCCTTCTCACTCATGGCATTATAGACAATCAGCTTGATTTCTAATTCCCCATGTACCATTGCCAGTGTGTAATATATCCCGTCTTTGAAGAAGTATAAAACTCGGTTGTGAACCACGACACGCTGGTCAGATAGACTTGGTAGCATTGGTAATTCAAGCTTCAAGACTCCTTTGCTGTTGGTAACATACTGACCATCCTTATGTTTAAGTCTTAACAACCTATTACAGATAATAACAGGAATAAACAAGAGCTTTAGCAGCATTGCTCCAATATGTTGTTTACCTTGCTCTGTTTTAATTCTAGCCGTTTCATATTCAAAAACTAAAAGATAAACAAAATAGGAATGTAGAGATTGTATCTCAAATAAATAGATTTATCTCAGAATCATGGTCTAATACTCAGTCCAGACGAAGTATACCCATCGATCATATCTTTACACCAGTAGTGCTGACTTGGATAGCCTTAAGCTGTGTAGGCCTGTATGTCGTGACATATCCCGTGGACCAATCATTTCCAGTTGCATAGACATAATAGTTTCCATTAGTATTAAACCTACCGCATGTTATGGGCTGACTTTCTGTTTGAGTAAATATTTTCATTCTTGCTTGAGCATCAAAAAACACTATAGTGCCATCTCCACCTGCAGTAACCAATATATTATGATTGGTTGGGAGAAACGATACAGAATTGACAGCATAGACCTTGTTGTCGACTCTATGGCATCTGAATATCATTTTCTTCACAGGAGAGTTGATATTAAATATTTCTGCTTTTCCTTCTATTCCTCCAAGGGCAAAGGTCTCATTGTCCTGAGCACAAGCTATTGATCTAATCATCCAGTTTAGTTTCGAAGCATGTGTTTTCTTCTGGTTTATGTCGTTAAGGTTGTATGTCACCACCTCATTTCCGGAAAGAGATATGGCAAGTAGCTCCTTCTCAAGATCCATAGCGTAAACTTTTCCGGGGAGATCTAAGGAAAACACAAGCTTTGAAGACCTGGTATCCCAAAACTTAACAGTCTTGTCCCATGAGCCGGTAGCAAGCATGTTAGAAAAGCATCTTACAGACTTTACTCCTGCATTATGTGCCTGGAAGGATGATACCTGGCTGGTTTGCAGATCCACTACCTGGAGGCTTCCATCTGCAGCACCTGCAAAAGCTAATGAAGGAGTCTCTTTACTAAAGCAACACGTAAGGAGGGGTTTGTTTAGATTCACTACACTGGTGTTTGAGCTATATAGGTTTTCCAAGTCGTATGTCCGGATAGTACCATCCCAACTGGATGCAGCCATCAGGCTATGCATCTGGCTAAATGCTATCTCCGAAACCGTATCTGATGGAGGATTCGGGATATCAGAAATCTTGGCGCTATACTGAGCCATTCCGTGGGGTTAAAAATTGGAATAAAGAAATCTCGTTGGAAGTCCTGAATCTTCCGATTAATAGCACCTGGCACTAGAATAAATTCTTAAAGACATATTCTTGAAGAACTGGTTTATTCATGTTGAATAAAAAGAGCTTAAATTGCCTCCCTTTCATCAAGAAGGCGAAGGTATTTACTGTATTCATCAGGATATTTCTCGGCTGTACAGACATTGGTCCATAAACATCCATTGTCCATATTCCTAATCCTCTCAATATTGTCCAAAATAACCTGCTTGTAATCCAGCTCTTTCCTTTCCTTTAGATCTTCCAGAGTTTCTCTACCAATAAACCTGTTTCCATATATAAAGACCCTACTGCCGATGTTCTTCAGAGACTCCTCCAGATGTATTTGGCTTCCAGTAGTGGTAAACAAGTGATAGTATAAGGCTGAAGCATCAGCACATCTCCCATTCGATAAAAGGAATGATATGGCCTGATCTATTCCAAGAGAGGATCTAAAGCAATGTTGTACTATTTCTACAGACATCAGTGCTATTAAAGTTGGCGGAAGAATGCATCCAATTATCAGGTCGTATCTTCCACTTATAAATTTAACGATGTCCTTGGATGCTCTTTGCTTGTCCTTGTTTCTTTCCCACATTTCATAAAGGCATCGGAGGGCGTCCCATCCACTGATTATGCCATGGATACACCTCTGAGATATGAGATAAGCAAGACTATGCTTACAAATGTATTCAAGAGAAGAACCTTTACAAAAGCCGGTTTTTTTCCACAAGAGCACTATCTCAGCTGCCTTATCGTTCTTTTCCAACAGCATCACCACCTCTTCAAATAGCCCAATACACTTGTAAAATGAATCCATGAACTCTTCTCCCTGCTCCATAAGCTTTTTTCCTTTGAGAAGAAAATATCTAGGAACTTCAATAAAGTCAATATCTCTAAAACAAACCTCGGCCATATCCACCAAGAACTCCTCATTAATGAGTTCTGGGTTAATGATCTCTGTGATCTTGCCATATATCTTTTCTACACATATGTCCATATTCACAAACTTTTTGTAGGCTCTATGCCCAAATTTCATAGCCTCATTCAGAATCTTTAGTTTTCTGATCCCTCTCTTGTCATTTTGCACTTCGTTAAGGGTGTTGCAGATCAATTTGCAGCATTCAACCTTGAAGCCGGAATACACTAAAAATCCTAGAAAGTACCCGGCTTTACCTATCTTTCCTTCCCCCTTTTCCCATGGATGTTCTCCATCAAAAAGCTTGAAGCTTCTACATGTGTATGGAGTGAAGTTGCCATTGAGGACATTGTTCAATAGTCGGTACTCACTATCCAGGAGCTTCAAATCAAAGTCTTTATCGTTCGGCAGGAAATATAGGAAAGATGAACCAACACCAATAAAGCAGTTTCTATATAACTCAAAAGACTGTATAAGGTCATTTGTATTAAATAGGTATCCGTCTGCATAGAGAATATATCCGTCATTACTGATTCCACTCATGTAAAGCATATCGTATGATATTTCAAAACGTTTCCATATGGCATTAATCCTCACATTCATATTTATCCTTGCAATTAACTCAATGCCATATGAAACGTCATACAAAGATATCTCGTTTCCCTTTTGAATCGCTAATCCCTTGTCTGCAACAAACGCTTTCTGGGTGCAAGGATATTTTTCCAGAATTGGAATACCGTCGACGGAATAGATGCTTGTGTATGAATCTGTTTGATAGACAATCATATCAGTGTTCAATGACTTTCCGCAGGAGTAAGAGACTATGCTCCTGAAGTATGGGGAAATATGCAGGTTCCTAAACCCATTCCTTGTAAGCAAATAAAATGAATTGTTACTAAATACCACCACAATCTCTCCCCAAGCATTGATCTCCGGATGGGAAAAGCTGTGAGAAATCTCAGTAAAAGAGCTCAATCCCTTTGTGAAATGGTAGAATTTTGCTTTTGTTATAGCAAACACATGCAGACCATCATCTCTCACAACAATTGCGGCATCTATTGTAGGTAAGGCTTTAGAAATCAAGGTTTCTTCCTGCTGAGCTAGCAGTGGAATGGAAACCAACTCGATGTATTCCTCATTCCACAGTAGCATTTTTAGTTCATTCTTCATTACAACAACTTCACTTCTTTTTGGCTCAAACCTTACAAAAGAGCTCAAGTTGTTTCTTATTGACAAGGGAACAAGGAACATTTGTGGGGATAAAGCATTTGACAGGGGATATATTTGAAGGTTCTGAGAATTATAATTCACCTTTAATATTCGATGAGGGAAGACTTTCCGATATTCCGGATTTCCTAAAAACATATCTGTAATAGATCGCAAAGAAGTCCATATACAGCAGTGTTTGAACGATTCCACATGCGATAGGGATGTTTCCAATATTTTTCACATCATAGATCCTTTTGACAATAAAGTATATCGTATATGAAGCTCTGTAGAGCCCAAGTAAGAGAATATACTTTGAAGTCATTGTTTCAGACTCCCCTGCTTCTTGCAGTTGAACAAGCTGTGGAAGAATAGCAACACTCTCAAGGAATAAAGATGATATATACAGAACATTGGAAGTATATCTATAAACACCACCTCCACCTCTAGCAAAGAATAGTGAGAATGCAAAGCATGGAACTATCAGAACTAGAACATTAAACTTGTCCCATTTCTTGTCGTATGTAGAGAAGTATTTGAATCTCATCATAAAGAGAATGAGAATCTGGAATCCAATAAATAAGATCTTCATTATGAAGTTGTATACTCCAAGGGACCCTTTGATGTAAAAATCAAACAGATCAACATATCTAAATATAAAGACCATTGCATACAAGAACTGGGTCTTAAGGGACAGCCCGCTGCAGGATCTTGTTCTTGCTATTTTTGTTATTAACACGACTTTTGAAGCTACGTGAAGGAAGTCTCCGCAGAATCTGAATGTATCTGCGATTATGGTTGAAAGGAACATCTTTGGGGTTATGAAAAGTTTTGAAGATAGGCCTTTCAATAAAGGAGGTGAATCGGTAAATATACAGAATTATATATAAATGATACACAAGAAGGATTCATAAAGATACAAATACCGGGAGTAATGGGACTACATACGACCCGGCGAGAGGTTGCGTGGTGTAATGGTTATCACTTCAGACTCTGAATCTGACAATCTGAGTTCGAATCTCGGCGCGACCAATCGTTTTTGTTTGCAAGTTTAATCATAGGCCTTTAGGTATCTTCAAATAAAACTGCTTAATGTTTTTTTTCACAAAACAGAACTCTATTCCAAATACAAACTTCTCGTGTCAGAGTGGAAACAAAATAGAATTGAAAACTTGTTTTAACTATAAAATAAAAAGGAAAACCTGTTTTTGAAATAATGTTTAACCATCCGGAGTGGATATCATATCATCCAAACAGCATCTGGAACGAAACGAATGAAAAATGGGATGAAGGTGATATGGGATGGAGAACAGTAGGTGTAACACCGAATAGATTTATTGATATTCCAGGCGACATAGAGACAAAGGAGAAGGGGATTTTACCAATAAGCTTTTTAGATATGTTTCCAAGAAGGTGGTATTCTGTTGTTGAATTTCCTAGTGGGAGGCTTGAGATAGGTTACTATTCAAATATAATTGACCTGGATATATATGTAATACTAGAGGCTGATCGAGGAGAGGATTGTGGAAAAATAATTGGAAACATGAGTGAACATGAATTTGAGAGCTCCGTCTTGAGTTTGAGAGACATGAAAGCAGAGTTTGAGCCAAAAAAGATACTCAGAAAGGCATCGGCTGATGATCTTAGTAAGCTAAAGCAAAGAAAAAAAATAGAAATCGAATCTTTAAGGCAATGCAAAGAGTTGGTAAGTGCTCGAAATTTAAATATGGAAATATTAAGCTGTGAGTACCAATGGGACATGAAGAAGATAACGTTTTACTTCAAAAGCGATAAGAGAATAGACTTCAGAGATCTGCTAAAGGAATTGTTCAAAATATTCAAAGTAAGAATTTGGATGTGTGCAGAAAGAAGAACCAATAACGATCTAATTAAAAAGATATTAGGATAAATACACTCTGATAGGAAGATCAACCTTTTTGGAAAGTTTTGGCATAAGGTTTGTCTCATCTTCTTACAAATATTTGTCAAAACATTGTTTGTTTCAGCTAAAAATGAAGAAATTCAGCTCACCCTTGGAATTGAAGGAGAAGATGGAGACGGAAGATACCATGGAGGACCCCGATGGCGATAGGTCTCGTGAAGTCATTGATGCCTTGAATAGAGTTATGATATCAGTAAAAAGCATGTGCAAAGAGAATGGAAATTGCATGGTATGCGATAACATCATTAGTGCCTCGACCGATGACGACGTTATTCGGATATATTCCTATCTTCTCAGTTGCATGTCTAGACATGTAGCTAGTATTCTCCCACTTGATTTTAAGGATCTTTTTGTTGTAGAAAGCTTTATCCTCGATAATATCTGCGAGAAGAAGATGCTTGATTTCAATAAGATTTTCGAGGAACAGAAGGGATGTCAAGAAGCAATGAGGAGAGAAATGCTGGAATTCACTGAAGGGTGCTTGCCAAGTAGTCCTATGAATATAGATTGTGAGCAGGAGTTGGAGTCTCTTTCATATATGGCCTATGACATGAGTATGATCTCCGGGATTGGAGCTTACACTCTGAAAGAAATAGAACTTCTACTTGTGATTTTATTCAGGAGATCAGAATCTTCAAGGTTCTTCAAGGTCTTCAACCGAACTGGAAAAAGCAAAGGAATGCTGAGGTTAGGACTTCTTATGAGCCTTAAGGATGGAGATGATATAGCAGTGGACAAATTGCTTCGAAGTTATGATGAAGAAAATCTTTTAGTTGAAAGCTATTTTCTAGATGATAGTGAAGGGCTTCTTAGGAGATCCATCGATGTTGATTGGATAATGTCTGTGGAAGATAATGCAGAATGGGTTTCTTTCAGAAGAAAAGAGATGGAATGGGAAGAATGCGTCCGTTTCTGGGCTGCAAACAGGGAAGGATGCGATGAAGCACTTAATAAGTCGATGATGGACTTATGCATCAAGCATGGAAAATATGAAGAAGGATGGGTTGTCTACTCCCGAGGATGTAAGAAGACACCTTATGTTATCCACAAAGCATGCCTTCTTACACTGAAGGGGCTGAAGGAGTCTAATGATTGCAAATGGATTTCAAGACTGTTTGAGGTGGTAGAAGCCTCTGCGCCAGAAGAAGACGATGCAAAATACTTGGTTGCAAATGACATCATTGAGAACTTATCATCTCTTTCTGAGAATATACGAAATCTTGTTTTAAAGGAGTTCATAACTAGAATAGATCTTCTTGACAAAAACGAAGAAATCGTGAATTTAGTGATAAGAGGACTTCTCTCTCTTTGCAAGAATTGTGGGAATGATCAAGAGTCACATGTGTCGTTTGGGGATTATGCTGATCTTTTATACACCAAATGGAAAAAGCATAAGCTTTGTGGAAAATATGCACCGGAAAGTCGGGATCAAATTGACTCAGAAATATATTCAAATGTACTAAGTGTCTTTGACACCTTGCATGATAAAGAAAAGGTTCTCGGAGTGTGCAAAGATGTTGTCAATAGTAATGCAAAGATAACCAAAGAACTTTGCTCTAGGATCCAGTCGCTCCACACAGTGAATCTCAAATCCTTTAAGACAGAACCCACTTCCCTGGAACAATATTCCATATTAGAGCGTTTAGTATCATTTGTTTTGCAAAAGCATTAAAGGTCTTGGGCTTTACCTATACAGACGGTCCTTATGGGACTGCCAAGGTTTTTTTGCTTACTGCTTAACACCCGACGCTAGTTTGGGTTGTACATAACTATGAATTTAATATGCACTAACCATATTTAATTATATTTAAACAAAAAAAACATTAACCATCAATTTAGGGCATTATTATCATGACTTTTTTCTCAAAGTGCAAAAATTACATACTTGAAAAATGGAGACACATAGAAGATGCATTTTTCATAGGGTGCATAGCTCTTCAGTATAATTGTGATACAGGAGATTATTTTACGCCAGCTTGTATAGCAAGTGTGGCTGGAATTTATTTGTTCATAAAGACAATCTATGAATTGTTCGATGGGTTCAAAGGGGATGATGACAAGTCATTTACCGTTTTTGACTTTCTCAAAACACTCCTTGTTGTAGTTCATATATTCGTGTATTTTCTTTCGTTTGTTACAATCTGCGAGGTTACTAGAGAGAGAGGAAAAGGAGGATGGTCCTACGGGGTAGATGCCAGGTCATTAATAGCTACTCAAACGTTATACATGTTTTTGGTATCTCAATCGATTATGGCAAATATCAGCACAAATTCTGTTATCGAAGTTTTTCGTGGTGTTCTAGGATTTTATGAAATAGTGACCCTTTCGAGCATCAAAAACGACAAAGACTACGGAAAACTCTTGGATTTAACATATCCTATGATCTTTTCATTTCTTCCTTTCGTCTTGGGAGAAGCTTCATCGTTAATAAGCAAATGGCTCTTTCAAAACAAGCTATCAGAATATACTCCAAGGGTTGCCAAAGCAATCACAGTTATTGCTGCTGTTATGTGCACAGTTGTAGGTATATATGGGGTGTTTGTAATGTTAAACGTTATGGGAAATATTACTCCTGTTGAAGTAAAGGTGGAATCTGAACAGAGCACACACGGAATCAAAAAAGCCTTTAATAGAGTACTCAGAAATGCGGTGGGTGAAACAATAGGTATGCTCGGATCGATGTTCGTGACTAAAAGGGTTGTTACAAAATAAATCTATCAATAATAAAATATTGCAAGATAGGGAATTACAATACCCATGGCCATCTGATATAGATCCATGTTCTACTTCATGTACCAAATAATTCAGTTTTTGAGGAAGCCTATAGGTATAGAGAATAGAGTGATCTGGTAATAAATGCATCCAAAAAAATTATTGATGTACTGAAAGTATTTGCAGGAGGGTCCTAGTAAAGTTAGAATCCCAGATCAATAATTTCAAGATCGCTTGGTTTTAATAGAATTAAAATATATAATGGAATAAGGATGGTGCTGAACTTACTTTTTGTTACAAGAAAGGCTTTTCAAGGTATATACCTTTATGAACTATATTGATATTAAGTGTAGCAATGCTATATTCATAAATGTACCGAATAAAAGGTTTTATAAACTTTACACCTATTCTCATAATATTTTATTATTGTGAAGAAACAAGTTTTCTAATGTTGCTTGCTACTGTTAAAGGATATGATCCCAGAGGTTTGGATTAACCAAAGATAACACGCCTCCAACAAGATATAAGCTTCCAGTCACTAAAAGCTCTGTATTCTGATGGTATAAATTCATCTTTTGAGAACTAAACCAATCAATAGCATTGGAGATACACTTGAAACTCATAATCGATGTGGTCGGTGCTATTTCTCTCCATAATTCCTTAAGAAAGCTAATACGGTTCCCAGATATCAGAGATATGCACAGCCCCAGGTGATAACATTACTACATCAAAATCCAGTTTGGAAAGAATCTTCACATGGTCTCTACAGTCACGAGGGCCTTTACAGTAATATAAAAGCGCCCGGAAACATTTATGCTTATCTACTTTTTTCAGTTTAGATCTGCTTTTGAACCAATTAGCACACAAGAAAATGCTTTCAGCTGTGTGGGCACCATCCAGGTATAGATGGACACCATTATGAAAAATCATCTGAAATCTTCCTGGCCAATATGTTTTACAAAGAGATTCCAAACCTTTATCAGATACTAAGAATGGCAAGGGCCCTTTTTTTGTTTCAGAGCATAATGTGAGAAGAGGAGGATATTTAGTAATATCAGGAATTTGTTTTCTACGATTAGTAAGATAAAAATGCGATAACTGAAGAGCTAGACTTGCATTACAACCCTGTACCTCCCCATCTAATCCTAAGCAGATTTTTTTCTCTCCTCCGGTATATGATGATATTGGAGGGCATATAGATAATACACAGCCAATCTGTTTCGCATAAGACTTTAAAACATTCTGTGCAGATATGGGATTATCATGTGTTGTGAATGCTTGCACGCCAGGCTTAAATATTCCAGCTTTTGCTATTTCTTCAATGGTATTTCCAAGCACTTCTATATGATCAAAACCCAAGGAGGTGATTCCAACAACAACAGGGTTCCTTATGATGTTTGTACAGTCATAAAGACCACCAAGCCCAACTTCGATTATAGCACCATTTACCTTCTCATGTACAAACACATAAAAGGCCAAAATTGTCATGAATTCAAAAAAGAATGGCATTCCATTTGCAGACTCAGCTTCTTGGATCTTGTAATATACTTCATTTAAGTATTGAGCAAACTTTGAATGAGGTATCAATCTTCCACCCACTCGTATGCGCTCACGCGGATCAATAAGATGAGGGGACGTATATAATCCGGTGCGAATTCCATAGTTTCTCAGTATAGAATCCACCATAGCACAGGTACTTCCTTTTCCTTTGGTTCCAGCAACATGTACAACATTAAGATCTCCGATGTGGCGGTTGGTTATTCCTAGTAACCCAAGAAGTTTCCTAAGACGATCCATTCTTCTTCTCGCATATTCCTTGCCTCCCCCCTTCCCCTCCTTGATTTGCGCTTTAAGTGAACAAATGCTAGATTGAAGCCCCTTTAATTTTTCTATCGTATCCTCATAGTCCTTGCTTTGGTTCACATCCATCAAATCTAGATCTTTTTGTTGGGTTCAGAGTATATCAAATATTTAGGAATATTTTAAGACTAAATTACTATTTAATTACAAAGTTTTTGCTTTAAATAGTTATCGAGAATAAATAAGCACTTAGTTCCTATCAATGCATAAATCGGTATGATAAAGACAAATATTAAAAGAAAAGCAGCTATTTTCCGTGGCATAGTAGGATTAAGGCGCTTTGAAGATGGAAAGTATCTTTCTTTCAATGATATTATTAGGGTAAGAGTAAAAGAAATGGCTCCAAAGTAGAAATAGTGCTTAAAATTTTCATCCAGAAATATTATACTTACTATAAGGCATAGAG